TATGGATGAAATGAGTTTGTTGCACGAATCTCTGATTAGTCCCGCCTGTGATAGCTTTGTCTGCGGTCTATGGACGTTACACGCAGAGAAATAAGCGAATAGAATACCTCTTTTTTCGGTTAGATATATTGGAGATTGCCTAATGACTTAGACGACAAAACGGAGTGAAGATGATCATGTCTTCCCCTAAATCGGGATTCGATGAGTGCTAAATTACTTGCAGCGAGGGCTAGCAGATAATCATGACACTGATGATCTTTGACGAAGGGTGACGGCGTCTTTTTCTGTTGTTTGTTGTAGTTTTTATCAGGCCACCCAAAACAGATATGCACGCTGATGACATGAAACATACGCACTACTTCGGATAAGAAGAATGAGTACACCTGTGTATAAAAAAAAAAATCATAATCGCATGCATATCTACGTATACGTATACGCAACCCGTAGACTGGCTAAAGATTTGAAGCTCTCTGTTACTATTTGTAGGTCACCCTCATCACCTACAGAAGTGGATAGGCTGTCCTAAAACATTATCTTAGAATATAGTAAAAAAAATACCCATAGAGAATTTCCTCGAACAGAATCTCATTAAAAGAACAGTTCTATATTCGAATTTTACGATATGATTTTACACTATAGCACAAAACTTGAGCATGCTCTGTTGAGAGTATTAAGCTCTGCCTGCATACCTTAGTGCCTGCACCCCTTCCTGAATCTTGTTTACGCTGTAGTCAGATGTTGTTCGCCCGTTCTAGCTTTGCGCGACTCCTCTTAGACGCTCGCTTAGGCGCCATCAGCCGCTAAGCTAACCGGCAACGGTCCTTCTTCTCTATAGCCCGGAAATGGTGAATCTTCAAAGCGGAAGTGTTGTCTTGCATCTGATTTTTTCGTTTCGGCCATCCGCTGACCAATTTCAGTTCTCGTTTACTATCTCGTAGGGTCTCTTTTTTGTCGTTTTGTTAGTCTACCCCCAAAGGCGTAGTGACTCCAGGGCGCAATATAAGAAGACAATGGAGCAGCAACGAGCTCGGCCTACGAGGCTTAATTGACACTTGACTGTTCATCGCAAGAGCCTGGGGAATGTGGCGCCGGCGGTCCTGCCGAGGAGGGTTGGAAACAGAGGGGTAAACAATAGGTAGACTCAACCAAATGTTTTTATTGGACCTACACATGTAGTGATCGCAACTTGCATTTTGGGCGCTTATTTTCGGTGGTTTGCCCATTTTGCAGCTCCGGCTGTCGTTGCTTATTTTCGATACCCCTTGTCTTTGTTGTTTCGGCCTTTTGTAGTTTGCGTACTGGGTAGCCTTTCCAGTTGCGTCATCAAATGCAGAGTAGGCATATAACGGCCACTCGTAAGGTGCAAGGAGCAGAGGAAGCGACGAAACAGCTGTCCCAGGTATGTCATTCCCATTTCCCTGCGGTATGCCTTTTGTAATTCTTGTCATCTTGTCCACTTGGCATTACCGCGTCGATTCTCGTTGTAGCAGGGTGTAAAGCTACAGAGAATATCGCTGAGAGAAATGACCAAACATTGAAACAAAGCCTATTCCGCCATATTTGAACAGAGTTTAAATTGTGTCATAATGAATATAGCAAACTGATTTTATGCCTATTCAGCTTTTGCTGTTTTTTTTTACTACGCTACAAATCTAAAATATTTGGAGTTCCTTTGAGTTAACGGGAAGTTAGGGTAGACGTGCCATAAGTCCCGTACGCCTAACTCATGACAATTAAACACGATTCGCATTTTTGCCAAACTTTGCATTTTCTTCTTACATGTTAAGAGGAAGATGATAAAAGGAAAATCCGCAAAGGGAATTTAGTTCACGATTAGGCCAATAAGTTGATTTATAGAAGACAATTTGATAACGCCGATGCGGTGTTTCACCGAACACAAAAATGTCACTTATCCTACAGAGATATCTCTGGGCTTCTGTTTACCAGATGCGGCTTACACTGGCATTAAAGTTACTATCTTCTTGTTCATAGACACTACCACGATTTGGCCACAGCCTCAGGGCAGTCCGTCCGTCCGTTTGTTTACGCGATGCTCCGAAGCGAGTTTCCTGGTTTGCATAATTAGGCTATTTTTTTTTTCAGTGTTCCATGCGGCCTCTGTACACACTGATAAGCAACCGATTTTAATAATACCATCTGCGGCGAATCACAATTTTATTCTGTGTTCCAACGACAATTCGTTTCATGTCCATATGCATTTCAGTAGGGGGCAGAGTACATCCGTTGCTGTTGTTGTTTGTGCTGATAAGGCGACTGTGTGTAGGCACGAAGTGTTGGCGTTGGACGACGCAACATTGTTACGCTGTGTTAGGGAAGATCTCTTTGAGACTGTTATAAATGTTGGGGAAGGAAGCCGTAGAGATAAGTTGAACGTGAATTGGTAGAGGATAAGGGTCTTCTATTTGATACTTCTTCCACCTTGGCAACTGTCTATCTAAGGACGATCTAAGGCACCTCTGTTAGTAGCGTTTCGTAAACTCTATCCGCTATACACGAATATACGGCCAGTTTTCTATAGTATGCGTTTTTGGATTCAAATGGGTACCTGGCGCTTATGATCCCATTTGTGAAAAACTCACTATAGAATGACTATGTCTATTGTAAAATGGCAAAGATGTCCAGGCGTGAGTGATAGAAGGTCCAAGGATGATATTGTGATATTTGCCATCAAGCCATAATGTTTAGCGCTTCAAAGTCGAACTTGGGTTGATTTTTTGTATCAAATTGATGTGTTCAGATATGTACCATTCGAATCATTTAAGTCAATGAACCATTTATTAGTAGGAAATACTTTAAGCCTTTTCATTAAATGTGCTTGTATCGGTGACGATTGCTCTTCGATACCACTTGATTGCTCTTCTAGGATTTAACATACCTGGATCTTACTCCACATTATAGAACGATTGTATTGTGCCCAACCACTACGACGGACTTCCTCGAGATCGCTTGCGTACAAAGTCAGAATGTGGGAATACCCGATAATGATAATTCCGAGGCATACTCCGCTTAGCTCTTATGGCGACCCAGATCTAAAATCGACATAGCAGAAACAACCGTGGTATATTAACACAAGACGCAGTCGCGGATGCGTGACAAAGCGAACGTGAACGACTTAACGATCACAGCCTCTGTCGACCTTTCATCTACGATCGAGCCTTACGGTCGAATGACGCGCATTTTACTGTACAAAACCGAATCTAGCTCATTCTCCATAAAGATCTTTTAGCTATTTCAGACAAGCTAGTTTAAGAAAAGATCGTACGCCTGAAGGGAACGATCTAGCTGGAGTTACAAATAGTAGTTAACCCTCTTTGCAAAGATGCCTTTAATAAAATTTGAAGTTTGTTTCAAAAGAAAATGAACTGAAAGTATGACAGTGAACTGTTTATTGTCAGATCACCGTTTCTATCATAACCATGCCCTACTTCGACTGTTAATGCTACAAAAAGATGCACTAGATGCAACGCTTTCACCTTAATAGTGATTTCTTTGCTTCAACGAGCTATCGTAGGCGACGCAGCTCATATCGTTCTAAGATAGCTGAGAATATGGCTGCGTTAAAGATTCCTTAATGTTGTCCGTTATTGCTACAAGATATCCTACTAGTTATATTCGTATCACAAGTTCTCATCGTTATAAGCAAGGTGCTGTTCACAACACTGTGACTATTTCTAGACAATGGGATGGGGGGTACAGATATTTGATGGGGGGAACTACCTGAACCTAGAGAGACATTCAGTACAGAATGCTGAGAACTCCTGTCCAGTTTGCAACAGTATATCGATCTTCATATAGGGACAGGCGATAGGAAGGCAGGGATCGCAGGCTTCGAGAGTCAGGTGGCTCACTGCCGAAAAGAGTGAGTTGCCTTTGAGCCTGACTATCTCGACTGAGCCGATCGGGTGTGTGCATAGACCGCTTAACGCTGCTCTTTTTCGCGGAGAGAATATTATCGCGGAAAACTTTGCGGATAAAATTGCCTCGTCAGCTTCAGCTTTCGAGCTTTACGCTGAAAATTCCGAGGAAATTCAATAGCGGCTGATCGTGGGAAGTCGGTGCAACGGCTGATTTTTTTGAGCTATTTTCGAAAACGGAGTCCATGAACGCTGCAGTAAGCTGCCACTTGAGCTAACTCGATTGACAGATCTCTGTCTGAAAGCGAAAACTTGCACAAACTCGAATGTATTAGGCGAGAGCACTATCGATTAGGCCACATTAATGAGTACAGATATCTACATCACGGAGCGATTTCCGATCATGTGTACACATTTTCGGCATAGTATCTGAGCGCGTTCAAGGATGCACTAGTTTTTGACCGGGTCCGAGGATAATAAGATCACCTATGGAAATGCGTCAAATTCTTGATTAGCAAAAACGCCATAGCATCAATAGATAGATCATCACAATGGCAAATATGGGATATTATGGTTAGATAGAATGGCGAAGTTCATTTTCTGGCACATTAAATGATTTTCGGTACTAGCGTTAAACTCACTGATACTCCTATTCGGGGCTGTCACACACGAAAAATGTTATGTCTTTTATAATTACACGTAGATTTTTCACGACTTCTCAGTTACGTGAAGTTCTGCGAAAACAACTGCAGACGATTCTATTGACGGGTAATTTTAATACATTTAACACATATACGATGGGTCAATAGATATTCTATCGAGCTCCGCTTATCTACTTACCTCATTGAACAACATTGTTTATCTGATCTATTGTTTTTTCCCCAAATAGGCGATCAACGCGTTAGAACGTTGAGAGTCGTATATGACCCATCAACAAGGGTACTAATGCGTGCTTCGGACTTCCATGGCATAGTAAACCGCATTCTCCATTCTTGGCCGGCACGTATCGTTAACCCCATAGCTCGTTACGACAATGTTGTTACAATTACATGACAGTGGTGTGACCGGAAAAGACACAGAGTTGTTAATAGTTTATTCTTTAATGATAATAGTTAATAAACTATTTACAGTAGTTTCATTGTTATTTAGGACGTGTGTGTGTGTGTGTGTGTGTGTGTGAATCCATATGCATATGTACAAGAACAAAATTGAGATCCCTAACTCCGCTTCGACTATCGGGTTCCTTTCTAGTCCATTCCAATAAGCCCAGCAATATCGTCTGACCACTGTCGTCTATCTGTGCCAGCGCAGGCGTTTAGCTATTTTTCGCAGCGACTAAGCAATGCTTCAGAGTCATTATATTGCCTAAGGCCTAATTCGCCTTCTGTTACCTATTCTGTTTTTCTTAAGTTAGTTCTTTCACCTTGCTTTTTTTGTTCTCTATGTTCGTGTATTTTCATGGTCGTATTTAAGGTTTCTTTTTGCCCTACATCATTTGTTAGCGTTACTCCGTTCTATGAATAGAGCGCTCCTATTTATGTTCTCTATTCTCAATAGTTTTTTTGTTGGTACTATTTCGTATTGTCGACATCATTCGGGCAATCGATGCCCTCGCCTTTATTGTTGTTATCAATATATTCTAAGGGCAGTCATTCGTTTTTCTTCTCTCATTTTTTTGACACCTCTTTGCACCTTATAATTGTTGTAGAGTAATTAGTTATCATACCTCTATTATAAGAATGGGTATGTTGATAGCTATGTTATACTATTACCAACAAGGTTTGTCATTTGTGTACTTCCGAAAAAACGGGATTTAATTAACATTCTAATAGAAGAAGTCTCGAAGAAACGGTGCCATCATCCGATTTCTCCTTTCACCAAATAAAAGTAGTTTATCTTTTGTTATTAAGCGGTTTGTCTTTCCTAGTTTGTTAATGAAGTACTGAACAATAATGTGATCGGTAGTACCTATGAAGTTTATTTAGATATTTCTTCTATTCGTTTGGCTAGCCATCCTGTATTTTCGTATCTGTATATCTTTTATTAGTACTGTAAAACTTACGGCAGTTAGGGTCCTTTTTCGAACACGCGTTTATCGTATTGGTTCGTTCTCCCAAAAACATATATATATCATGTCCATTTTATCGTGCAACCCCATACGTTTCGCATGTGTACCATGTACGTGTTTCATTTCAACATCATTGAGTTATTATTTATAACACTAATTAACAGCTTTTTCTTTTCAACACGCGCAGTTTATCCAACAATTCAATTTCATTTCCGTTCATAATGTTTTATTACTTACTTTTATGTACAAGTAACGTATAGGTATTTGCTACCATAGAAAATCAAAATAATTAAATTTGTAACAATTAACTCATTGAGTTTCAGCACCTTTTATCCTTAGTACTATCATGTTCTCTTTACTACTTAGTCATATTTGTTATTTTAAATTTAACCGGTTAACCTTAGTTTTAGGCCAAACTCAAAAAGCCAAAGTTACGTTTCTTGCTTGTTAGTTTACAATTAGAAAATGACATTTTTTTGGCGGAACTGTGTGTTATTAAAAGATTCCACTCAAGATATCATCTAAACAATTCATACGGACCACTGAATCCATAGCAGATATTCTATTTCCTTTTCTCTTTTTAGGGTTCTGACTTGTTTTATGAAGAGGCCATAGTCATTATGGAACCTTTAATACGTAATTGATTCTGCCCCGGTGGCTAATAGTGTGGGCAATCGTTGGACCTGACGTGACGAAATTCGACAACTATGTATTTACCGTCCTCATCACTCGAGTACATCTATCTTCTTACTTGTACATACAATTTTTTTCATATCTAATATCACCGTTAAGTGTTTGTGGCTGTCTTTTCTTGGCTACGATATATATTATATGGAAATGTCGGAGCAGACAAACGCAGTCCCTGCGTCTAATAACGATAATAATATGAATCCAACATGCAAGTGGTTAGACAATATACATCACTGCATACCGTTACTTCTTCAATGGAGATAAACAAAAACAAAAAGTAAAACGTATGCTTTTCATCTGTTAGCGGAACAATACTCCATAGAATCCCTGCGATCTGTGCTAAAATTGCTATCACACATAACCTAAGCTGTAAGAGCCTCTTCACCCCCCAACAGGATCGACATCCCGTGCAGGTGATGGGTTCATGGCCCAAGTAGACCATTGGCAACCACGTGCTCGCGAGAAACTTCCCTTGCTAAAACGCCTTGTTTTATCATGCGCCTGTTTCAATCGAGTACATTTTGTGAAGCCTTAGAGGTATTGTTCGCTCCTGTCAACTAAGGAAAATTGATTTTTCCACTTCGAAGCACGGTCGACGAAAATCACCTCAGCCGAAACGGTGTATTCGAGTCGTAATGAGCTCAGCTAATGAGTTTTGGTGTTTCTCTGTCTAGACAAGTGAACCCTTTAACATTATTTTTTTTTTGTTGTATCTATCGGAATACCCCGAAACTCCAGTGTTGATAAATTAGCTAGCAATAGAAATACTGTTCTCGTTCTAGTGGTAGCAACAAGTAAAATATGATGGTCATTGTTTTGTTTCTATTTTTATTTTTCACAATTTTCTGTACAGAATTTCCTTACATTAAACATTTTGTCCTTTCATTCCGCTAGACAGACAACCGTGTTGGTGTGTATTTGCAAACAAACTAGATCCCAACGCCCAACACACGGTTGCGTTCGTTCCTTCATCGGAAGACTTTCGTCGACCTTTACACAATCTTCAAGTGTCTGCTCCTCCACTTATTAGTTTCACAGTGTCTCTCTTAGGGGACAACAGGCCCCAAAAATCTTGGTCAATCTGTTCCCTAAGTACCGAAACTATATTGCATGAATTTCGATTTCGCGTTACTTCTTTTTGCTCCCTACTGGATATTGTCTGCAACATTATTGCAGTTAACATTTATAAGAGAGAGCATATGGCGAGCTTACCATTTTTCAACGACGTAATTCTGGTTTGCATACGTTCTTTATGATAGAAATCATGTATAGGGAAGATGAACCAAGAGATAGATAGCCAGTTCGGTAATAGAAACTAAGCTCTTTACGCTGGAATATCTAGGGACTGTTAGAGCATGGTGTAGTAGAAGACGCGTATTATATTAGTTCCTTGTAAATAAATCAGTTTTTGTAATTAATCTGATTTATCTGATGATTCGTTGCTTTTTTTTCATCACCTAGATTATCAGAGTATTAGAGTTTGGAGTCAAAACGACAGAGTTAATCTACCTGTGCTCACCGTATAATACGCCTTTGGTGCCCCGATGAAGCAATTATTTTCAACCTACACATGAATACGTTAGAAAAAACTAAATTCTATCCAATTCCTTTTGTTCCAATATTACCGAAGGACTCTAACGTGGATAGTTCTTGTCAAGCCCTATAAATTCAGCTCCATCTCCGAGACACAGAATCACGAAAGCTGTTTCTGTCTCAGACAAATGTAAGCAGTAGTTTGTCGTTATTCTATGCTATTCAAAAGCTTGCCGTGAGCGTTTTGCAATTTGTTCGTTCTCTCTCTCTCTCTCTCTCTCTCTCTCTCTCTCTCTCTCTCTGTCCCTAAGAGAAAGTCCTGCTTTGTACCTTCTTCTAATGCGACTCTGCATAGAAAACTTAAAATCTTCCAATTCTGTTATCCTTTGCATAACTGATCCCTTTTCGGCAATGCCTACCCTCATATATAGCGTACAACAAGTAGCACAGCGATGTATTTTAGCGTGTTTCCGTCGAGACACAACTTTCACTCTCACTTTAAGCTTAATATACTAGTATAGATTTCGTCCAAGCAAAAGGAGTTGGACGGAGTTCAGTCATTTTCTTGATAAGTTCCAGAGTTGTCTCAAAATCAACAATAACAACAACAAGAATGACGGTGTAGTATGTTGTCCTAGCATTATTGTTAATAGTTGTATGTCACATTAACTTGTTAACGAGAAGCTGTAGTACAATCTGTAACGATTGCTAGCGACTCTTCTGCCCCACCTAGCAGCAAAAACCGAAAATAGAAGGAAGCTCGACTCTTCTTGACGCTTTCTTCTGCCTTTAAAAAAGCCGCCTCCGGACGTTTAGGTCAACGCAACAAGTTATCGGTTATTATTATTATCCTATTATATTACTATACTGATGAAAAGCGGGTTATTTTTTCTCACCAAAGTTCAGCGTTGTAATACAATAGATCTGGTTCGTTTCGTGCCTTCTATACCGATAGCTGATTCGTCCGAGGCATATTCTATCACCATGATGCTTGTGTCTACGAGAAAAATCACCGTAGATTGTGTAAATATCTCTGTATGTGTGTGTGTGTTCATTTGTCCATGAAAATATGTCGTATCGACTAAGCCTACGTTGGGGCCCTCGCGGGAACTATTTCTACTATTGCCCCTAATGGCGGGAAAAGATCTCATCCTGTTTTTGATATCTAATTATGTTCTATTGTTGTAAACGATATTATCGATGCATATTATGGCACGACTGTCCGTTCGCTTGGATATCTTGTGATCCGGGCCTATTGTCTTTATATGTATTTATGCAGCAGACGTAGTATGGTAGTAGAGTCGTTGGTGTAGGCGAGGCAGCCATCCACAGAAATGCTCCTCTGCATAGAGGAACTTCGAAGAAAAAATGGGCGCCAAAATTGAATGTCGTTTTCCGATTATTGCTGCCACTGAAGGTAATGTGAATTGTGATAACTGGGGGGAAAAATGTTATCAATACTATAGGGCTCGATGTGCAGTGTCCTTTATAGTTATTGACTATTAGGTATTTCATGTCGTAGAAAGATTTAATGGACTTTTATCCGTACGGATATCTTTTGCTTGTTTCGCCAGATTGTCGGTTGACAGCGTCCTTTAGATGGTCTGATTCTAGTTGTTCACTCTGATTTTTAGTAATAATATATTCCTCACTTATATAGTAGAATATAGGCATAGATAATATTGGCCCAATAACTTTTTAGAACCTAGTTGAAAGGGCTGTTTTTTGTCACGAAGGCGAAGACATAAGTAAGAGTTCCGTTAATTGGGTACATTTGATGATGACTTCGTTTCGAATAACGAAAAGCGTTCTTCAAGATGATACTTTAACCATTGATTCCTCCCTGACTCGAGATATGTTCCCTGTACGGTCGATTACCGTGTCCGCAGTAGCCATAACTGACGCCGAATCCTAAAAATCAACCACAAAAAATTAAAAATAAACGGACATTAGAGGATATTACTGGTAAAATTTCGGCAAGATGTTAATTTATACTAAATGAGTAGAAACGGGATCCGCAAATTAAACTTCAGCACATAAATACACGTAACAAATTAACAAAGCTCGCAGAGCCATTAAAAAAAGCTTGTTATTGCATTATAACTATTAGTCGTTGACGTATGTAAATAGACATCTCTAATATACCGAATTTTTATGCACTGGCAACGGACAAGGTGCTTTGATAAGATAGGTTGGAAATTTAGCAAGAGCTGTCAACTGGAAAACTAAATCGTGAAAGTAGCTAAACCTCCCTATAACTCTAACCTTCCAGTATATTTGTTTATGTCTAAAATCCCACAATTTCGGAGCTCAGCAGGAAGCGTGCGGGAGCCGTTTCCTCTCTGCGGACCTAACACAAAATAGCCTAAAATAAAACTCGTTTCATTCAAGGGTAGACACATTTTGAAATTGGTGATTCTATAACTCGTTACCTTGGCTTTTAGACAGACATCGCTGCTCAAAATAAGAGAATTATAGTCATAACATAGTTGAGAAATAGCGTAGAGATATAGATTTCGGTGTTTACGGGGCAATAGGCCAGAGCAAAGAAGATACAGTGTGCGCATTGACCTGCGTACATAATGTGTCCCACCTTTCGCTTAAAGCAGCATCTCTCAACCACAGCGTTCATAATTTCATTTGAAAATTAGTCGAAAATCGCCTGTTTTTCATGTTACTAAAATGGTACAATGTTGTTGCTTGTTTCATTTCTTATAAATTAATATCGGGGTGGTATTCGCGCTTTTGGAATCTTCTGTTTAGATTAACGTTCAAATAAAGACGACAGCTGTTGAAGCCTATGATCGCAAGACGCCAAGGGACAAAATGCGATCATTTTCATGCCGAAGTTGTGCAGACACGAGATGTTTTAGGAAGTTGCTCGAAATTTGTCGAACTAGGGCCTGTTTGTGTGCTCGCGAATGAAAGTTAGACATAGGCCTATTTTTAGAAATCTAGTACGAAAAAAGCGTCGTGTATGCGCTCCATTTCAAGAGCTATCTACGTTCTTGCAGCCACACAAAATCACTCGCAGATGATTTGTCAACGCATTGATTTGGGACGTCTGAAACATAATTCGAATGTGCTTACTGTTGTTGCTTACAAATCTACAAGTAACCTGCGCTTACCATTGCATATGTTTTTAAAATTTACCAAACTTTTTAATAGGTGTTGCATTTCTACAGCCAGAGTCTCTCTTTACTAATGGATTGAAAAAAGGTCAGCACAAAACGTAAAAAGGTTGGTAGGAAAATTCTGAAAAGATAGCCTTGGCTTTTATTTGTTCGAGAGTGCCTGGGGAATTGTCGCTATGAAACGGTTTATTATTGAATCCTTTTTTCATTTGAATTCATGAGGGGAAACTCCTCCAATGGAAATTGAAGTCAGTATGCAAAACCCTATGCAAGCAAGCTATCGACGTAGGAATTTTTCTCTAATAATCTCGAGACGGCCACAACAGCCACCATGGACTCTCAGCACATCACCCAGGCATGCGACGTCTGCTCTCTAAGAAGCTCCTACACTTAGTTTACGGTACAGTCAAATAACGCTTGCCTAGCTTACATAATGCATTGTTTGCAGGTACGTTCAAATAAGACCGGTCGAACGATACCCACCAAACGTTGATAGAAGACGCCGATTCGAGCTGAGCGAATGTACCGGAGTCTTGTGTAGATCGGTTGACGCTGTTGGGCCAACAGTAACGTGCGTGGAACCCGTCCACGGCAGTAAATTCGACACTGGTAAAGCGTCATCCCTCAACAAGAATTGCGGCCCGCTACTCAAGCGTTGTTTTCGACGCGCCAGACTATAGTGAACACTCTGCATGTTGTGCAGGTTATGATGCAACGGTTGTGGAGCGGGCTTATGCACCAAACGACAGCCTAACGACAGCTCACCGGAGCCTAGGTCAGTGAGGTTGGCTTGGCTGGCTAGAAGGTGCGCAAGACTAGCTTGCATCGTCGAGTAATGGTCGGGACCTTGGCTGTGAGTTAATAGTCGAAATTCTCGCGGCAGTGTATCAGCTACGTCCATGTGGCCGTTGAGCGACACAACGGCAGATGGCGGATGTGGTGGAACTTGCGTAACGGCCGGAACGTTCCTCGAATTTTGGCTGCGCTTGGACAGATGCAATGAATGCTGCGATGGGTTACTGCGGATTCGTGGCTGGTCGAACCCTGTTGGAACAACGGTAGTGGGGGCCTCGATCGGCGCATGCTTCTTGCACGAGCCGGCCTGAGCCACCGTGGCACCACCGTAAGTTAACGTACCAGTAGACGACACTGGTAGACTTTTCGATGTGTAGTTCTTCAACGCTTGTGCTGTCTCGTCTGGGAAACCCATTTCGCGCACAACTCGGAGGCGCAACAGGGAACTGACCAGTGAACGTTTGTGGGGTGCTAGCGCAATTGTCTTGCAAGCTCCAGGAGTCGACCACAGTTCAGCTTCTCGTTGCCGCATTTGATGAAGTAACTCCTCGCTCGGCGACACCATTAACGTCTCGTCAGGCGATTTCGACTCGTTGTTCGATCCCGTGTCCTGACTGAGCGCAGGTTTCGAAAAGTCGTAGAGGTAGTTCGTCATTTGATCAGCGTCTTTCGTTCGCGTTAGCGAATCAAGTATGTTCTCTTCAGAACGTGTGACATAGGAGTTTGGTGACGGTATTAACGTAGTTCCGAAGGGCAGACTCGAGCAAGGCGTAGTGCAGACATGTTCTAGGGTCTCGAGCATGGCCTTTGCCTCTTCGAAGTACGGCAAAAAAAGACGTGGCCGTTGAGAACCCCATTCGGCGGCCCCTCTCTGGGGTGTGTTAGCCGGTATGAGTGCTACATGTTGAGACGTCGTTTTGAGCAGCTCAGTGGCTTGTTGGGGCGGCAATAATCCCCTATGGGCACAAACCTGGAGCACCTCATTTTCGCACTTTGGCAGAATATGTGCAAACCGAACCTTGCCGATTAGCTTTTTCACAACTTCTGGCGAGCCTTCACAAAATGCCGTATCACGGAGCAAATCGAGACTAGCTGATCGTTTACCAGAATTTCGGCACAAGGTTTCCTTGCCGCGTTCGCTTGTGTTGCGTTTCAGCTCAGCCGAATCGGTGGTACTTAGATTGCGATTCTCCGACCACTTAAGTATGGCGCTTAGAATTTCGAGTTCAGACGCTTGCACGAAGTCAGAGTCAAGCACCTCTGAGAGTGTATCAGCAGGGAGTTGGCTTAATGTGTACGGAACACAGGCCACGAGGGCAAAATCTTCCTTGAGGAAGTTCATCGCCTGTCGCCGGACCCATTGCGAAGCGTGCGCTTGCTGCGACCAGTTTAGTACCGGTACGATATTTTCAACAGTCATTAGTTCGACGATGAGATCCTCACAGTTTTGTGTCAGTGAATCAATTTCAAGCAAACGTGAAATTTGATAGATTTCCATAAGGTCCTGGAGCATGCTTTCCGCTGGCAACAGGCTAGCGAAGTCAACGTTGTCTTGATAAATCGAGAAAAGGATAACCTTCGAGTATTTGACAGGCACAACCGAACGGTCAAGTGTGATTTTCACATTCCGTTGCAGAAGCACACCCTCGCGTCTCTGTTGGCGAAGAATTGCGGCTTTGAGAAAACGACTACGTGCGGCCAGCAGCGCTTTGTGACACGCAAACTCCGTGCTCGTGCTGCACCATTTGCAGAAATCGCCAGCTGCACCCTGAACACAATGGCGCAGGTTTTGCGTACTAGCAGTCGCTGTCTGCCCAGTCTGGCTCGTGTGGTTAGAGAATACGAGCAGTGCGTCACAATACACTCCCGTCTCAAGCAGGTAACGCAGATCTTGCTCAAGTGGGTTAGGTATGCCGAACTGCTCAGACAGCTTGAGGAGGGTGCCCAGCGAGCCCGAGTGTGACACGCTCAGCTCACCTGTATAGAGGTATCGAATGAGGTCGTTGAACAGCTGGAGGGTAACTTCGGGGATGTCGATCTCGACGACGATTTGACTTCCCAGCGTCACGGGATCATTGAGGAGCTCACGGAAAAATGGACATCGGACACAAAGCACAGCTCGGTGTGCCGGAAACGAACTGCCACGGTAGAGGAGCGTGATATCGGCACATAACTTCGATTCAAATAGGGCGGCAAGATCTTTGCGCGCGGAATTGGCCGATGTTCGAGCGCTTTCCGCCTGCGTTTCGAGTTCACGCAACGCCGCCAGACATTCGTACTCACGGACGAGGGCAGATACCTCCCGTGCATTCCAGCCCGATGTACGGACGAAATCTCGGAAGATCTGAGCGTGATCGTAGCTTTTTGAGGAACGTCGCTTGCCGCGTATCAGTCGTTTCTTGAGAGTGGACAAGGGTCTACTAGCGCTTAGAGCGGCACTACGGGACGGGCACTTTTTGCTGTCGAGATTTGATGTGCCGGATGCGTAGGTGCCGCACTGTTGATGCGAGGAAGACGACGATGTTAAGCTCAGTTGATTCGATGGACCGGGTGAGCCTGCGCCCTGGGAGCCACCCTGTGGTCCACCTCCTGGATAGTGCACTGGCTGGCTAAGCTGTGCTGGTGGATGGGAGTGCGCATGCAGATCCGGTGGCACCTGCTGCGGCGGCGCTACTGGTCTTGACAGGCCGCTTTGCCCCATCTTCTGGCCGCCCACAAGGGCGCTACAACAACCAATACTCTGACCAATTTTTAATGTTGGATGGACGGCTCGACGAGCCGCCGCCGCCGACCCGAGAGATTACTGCAGACGGAGGGAACTAACAGCCAACAAGAAAGATCCAATTCTGCTAAACTACGGTGACTCTGCCTATGCCAGCCGAAGTCTATTTGGCACTCAATGTTGTCACACAGAGGTTCTCGTTATCTTTATTTCTCTCTCTCTTTTTCTCTTAACTCTATAAGCAGCGCTTATAATCATCACGTATTTGATCTAATGATGATAACTTCTCCCGCAACTGCTACTAACAGATATCGGATCATCGATGATGGATACTAAGCGATGCGCGGACAAATAAAGGAATCAATGGGCTAAGTAGGTAGCCCATGTCCTGTTAGGCCCTCACCCAGACGCACCTTTTTGGGCAGGTCCATCCTTGTTTTCGTTTGGCACCGATAACAACAGAAAGAAAATAGTCCGCTTGCTATCTCGTTGAGTCTTAAACGTTGTCGTCTAAAAGTCCGCTCGCCTGTCTAGCATACACTGTCAAGGCAAATCCCGTTGAAACACCACTGCTATATTCTCCCACTGGTTTTGCACTACAAGCACCTTTTGAAGTACGTAAAGGGACTGCGTACGTTACGGCATCTAGACGTCGTTTTGCTTCAGCCAAACCCTAAATGATGGTGTCATCGGGTTTGACACTTATAATGGTTAGTTTCTTTGTAGAACAGGCTTACGTTAATGCGACGACACCCGCTCTGTACTGCTCTGTTGCCTATAAGTATTTAATTACTGCGCTCTGTTCGGTCGAGACCCGCATGACCGACTAGTAGGGATGCAAGAAGAACAGCTCTAAGTAAACCTCGCCAGCTACTGGCAGACTGAATGGCTGCCCACACTACAGTGATTAGCACTGGTGTTTCCCTTTAATTGGCAGATTTGCCACTCCGTCAGGAATTCGACGTCAACCGGATCTTAGGCACACCATCCGCATGCAGGCATAGGTCGGTACAGGGCTCGAATGCGGACCAACCATATCTCGCTTACAGCTTCTTACCAGCTTTTACCATTCATGACTAACACCGTCTACCCTTTGGTTATCAACCAACGACGAACTGATTGACTCTCCTCGTTGGCGTGACCTAAACCAAGCCGCAATTTGCGATTCACCGTAACGTCGTGGCTTCGCTGAGATCGTCAAATAGGTTAGTTTGTTTTTCGTCACGGCAAGGCGGCTACTTCCGTAACGGTAACACAGCAGTTCTCCAATGGATCCGCTTCTCTCTAACGGATTCTACAGGGGTGCTGCTACACGACATACGTAGACTCACTCAGCAGTAGGCTAGTAAGCTGATCGCAGTACCTCAGACAGTAGAGCTCTTTCACACGGGGGGGGGGAGGGGGTCGTCAGTTGACTCCAGCGCGCCATCTTGCGCATGCGCGAACTCGCGCAAATTCCCCTTTCCCTATGGCCTACTATTGGTGATGGTCTCATCGTAGTGATAGAGCCTCCAAAGCCAGTGCCATTTCTGCTGCCGTGATAGTCTACTTCCCCTGATCGCACTCCACTCCCTCCCCCTGAGCCCTTCGCGTCCACCGTTGACCATGGCTCAGCCGCGTAGAAATCAGATAGCACGGTGTGGGGGTTCGGGAGACTCTCTGTCTGTCTGTGTCAATGAGTTCAACGCGTTCGCATACGCTGCTGTCTTAGGCAGATAAAAAAGGTATAACGAACGGGTCAGTGACGCAACAAAATAAAGAACTTGTAGAAGAAAACGAGATGGCGACATGTCAGAGCAAAACGACGATGACCGCTGACGCAGTAACCAAGCGCGCAGGACAGTCAGGACTATCAGGGGCCATGCGATGCGTCAAGGGGAAATAGCAGATGGTTGTACGGGTGAAAGCTGCTAATCGCCTGGTTTTTCAGGTTCAGGGAATGGTATACATCGCGAAAAACAAGAGAGGAAGCCCGCACCATAAAGCGAAACAGACATTACAACATCATATCCACTGCTTATATAAACACCAACTTCAACACCTAACGTTATGTAATAATAATGGTAACTATGTAATTATAGTTACCGAATTATGTTTGCATCTCCATTCCGATGTCGCGCAAAACCTAACTCGTGGATTGTGCTATATACATGACCTTATGCGCATGAACGCATGTATATGAGTTTTGCTATTGGTGCATACGAGAAAAACATAGCATTGGAAGTAATAGGCTGACAAAGAGCGGATGCCAATCACTAACTGTTATTAGAAACTAAACATACATTACCTAACTATTAACCCAGTGAAATTGTTTTTTTATGGATATTTCCTGACGATATTTATGTATAGGGCAAAAGATATATACACGTAATGAGATTCACTGTAGTCATAAAAGTCCATGATAATTAAACCAACATAAAGTCAATAGTTACTAAGAAATATTTTCCCCCTTTCCCTGCCTCTGTAATTTCTCTCGGCGTCATGAGTTTCTCTTTAATATGCTGTAGAAACGTATATGAGACCTGCTTTGCAGAAAATTTTAGTGCGGCCTTTTTTCTGGCTAAGCCGAACTCTTGCCTAAAAGTCCGAACCTGCCAAAAGCCTGAACGTTCCAGACTTCTGGCAGATTCGAACATACTTCTCAAATATATTTATCTACACTTAAACATATTTGTACACAATAGGTGATTTTAGATAATGCAGTAGATAATACTGAATAGGGCGCTCGTCTAGTCTAAACCTATCGCTAAATTTATTCCTGTCTACGGTTTATTGTCGAAGGGGTACCTAATAGTATTAAGGGTCAGAATCTGGACGACGCTTCTCAGTCGGTGATATACAGCTGGTCGCATGACGTTCTTGTCGCTAAGCAGATATCAAGCATAACGTTGACTAATTATAGCATTATATTTTTTTCTATTTTATATTCTTTCTATTAAAACAACACCGTCAGCAGAAACATCGCAACTCCAAACACCTTGTCTTCCTAGGCAATGATTATTGTTTTTGTCGATTTTTCTAAAGCGTCCAATAGTTGCTAGGGTACCACATCTACAACCGCTCAAAGAAATAATCATTTGGAGTCTCTTTAGAATTTATTAAGAAGTCTAAGAATTTATTAGCCTAAGCAGGGTTTTCTAGTCTCAGGTTCAAGGCAGCACTTCGATCAAATCTATATAAACAACGCGTTTTTGAATTGTGTGTTTGCGCAGTCTTGAGCTTATTCCGACAGAATGTCGAACGGTTGTTTTGCCATGGCACGATTTTCGGTGGAAATTTTCAGAGAGGGTTTGTTGGTGCAAGGCCAGTTTTTAACAAAAAACATTTAACCCGTGACAACCATCACTATACAAACTTAGCTCTGCTTTAAACAAGGCAACTGCTTTCCAACCCCACTTGGCACAACAACAGCAGGCTGTTGTCTAGCATTGAGAGAAGGTACCCCTTGCTGCGACTTTGCAAAGCACATTTGTTTCATGTTGATATCTACCTCGTGTTGTTGTTGTCGTCGAATGCTCTGTTATTCTAGTTGCTATAAAATGCGTTCTTATCTGATTTCTAGCTGACGTCGCTCACGTACGTACACCTGCACAGCCATCGACTGTTGCTTAGTAGCGTCGGGTCAAGACCGGTGCTTCAAAACCGCTGCGGAGTCCCGACGCGGAGTGCTGTTCGGTTGTCATCATCGCGGCCCTCTCTCACCATCGGCAATCGAGCACCGTAATCGAATCGAACCATCAGCTGCATGTGGCTATTTAAGCAGGACAAAGATGGTACCGAGCTTAAGCCGGGCATTGGCGATAGTTTCATTGACGGTCTAAAGCGAACTGCTGGCGGACCGATGACGTTTCACTGGTGAACTTCCACTGTCGCTGCTGGCCGTTGCACCCGATCGTGCAGCGAAAACATTGATACAAATCTGTCGCATGCAACGTCAAAGACGCGCTTTTCCTCAACTCGCAAAATCCTAAATGGTGCCACTGCTAAACAGCTCTTTGGAATTATTGAGGTTATCGAAGGAACAGCAAGAACTGGTGAAATGCTTTCAGTAAGGAGCGATGCAACTCTGCTGGTGGCGTTCTGCTTGCTGATGCTAACGGTACGTTTAAATTATTGCACTTTTTAACTTCAAACACTCGGTATATTCAGGTGTTTGTTTTTTTAGTATTTCTCTCTGTCGTCAAATACATCTGGCCGAAGTGTTACGTTGCTTGAAAATATCCAGCTTTCGTTTACGAAACAAACAATTAGAGAAATGGTTGGTTATGAAATGGGTTCATTCACGTATTAAGTTCCATTTATCGTTCGCTCTCAGTCGCTTTACTTATGCCGATAGCTGTTACAAACAGACGTTTGTGTGATTCGACAAAAATGATTAATTGATGATGGCCATCGATTATTAATCGTGATGTTCGTTGCTATTCGATTAATTCAAGATGTCGACATAGCAATCGTTCCTCATTGTTTTAATCCACCTTGACCTCGCAATAAGGCCCACAGAGCTCAAGTTGAAGTAACGCTAGTTCCTCTTTAGAGCCTGACTGTTTTCAAGACGAATCTACCAAAAATCACTAGCTCAACTTCACTAGTATTTGTCGACACGTGGATATTGGAATTCGATTCAGAGAATATTGGGCCACGGTATTTTATGGGCTACTTATTTCTAAGATATCACGATCGCCGAAGGAAAGCAACGCCTGCATGCTTGCAGCGTTTCTGCAACTGAATCAGCTATAGTCGACGATTACCTCAGTCGAAAAACGTGTTGACCCTTCAATCAAATTTCAGCTTATGCCACGACAAAACGTTTTAAAGACGCCTAGTAGGTTTCCTTCTTTGAAAGCCATGTTACAGAATTGTGTCATATACTTTCTTAAGCCTTGTTCACATGTAAATCTTGCTTGCTACAGCGGTAAGGTGATCGAGCAGAACGTCGGTACACAACCTTTGTGTAGCAAGGATACTTTACAGCGCCGCAGGCGCAATTTTGCTTAGTGGTTACCTCAGGCGACTGATCGGTATAACGCATCAAGTACTCGATATTATGATGTATGTGTTCCTCGTTAACATTCAGCACCTGCGCATATGTAGCTAGCGTAATGGCTGCAATTGCTAGGCAATGCGTAGAAATAAGTAGCTTTTCAGTGAATACAAACAACACGATATACCATTCTTCCTCAAAATGCTGCTATACGAAAAGCGAGCTATTTTATCGTGTCCTCCTGATTTCAGGATGGTATCAGTGCCGTGACCAACGTGACTATCTATTACGAGACTCACTGCCCAGATAGTCAGAAGTTATTTGTCAACCAGGTACGTCCATACGTAGGTAGATGTGCAATTCGCTAGCAACGCTTCTTGAGAGCGTAATTCAAAGTAGGGTACATAGGACGATATGGCCAATGCGCCCTTTTTCTAGCAAAAGAGCGTATACTATCAGATTTTCGAAGTTTTCCAGATGCACACGGATCAGAGCTTCATTGCGATTCATGTTACACTTGATACAATGTTGACCAAAAGATGCGGCTCTATGGGACATCTCTCTCAGTATTCTCTTCAGCGAACTTTGTTGAACGATAAACAAGCAAAATAAGCTATCCAACTGATCTGTCCCGGAACTAGGTTTGTAAAAGTAAATTGAAGACAAGTTACTTTTCATGAAAATATTGAGTTAGATTGCATGATCATTCTGGGGCTATATATGCATTGCAAGCATATATAAAAACGGATGCCGTCAACGCTAATGTTCTAAAGAAATTGAAAACGTAAGTGGCCTTATAGTATATCTCAGTAATATATACCTATATATATTTGAAACATCGTAGTTTCCCGTCTCCTTGCCATACATCGCTCTTACTAACAACGTGCCGTATACCGTCGTTTGTTTAAAAGAATTCTTGACGGTTTTATTGATGCAGAGCACTGTTGAGACAAAACAATCGTGTAGACATATGCACCGCATTTAAGCTAGAACCTACCATGAAGAATAGTTTATATTAGAATCACGCATAACCACGAGAGTTATACTAGCTTCAGTCTGATTAACTTAGGCGTAAAAAGTGGTGCGTAATTGATACTGTTGCTCTCTTTTCCCAAACAAAATGCAGCTTGTGTTTACGTCAGCACCGGGGTCACTTGTGAACCGGCCTCATACCACACAGCAGGCCCATATAGTCCTACCGTCTACTACCGGCTACTTGGACTAATAACATAGTTCGCTTCGATTAATATTTGTTTCAAAATGAATCGATCGTAGGGAGCTCATTTCTGTATACGTGTATTCTCAGACGATACTGGTATACGTATATATACGTATACTGGTATAAGTTTTTTCTTGTGATATTGCTTGTTTTCAATGGTAGCGTTACGCAAATTTTTGGCATTATAACAATATGAGCAATCCATACAGTAGTCATGTTCTGACAAAAGCCCAAAAGTAATTAAAAATTCGCACTCTGGCCTATTCTGACCCCTTATCTACAACAACTATCTTCTTCCTAATCCATGGTGATATAATAAACATTAAAAAAAAAAAAAGCCAGATACAATATTTTGCAGCTATTTCGACTTTTTGCCAACTTAAAGCTGCCTTTCGAGCCGCAAAAGCCATAAAAGTCAGCACTCTGGCTTATGAACATTGCAAAACTTATTATACAAGAAAACTTCGAGACAGGGAATCCCAGGACTGTTAAATAATGAACGACACTTCCAGATGAGCCAAACGAGTCAAGAATAAAGTCCCTTAGTTAGAGCATACTGGATATATTCTCTGTATAATTGTTGCAACTTGTTATCTAAAATAGTTATTATTTAGTGTATAGCAATTAGCCGATTATAATATATCTTAATTATTTCTTTGGTGTATAACCGTCACATTAGAAACATATTAACAGCTGCTTAAGCACAGATAATAAGCACATCTTATGACGCACAAAACTCAGCCTCCATTAAGACCATGCAATGAATAGTAAATCATGAATCCAATGTCCCCAATGATGACACACCATATAGGTTATTCCCGCACTTGATCTCTTCAAGTCATCGGTGCTGTTCAAGTTGGTCCCATATGGATTCGCCGATTACCGAGATAATAATGGCGAGCTGAGGTTAGTATGCATACAAAAATGATTACGATCAATTTTTTTGAGAACTGCATGATATTACTTATAAACATACATATTTTTTTGAATATTCCATTTCTGAGGGCCCTTATCTTATCATAAAAAAAAAAAGCATAATTAATCTAAACTGTTACAGTATTGTTGTGAATTCACATTACAGTGGTTTCCATTGATTGTTATAGAAGCATGGCTAACTATTCCTTGCCTATCTTAACAGACACAACTTACTCTGAGTCGAAAAGATCTAATTTAAGACTAAATCCTGCTTCACCTATTATCTCGAAAACTCTTGAAATACCAACTAAGTCTATTATTATTATTACTGAATTTAGATAACAAACGTCGATTCTATAACTTTGCCGAACGAAACTAGGCGCTTTGCGATGCACGTGAGTGTAAGCCCGACATGGCCTGATTTCGCCATACGAGTAAGCTTCTTCTAACTTCATATACCTATTCCAGTTTTCGGTGTCAACATGGACCTAAAGAATGTGAAGGAAACATGCTCCATGGTTGTGCAGCAAAACATTACGCAAATTTACCTGAAAACGTTGTCCGCTTTGCAGCTTGCACCATGCGCCATGGCGTTCGCGTTCTTGATTTCGTTGACAAGGTAAGTAACGTTGGAGAGCGATCCATAAAGATAATGGCAAGATAATTCCCATTACTCCATTTTGCCCTATCTGACTATAGTAGCCACATCTTTTTTACATCGACAAGCCATGACTACAATAAAATAACGCATTTTTATAGCAAAAAAGAAAACGTTATAACGGAAAAAATATTCCAACTGAGTTATTTAAATGCTAATCAATTATAAAAAAAAGCCTTGGATAGAGATCACTAGCAAAAAGCAACGATCTTCAACTTTCTATACGGTTCATAAACAAATGCCTCAAAGAAGTTCTATCATAATTATTCATGCATATGCATCTCATGCACTTATGTTAAATAGTTCTCAACGACTTACACAATAATTAAGAATCATGTGTTAAAATATACGCTTGATTTTACATCGAACAGCTTTCTTTCCCTTGCCAGTAAGGCTACTCAATTACGGGCATTGTGACTATGTTTTCAGTGCGCAACCCTTCAGAAATTCTCGGCAGCGATGCTGCGGGAATGCGCGGCCATCGAGGGGCCCCACTTACTCCGCCAAATGGGAGACGAGACCACAGCAGCAGCTGCGCGACTTTTCCCGGGCAGGAGTCGATTCAAATTTATCCCCAGTACCTTTATTGACGAGGTGAATAGTAATCGATTAAATTTTTTTACTAATCAGTTCCTCTTCTTGTTCCAGTACTGTTTCTTCTGACCACAGATTATTTTTAAAATGCTTTAATATTACTTTTCGAATAACTTATCTGTTTAGCCTCGGTTCGTAATTAACGTTACGAATTTTACGCCCGCTACTGCCGTCAAACATAGCTTCAAATTTAGAAGTCATCACCTGCGGTTCTTGTTGCAGAAAGCCTATGTTCAAGAATCAGTGAATGATCTTCAAGGAACGATCTGTCGTGTTGCCGTCGACAGACCTGCCCAGTGTTAGTGCTTTGTGAAGAAAGCTAGCATGTGTTGTATATTCCTTAGAAAGAGTTTTAGGCATTTATGCTTTATATAAGTCAGTATAAGCCCACGGAATGCTAATACGACATATTTTTTTAATAAAGCGGACATTTATAATAAACACTGGATTTTTACTGTAATAACTGCACCCGAAGCTTGAATGAATGAAAATATGAATCTTGCCTATCTATCACAAGAAAGGCAATAAGTAGAGCGGCGTGTTGGTAAGGCCATTTCCGATAAATGGCTCTATTTTCATAAATGATGTTCATTTTATTAACAAGCACTTTAAGTTGAACACTGGTATTATGTAATATTTGTGGTACCATTGCAATTTTATTTTACCAACTTGTTTAAAGTGTGTTGGTAAGGGAAATTACATTGCATTAGATCCTACCTAATCAGGCAATAGATCAGGTACCAGTTCATGCTTAATAATGCTGTACACTATGACAAACTTTGGTGCAGGCAAATGAAGGGGTAATCGTTCTGTTAAAAAAAATTAGCTCAGCAAAAGACTACCCTCATACAACTTCCAAATCCTTTACGAAATATCAAGCAAAAAATCAACATGGGAAACAAAAAGACATATTTCAAGATATACGAATCGCATGGCAGTTCTATTAAAACCTGACTTATTGGGCTCCACTTTACCAATTAGTAACTCATATACTGTCACAGTTAGGCTAGACACGTATAGACTTTAAATGTGTACTTAAGAATAGGGTCTATAAGAAGTATAGGTATATATTAGCCTGGGAAGGAAGTTTTTTTCCTGAACTGAAAGTACCATATTTTTTTATTTATATATGTAACCATAAGCAACATATAATAATAAGCTACTATGTTATATTTTCCCCGTCATTGTTTGTTGTTGTTGGCGATTTTCACCCACCTTTTCAAGAAACAATGTATGCCGTCTCGGCAGAAGGTAGCAGGTTTCGTCTCAAAGAAGTTCTTGAACTATGTTTCGGATTCTCGCCCGTGTTGAGGTTAAAACCACGAATATAACAACCCTATAAATAGAAGAGGTGACAATCACCAGTGCAGGATTCAAAGAATATAAAAGGTGCTACAAAATCTCTCATTCGAAATCCAGGTGGGCAGTTTTGACCATGTAACCGTGGCCTCGCGTTGCTATAGTGCAGGATGACCTCTCTTCGTTTGTCGAGTCTATTCTCCTGACTAGCTTCATTAATTCGACCCAAGTAAGCCAAATAAACGTGGTGATCAACTGTTTAATTCGTAGGAAGCAATTTCCAGTCAATTAGCCCCCGTAGCCCCACCAAGTGCAAAGCATGATCCTTTTTGAATAGATATCCGGTTGGACCCTGGGCCTTGGTTTCTATCTTGGGGCCACCCATTTCGATCTCTAATTTATGATTACATACATACACCACTTCTCATCGTAATTCCGTGAAAAATCTGTCATGGTGGCCACATGACGGACGTTGAGCGAAGTTTTGAAGTTAAGCCGTCGATTCTTGTTAACTTTTAGAGAGTTGATGAGGCACCCAAGCTCGAAGTGCCTTCATCAAACTCAGACCGTCGGTGACAGGCGGAAGGGGGACATCCTCTAGGCACCGGATGCTTTTTTAAATGTGGCGAACTTTTTTGAGCAGTCCTTCCAGCGGTACCATTGTTACGATACTCAAGACAGGTTGCGAGATGATTCAGCAGCGCTTTGACTTTCACAATATGGTAGTACAGAAAATGTTAACGATGCACTTTTTCCCACAAGAACATCTACTTCTGAGGCGTCTTTTCAAGTTAATAACAACGTAACAACGTAACAATTACAATACGCTGGTGGAGCAGGAAGATCGTTTTCGGAAGTTTACTTTATTATGATACAATTTATTCACGTTCTCATTAGAGAATCACTCTCAACAATGCTAAAACCGTCTTCGAAGAGCTTGAAAATATGCGAATCTGTTCATCACCTTTGCTATATGGATACATATTTTACCAAATTTCGACTAAACCCATATCAACGCCCATTGATACTTACATCAAAATGCAGAACAGATGCCAGAGGCTTCGACATGGTCACCCTTTAATTAGTGAATTCTGGGGGTACATGTCAATTCATATAAAACATTCAGTAATCCTTTTGCGGCATCTACGTTATTCAAAAGAAAAACTCATAGCAATTTTAGACCCATATACAGGATACGCAATAAAACGTTCCATATTCATTTACTTGAGGTTAATAATTTAAGTCGTTCGATATTGTTTAAGTAGGAAAAATGTATTCTAGAATAAAGCGAATATTTCGTGAACCTGACGTTCCACCTCAACCTTATATATATTTTAATGAGACGAACCGGCAATACGAACGATACGCTTTATAAAGGACCTTGAAAAGCGAACTTCGAGCGAATTGAATGCTTAGAACCGCTGCTTGTACCCTGGTCAATAGTTATTTATCAGCGACAATTAAATATTTTTTCTATATATGTCTATTTTTGTTCGCTTAATTAAAGCGCTTTCTTCTCACTTCATTTTCCTTCTTTCTTTTAAGTACTTGATGAGTGTGTGCAGGCGCTATCAGCTTCGATGGTTTTGTCTACCCTGTCAGCCGTAATTTGATGAAACATTCTAATATAATTTTAACACTACTGCAAACGTTGTCGTTGTTTACTCCTTTATTGTATGTTTTAGGAATATTGTAGTTAGCAACATGCGTTAGTATAGGTCTCTTTCTTTGAGGGCTGAGGCACAGCAAGCGCGAACTGCTATGCTTCATCTGCGCCGCCTATTAGACATCTTTAAAACTGTAGTATTAGGAACAGGTCAACTCAATTTTAGAATCACAAAGGAACAGCATCAAAAAAAGATACGGCCTTCCTCCCTTAGGCAAATGTCAGTCTACGCTTCTATCTGTCCGCCTAGATGCTTATATCCGTGTCAAGCAGCAGAAATTTCACTCCCGCCGTATGCCGTTGCTACTCCAAAAATTTACATTCAAAGTAGCCCTGCACAATGGATGGAATGCAAGTAAATTTCAGATTAACGTTAGCCAACGTTACAGATCAACATAACCTTAATGAAACTACTGAAACAACCACAGCATGCCCATGCGTACTGTAAGCCGAACAAGCCCCCAAAAAAATCTAGCAAAAAAAAATATAAACTCGTTCCCTAGTAAGAGAGTTTAAACAGTATATCGACAACAGCGTGACTGTAACATGAAAATATATCCGGTATGCTAACTGCAGTTTCCATATTCTCACACATAGGGTACAAATAAGCCAGTGCAGTGAATGGCCAATTATCTCACGCGAAAATATTGGGTATATATTTGAAAGCTAGAGAAACTGACGATTAAATAAATTTACTTACTACTTTCACAATTAATATTTAAAAAAAAGGCTGTTCTGCTTTTCGACAATACACTGAATTGTTTTGCTAGTTTTTTTGGGATACACGCAGTGTGCTACCATAATATTATTGTTACTTCTAATTTCTTAACTATTGCAAGCAACCTTTCTTGAGCATTTTATCCGCATTAGTAGGCTCTTGCATACTTAGCTGATGATCGCTCACGTCAAGAAGAAGCCCGTCAAGCTAAACAGAACTATGCGCCTTTAAGCACAAGCAAGATATAATGAAATAAACGCCTCAATAAATTCTAACTTAGACCATGATACCCAATTAGGGATGATACACGAGCGAAAAATGCTCGAACATATCATAAACGTTAAAGCTATTTGCCCAGAACTGTAAAATATATGTATTCCTTAAAAGCATTGAAAGGAAATACAATAAATAATCACTGGAAAACTTTTTTCTTTGCCAACAGCTTTATTTGCTTACAGGTCTGGCCAGTGCCATCAGAAAATATTTGCATGGTTACGTGCATTGCATATATGTGTATGATATATAACGTTTGATTATCAAGCACCTGTTACCGGTCGCTATCTGGGCTAGGAGAATGCATTCCTCTGCGTAAATACCCGTCCTTTTTTCTGGGTTCGATTAAAGTGCGAGCCGCGTTATAGATCGATGAACAGGCGCTTAACGCTCCCGTTAACAATGCCTCTGGAAGAGCCTCCGCCTCTAAGCTATAATAAACAGAAAAGGTTACTAGGAATATGGTTAGGTAAAGCACACATAATAAAAAAAACGGTTTAACGTTTACGTAACCTGTGAATACTGCCAAGAGTCTAGTATCATAAAAGGAACAAGCAATTTGCTTCAAACAACTTCAAACAATAGTCCCAAACGCCTGTCCTGTGCATTACTTGCTTTCAGCGCTAAAACAAAGGTAACATTATTGCATATTGTGTACATTGCGTATTTTGAAAAAAAAAATGTCATTGCTCGTATTTAGAGAGGGGAGGCAATCAATAGAATTAATATGATCCAAGCACGTCTCGCTTGTATAGCCAGGGTTGCATATGTCAGAATAAGGTTACTCCATGTTAGTTACGAACCGATATTGTTGCTGTCGCGGTTTGTGCCGAAAGTGCATGGCAGTGGCCATCGATGGTCCTTGTGTCATGCGTGAAGATGCTCCTTCTTTTCCGAAGTCACCTCCCGCACAAGTTCTGCTCTGAGCTGCTCGCTGAACAGCTGGACTTGACGGGGGCGTTGTTTCGAGGTCGAAACACGCAGGCAACTCTACCTCCAGTTCATCAAGCACCTTGAATGATGTACACAGAAGTGTATTAACAAACATTACTATACAGTAAGCCCCAAACAAGCATTTCCATATGCGCATAAGAGACGGTGTAAAACCAGTCAACGGACACTTTTAAGGGGCCACATTTCAAATATTGGACGAGAATTATAACGTTTTTTTTTTTATAATATGTCCGGCAATACAGTTCGGCATCTATCTGTCTTTTCAAGACGTCTAGTTTATATACCAAAGAACAGTACAGCTTCTTTTATTTAGAATTTTTAGACTCAAGTCTGTGAGAATTTCTTTTCTTTATTAACGCTAGGCACATATTTGTTGGGTGCCCACTTTCGTTCGGTATTGGCTTTAAGCAAAATGCAAGTATGTGCCTCGCAAACAGCGTTTCATGTCTGGCAGTTTGCTCTTGAATGGTTATTACATATTATTCAACAAGTTCAATTCTGGCTTTCAGATGGTAATAACACTAGTTGGATTAATTCTCAAGCGATTTCAACACAAAATCCGATGAAAAGCACATGGATGAAAATCACTCACATCACTTGAGATATCCTGACCGGTGGTGTTGTAGCGGTAAAAAAATCGAGAATTTGGAAGAAAAGATAACTTAGTTATTACATTGTTCATAGCATTACTATAGATGAGGCAATATATACGGAATCCTCAAAAACATATATCAAGCTATGCAATATTCAGGCTTCCCAATTCTTGACGACTTCAGCTACTGATATGTCCACATAGCGATAATTATTAGAATTCCATTTAGGTTTAACTGGTTCTAATTACTTTTACCAATCCGGCTCACAAAATGCATGTTTCTATAGAACACATACATAATTTTCTTACTAAGACTTCTAAGCCGTTCTACTAAGCCGTTCAAAACACTAAAAATTATTTAGATTCATCTATAACAATATAGACACTTCGCGATTGGTGAACTGCCCTAATTTCCTTCAATTTCTTCCTCGAATAGCTGCTAGTTGACTGTATTCATTCAACTGGATGTAGAACTCAACAAAGCTAAACAACAATATAAGTCTTATTTAATAGGCACTCACGTCGCTTGAGATTTCCTGCATCGAAGGCCGTAAATAAAGATTGATATCGTATAAGTAACAAATAGAAAAACAGAGCCTATGACATAGGTGTTATGTGCAAGTTGTTTTTTTAAATAGATCTAGAAAACTCTGTTGTATAAGCACATCCTATGCCTACAACGTTATCGAAGCGCCAACTTTTTGCAAAACTTTTCCATATATCAGTCATGTGTATATTGTGTTCTACTTTCCGATAGTAATTGAAAAACATGCCATAAAATTAGCATATGATTGATATATGGACACATATGCAGTAATTGTCGATAGAGCGATGTAAATCGATCATTCTTCTTCAGCATAAATAGATCTTAGTTACTTGTCGTAAGTTATTTTTCTAACCTGGACGGAGCTGTCTTCGCGGACTATGACATTGCACCATAGTTTGTGCCCAAAGTAACCATGATCCGGGTGAAATAATCTGGAACGAATAAAAAGTACAAGCCGTGTCTTCTAGTACGATTAATATAAGATTTGCTTTACAATTCAGTGTTACATGGACCATAAAGTGCTTCCGCGTCATATTTTTATTTAATGGATAATATAGGAAAAAAGCAAAAGCTTGTTAGGCTAGCTTGAAAAAAATGTTTTCTATTCCATAGGGCCAATAAAGCTGGTGTATAAATCTCATCTAATTGTGCTCCAACGTGTGAAATTAGCGTTTGGATTTTAGGTAATTACCAATAGTTCTCTTGTTATTGGACCGTGCAATGTCCATTTTATTGGCTACACACCGAAAATGTACTTGGTAATGACCGTTATGGGCTGGCAGAGAGATGGGTACCCGGATAACGCCTTCTTCATTCACCTTAAGCCTTGGGACCAACGCCGTGTGTGACTAGAATACAGCAACAATACAATATACCTTGGTACACAAAATATACAATCCGTATGACGTCTAGAGTAATCATGACAGTAAATGGTGCTCATATATAAAGGCAACCTACAAATTTTACACCGAACGATCTCGTATAGTCGGCTTTCGTTATGCTTTTGCATACTCTTGCAGTTGGGTCAGGAACTCACATTCCTGACCCAGTGCATTACCTTAATTTGAATTGTTATTATATATCCTGTCTTTTTTAGAAGAAAGTTTCTCTAGCAATAACAATCCCCTAAAAGCTTTCGTAGAGGAAGCTAAATAGAATGTACCGATCGAATGTATGCTTCGATCAATTCTCTTACCATTCCTAATTCGCCCCAGCATTGTCGTAGACAAGTTCCTTCAGGCCAGTCACGTGTTCCTGCATGCAAAATGGTATTAAGTACATCGTTATAATGAAAGATCGTATGTTTAAAGACAATTATAGATAAATATATATATATATATATATATATATATATATATATATATATATATATATATAACTAATGATCGCTTTTTTCTGATTCGAGGAGGAAATCACTGCTTGAAATAGCTGCACCACAATTAATAAGTTGAATGATTTTGGGAAATCACACAGGCATTAAGTAATTTTACCCGAGTTCCGTACTCTCCAGCCTTTTTCAATATCCACGGAAGGTTCAACCACGCTCCAGTCTGGAAAGGTCTCGTCTTCTATGAAGTCACAGGCCAAATCAGAGCTCACTCGAGACACCGAAGCGATCAAAGGTCGCCGATCTTCTGCAACTAGGTGATCATCCTGCGCAGAAACGAAATTTCGACCCATGTTACCGATAGTCAACAAAAATATATAAATATGGTCATAAACTTATTAGGCGTTTAGTGTCTAACAAGGTCCCCGATAGCTATTGTAAATTTGAAATATCAGGCTCGTTACATATATATATACTCATTTGAATGATGCAGGCATTCCTCCTTATACAAGTACTTCACCTACTTATGTAGCATACCTCACATAAATCAAGCCAATGCACATTTTCAAAACGAGAAGAAATTAATTGCCGAACTTCATATAACCGAGAATTGGGAGGAACCTGCAAAGTAATAGGAATATGATAGTTATATAACAAAGTTTATTAACTTCAATGTAAACTGCTATGTAAAGGAATCTAAATAAAAGTTAGAATACATGAAATGCGGCTGTTCTGGGACTGATATTTTTATTAAGAAATTCCAAGAGCATTGCCAAACTTTGACTATTGTTCTAGGTTGGGTTTTCAGTTGCGTGAAAGCCATTTAAGGCATCGTCCAACATATTCCTGTTTGGAGCGTTTAGATGGAAAAAGAATTTTTTATATTTATCCAATCCGTTATCTATTATTATTGTAAAATTAACGTTTACGATGTTCGATACAAACCTCAAGGTTTAACCGCACCTCTACTCGCTCCATCGTGGTTTATGAGGTAAGTAACACAGAAGCCGATTGTTTGCTGAAAAAATTGAAGGAGAATTAGGATCGATGGGTCATCCTCATGCAGCTGCACGGATTCACTTGGGACTGAGATCGGATAACTGAGAAATTTATCGGCCTCGTATAGTTTGGTTGGCAACTTAAACGAAACTGATTCTATGATTTTCACAACGTATACCATTAGAATTATTTCAATGGTTACTGAAATTGCAATATTACGGACAAAATAAATGAACTCTTTCCATTATGAACACATCTGGTTCGTTTTACCGATATGATTATATTACTTGCGCCAAAGCTTATATGGTTATATCCACATGAGCTTTGGCGCAAAAAGTGGCCATTAGTTTCAACGTGAGCATTTACGATGTGTACATCTTTCTAGCATCTAAATAATAGCAGTACAAGATCATGCACTGTATTAACCATTATTTGATATAACGATACCTAGTTTCCAATACGAACTTCGTTGAAACAAGGCGAAAAACGCATCAAATCTCACTCCTGGTATGATTAAATTTTGCTCTGTTCTCAGGATGAACTGTGAAGCGTTCGTTTACTTATAACTCGGACTAACTTGACAATGGGTTTAGTTTTGTAAACGTATTGTGAACAAATCATTCGTCAGCGCTAGTGGAACCCTGACTAGGAATAATATTATCGCAAATCTACGCCCGTTTTTATCTTTGTTCTTTTTTAAGTACTTAACAGTGTACATGCTACAGTGCAAACATTTCCATCTGTGCCCGCGCTTAATTCAAGCACTCAGACCATTGACTTGACGGGACACGCGATACGCAATACCACATAATAGAATAGGTCCTTGCGCTAGCCACTATTCAAGTGACGTTGCTATATCGAACAATTCCTGCAACACGCACGAATGAAAAAACGCATCGTTTCGGTTAAAGATGATGATGACGACAATTATAATCATTAAGTCTGAAAATTTTATTCATCTGCGCGCCGTTACGTACTGTACATGTTATTTGGTAAATCAAACATATTCCACAACATGATGCTTTCGATCTTTTTATTATTTTCTAGGTGAATAATTTAAATTTATGGCACGATCATATCAGTTTCTCAAGCTCGTCTACTTCAGGCTTCAAGATTCCTACCTTCACGGTTGTCCAGCTAGGGTAAGGCCCTTGCGCCGACGGATTCGTGAGCGACTAACTTGTTTCCTGGCCGAAAATAATTGATGGATAACTTCTTCAATATCACCGATCACTATAGAGTTCGTACAACTTCGATGACATAAAATAGATTAAAGCCTCTTAAATCGACTTCCACATTACCACCATATCGGGTCTTGACAAACATGTATGATTCGATACACGTTTTTTAATTGAATTTGGCCAATACAGCTTTTACGGAATTCGCACATTATTTTCATCTCATGTTCCGTCGGTTACACGGGCACCACACATACGCGAACTCGCACTGGAAATGTCGTCTGATTTGGCGGTCGAGTTGGATATTAATCTTTTCAAATAACAACCGTCACCCACACAAAGGATAGCGTCATCGTTTGCGTGTCACAACAACTAACCGGCAAGTGGAATAGTTCCGCCAGTAACAAACTGCCACATTGAAGCGAACCGAAGTCAACAACGAACCATAGTGCTAGTGGTATTAAACGAGCTAACAGGACCTTGTAGGCGCATGACCGACGACGCATCCGCTACAATCGCCGACCATGCTGCCACATTTCTGGTTAGTGGACACGTCAACCGACGCGCAGTTACTCGTATGAGTAGTACGTATACGTTCGTTTTCAACTGTCGCCAGTTCAAAGCGTACCTTTTCTCTACAAGCAGTAAATCCGACCAATAGTTGCACGAAAGTAAATTGACAATCCTTCTAAGCACTGCGCTGCCTGCTATTCATTCCATCATTTCAATCCAACAAGAGCTTTAGCAGAAGGACCAGAACAGATGTCCCAACCAACCCTTCCTCCTCGTCCATTCACCCATCGCAGCACCAGCACAAGGCGACTAGACGGCCGCTGTAGCTCCTACAAGCACAGATTGCGCGCAGCTGCAACAAAAATCAGCTGAGCAGCAGTTAACCTCAGGCCCCACATACAAGGTCCAAAGAGGCGCCCGTTCGATCTGCAGCTGTTCCTATTACTATCGATAGCAGAGCACAACACTTCGATAGTCACAAACAGGAATCAAAGACCTATAGAGCCAAACAAAAACCCCGTTTAGCCGGCAGAGCACGCCAGATTCTCTCGCCATAAACAGCGGGTGTGTGCAGACGGCATGATAACCGATGGCAGAAGAGAGAACATGAGGGAGGTCGAAGAGGGTGTTGCTAATGAAAAGATTGGCGATGTCGCTAAACACGAAAGTCAGCGATAGCAGTCAAAGGCCAAGCAGTGGTACTAGCGCCACCGCAATAGAGAAGAGACGAGCATTGTGATCAGCTGTTCGATACTCGCGGGCCCGGGTAATCGGATGATAAAGAGGCGGAGCCAGACGCTACTACATTTCCCAGGCCTACTGCAGCCAGTAATAGAAAGAAAGGAGCCAAAAGGGTAGGTAATAAGGAAACCGTGTCACTGACTTTATCATAGCATCACTCAGTCGTTGTTGTTATGGGTACTGCTGTCATTGTTGCAGATGTAATGTAAGCTAATCGTAATGCTATTAGAAGGCATAAAAGTTGTTAAGCCAGTCGTCTCAAACGTATTTGCAGGTTGCAGTGATCTGATGAAAGGTTAAATGGCCTTAAGATGGTGTGACGGTTGGAAGTCAGATGTAAATAAAAAGACAAAACCTATTTGTTATGTGAGCTGTACAGAAGCACCTGTCTGTGTGACTATGGCGGTCAGATGGTGTGGCAAGCGACGAATCTGCGCGTATTAGGGTTGAAGGAACGCTGGTCGTGATATTGAGAAACTAAAACTCAGCGAACATATTTTCGTTTTATTGATTTTTTATTTTCTTCCTTTTTAAATTAACCCTGTGACCTTTTTCATATCTTTTTGTTTTCAATGTGTTAAGTCAACATAGGTGTAAAAAAATGCATATTGTAAATTTTAATGCTGCAATTTTTAATTGCAGTAAATTGATTTTCTGATTTTTTATACTCGTTGAATTTTAACATCAATTTTCAGTCAGAATTTCAGCAGTAAAAGTTCCACACTAAATTTACAGATTTAAGTGAATTTTCAAATAATTTTTTCCTAATTGCATATTTGTATTTTTTTAGGTTCATTACAAGTTAACCGTTCACAGCGTTTAGTTTAAATTTATATTTAAAGTTGTATACGTTCAGATTAAATTGATAGTTAGCCAATACGCCTATTGCGGTGGGCATATTTGCTTCAACATATTCTGTCCTTGCAAAACTGACAGAAGTAGATGCTAAATGAACTTGTTCGATCGGTTAAGCAGCATGTTCGAAGTTAACGCGTCATCAGAAAAAAGGATGCACTAAGCCCGTGCATCGCAAACGTTAACGTCCTCTGTTAAGTCAATATCTTGTCTATTGTTTCCTCGTGGTACGTTAATAATCCCCATCGATGAAAGCTCTGTCAATATCAATATGTCTGTCATATATCAATAGCAATATCAGGGTCTATAAATGGCATAATTCAAAACTTATTAAGAATCGTTTTACTTCTCCATTTGATGTGCATTAAACTATATTACCATTAAGAAAACGACTCTCACGACCTGAATAGCCAAACACTTTAAAGTTGCCCGCCACAACAGGCATTTTTATGCTTCCAAAATAACGTTCCACGGTCATTTCTATGCACCACGAAAATTAGCCAGGCAATATCCCCGCAATGTTCCATCACCAAATAATATTAATAACAATAATATACACATCAATTATATCTAACCAATGCGGTCATTAGAGCTTTTACTTTTTAATAATTTATATATTATACAATATAAGCACTGATATTGTCGGCACCACCAAGGTATCGTACCACTCAATGCTCTCGTGTGGAGCGACGGATTAAATGATGACTCGCCACAAAAAGCAAGCTTTTTTGAGACCAGAAGCATTTCGTTTAAGCGGGGCCCGTTTGTTTTCAAGTGTCCAAGTCGCCTGCTGATTTGCTCACAATGCTGACGGCCCGCCTTATTTGTATGGCAATGGTGATTATATGTTGGTCTATCTATGCCGTCTAGTGAAAGCAGCAGCAGCAGCAGCAGACGTACGACAATTGCTAAGGGGGGTCGATAGCGGCTGGCAACGAAGTCGAAAACGTCGAGTCGAGTCCGACGAGTTTTTCTAGTTATTTTTCCTCTTTCCTACCCTGCTTCCCCTTTGTACGTATACACAATCGCTTAATCACCTAATCAAGGAACTGTTGCCTTTGTGTGCGTCCATATTTCAACGGTGATCATTGAGCCTCATCTGGTTTTATTCAGCTGAAGTGAGTACACTGTTGGTGCAGAACAGCAGCCGTCGTTACAGGATACGAGACGCAGTACTGGCCAAAAGTAGTCTTGCCTGCCTACCGCGGCTGACCAATATCAACGGTTATGTTATTGGCTTAGGAAAGGAGTGCGCATTCATGTTATAAATGGAATGGGAGCACTCTAAACCGGAAACATTTTGACTGAGTAAAAGCTAGCAGCACCGCAAACTCGTGAGCAAGAATATTGTTACGTGTATGATTTTAGAAGATGTAACGTCAGTCGAAGACGCTAGGCGCGACTACTTGCTAGCTAGAGGATTTGAGAAAATCACTTTAATGTAAATGTCGGATTTAATACTGCTAGGCCTGTCGTGGTTGTGAGTCAGACCGACATCAAGCCTTCAAGAAGGAAGCGTCCATTTTGTCGAATGTATCTGCCGGCGTCTCCGATCCCGAATCTTCTATAGATAGCATATGAATTGCAACGAGAGAAACGGAATTTCGGATCGAAATTTTTGTGTCCGGATTGAAATTTTTGTGTCCCTGTGCCAGAATACATGCGTATATAAATCGAGTGCATTTGTCAACCAATTTTAGTGTTATCCAAAAGCAGAGCACCGAAGACCATTAGAGTTTCCATGTAATGTTTATTTTTTTTATTGCCACATAGTCAACTGTTTTGAACTACCATCATCGGGTCTGGTCAGTTCAGTTTTGACTTTGTGAAAATCTTGCTCTAGCTGACGATAACAATACTGTCATAAGCCGAAATTGCTTTAGCCGTTAGAACTAGAACCGCTTTATCAAAGAGCGAAATCTTTATGTATCAGGATGGTTGCACGTACCCTATACGTAGCGAAGCTGCTCCATTGCAGAACACACAGCAACGAAGATTAATACGCATTTACGTCCCAGTGTACGGTATAGCAAACAGGCCGAGAGCGGCGACAAGCCCGATATAAGTAAACAGTGCATCCTCCATACAGATGTAATTTGTGTTACGACCTGCGAGGTGTGGTCATCACAACCAACCCAGCCCTTTTTAATCTTAATTACAGTATTTTTTTCAACGATTCAGCGGGGCGGGACCAGCCCCTCCCTCACTATTTGTAAAATTCGCACTCGTCTAATTCAGCCTTGTTAGTAATTGAGTGTCGTAAAATCTGCGTACATCTATCTACTGTTGCTGCTCTTTTTGGCGTCCTCTACCAGCAGAAGGAAAGTGAACTCTAATTATAGTCTGGTTGTCTGTGTGTCTGTTTGTGTTTTTGTTTGTGTGTCGATTTGTATGATTTGCGCAGGGAACATTTCAGTGCCAACGAATCAAATCACTAACTGAGTTGTAGTCAAGGACTTCGCTTTCTTCAGCAACGACAGCTGCCGCAGGGAACTGACAAGTACTAGATGCTGTGGCTATTTAGTTAGTGCTGCCGCGGGTGTCGCTTAGTGTCATAAAATTCAGCTGGACTAGTCCTAATTGCTTCTAATTAGGCCACAGTAAGCCAGCTAGGACAAAATTACGACTCTAATCACGTCGAAGTATTATTGTTTCGCTATTGTTGTTGCCGTTGAATCAGCTGATCGTTTAACGGATGTGCTGCATCTGAGGCAAAGTTGAAGCTGAAAGCAGCTAAGTGGTCAAGCAGTGTATAGATACACACATACATACGGGTTTTACTAACTATATAGTCGTTCCGTCAAATACTGAATAATGGCTGAAGCTGCGGAAGCAGGTGGAACCGAATCCGGTGGAGGTCGTCATGCGCGATTTTATTGCCATAAATGCAGTCTGCAAATTCTGCCTGTTTTACCGGTAAGCAATCTATGATCGGTCTATGATCGACAGCTTATAAATAATCGCGTACGTTTAACCGTAAATTTAAAAGTTTGCAAACGTAAACCAACGGCTATACATCAAACCGTCATGAGAAAGAAATTGATTCTATTCACATAATTGCCACTGCTCATGATTAATAGGCATGTTCGTAAGTGTTCTTGTGCATACTTCTCTGGTAATGCTGTCATTTCACTTGGAACATCTGTCAAGCTATTAAATTTTTATTTTTTAAATGTCTATCTTTTTCGAGCAAATCAGGTAGTTTTTAACACGAACTTTCAAGTTTGCTTTGACATTCAAAAAACATACACAATTTTTTATTGAGGTGACGCTTATTCCGTAGGCCTAACTTATGCTGCATATAGGACTCAAAAATTGACCTTGTAGAAGTGCCTATATTCGAAATCTTAGTCCTTAGCCATTTTTCTCTATGCGAAGCATGTGGCGTTTTCGGTATGTGCGGATGATATCAAATTCTGGGATTAGTTTCTGTAAGCTATTACGGCTGTTACATATTAATCTTTCAATATGTATGACAAAAAGTCTTCAAGTTAAATAAAGGATTATTGGTATCGACTGAGCTTTATACTAAATAGAGCTAGACTTGGTAACTCGAACATAAGTAAAAACTTTTCGCCTAGAGCATACAAATAGCATGTTTATCCAGCATGGTCGCACGTTCTGTTCATTGTATGAATATTGCCAGAGCTGTTATCGATAATTGACTATGCATATAGCAATACATCAAACTTGGTCCAAAAAATATCATACTGCTTACTTTTAAGAAAGCGTATCGTATAACTCTTGCTTCGATTCGCAGCGCTTTAAAATGATGAATATGACTCATCGCGCGTATGTTCGCTGACCAGTATTAATTTTACTTGTAAATTAATAACGGCAATTTGTATTGACATTAACTTAAAGAAAAAAAATATACATTTCATACTATTGGTAAAATAAAAACCCGATAACTACACAGAGTAGTACTCTTTTAATGCTGCTATGATGATTGACTTTCTGGGACCTGTCTGATGTCTACAATACAGGAACTTCTATGTCCTGTGTGCCGAGGCGGATTCATCGAAGAGATGTCCGATGCCGTGGGAGAACGGAGAGAAGGCTTTGCTCATGTTTGGGCTAATGTACTCAACCGAGGCAACAGCAGGTAAATTGAATAAAAAAAAATTAGCCAGTCGGATTTACGACTATGAAACTGTAGAAAATTTAGACTGAAGGAAGATACCGCTCGAAAATTGGATAATGTTCGCATTTGTTGATATTTAAAAAAAGTGGTAAACATGTTGCTGTGGTTGGAACTGTTAAATCATTTCTCTCAACATTACTTGATTTCGGAGTATTGACTAAAACGATGGTTATCAATAGTTTTGCTATTCTATAACTCTACTGACTTTTACAAAACTTTTCTTACTTTTTTATCCGGGTGGATAAACTATCTCATGAACAGAAAATTAGAGGTGGCTAAATTATACACAATGAGGCCTTACAAAATCTCATACGTTATAGACCTATTGAGCTAAGCATAGGTAAATGACGTTTGCATAATCTATGACTATCATTTTCGTTATTATTTTCAGCCGCTTACCGATGTACCTGTTTAATCATATTTTTACGAACCTACTGGAGTCCGCCAACACGAGTGGCTTAGGAAATCTCCAAGGAAATGGATTGTAAGTACTATTAGTGAATCTCTTACGTTATGGTAAATCGGCGTCCATGTATGCAAGCGAATTCTAAAAAACTGTGGATTTCTGAACTGAAAAAATTCTAAAAAAATAGAATTGCCGTGCTCAAATGTATTCACACCATGACGTATGGTCACTGTGAACATGCCCAGATATTTTAATTTTTGAGGGGCTTAGCGCAAGGGCATAACACGGTTGAAAACGTAAGCTTGAATTGTAAAAATGGTTACTAAAAAAGCCGCAGGCACGAAAACGTTGATAGGGATTAGGAGCTGCGGAATGGAACTGTTTTCTAATTACCTTGCCGTTCGTTTAACGAGGAAAAGTAAGGAATTATTTTACCTTTACGGGCGTTCTGTTACATAGAGAAATTCAGGGCATCTCCATGTACTGAAGCATGGTGCCAGAAATTACTAATTCGCTGGATACAGTTTTTGCCCAGTTGATTGAGACCATATGCTACTAACCAGATAATATTCGAGTAACATCTGCATAGAATGGGTACGCACTGTTCTATGTAACATACCATGATAAATAGCATCTTCTTCAACAACTCGCTGTATCATTTTGAAAAAAAAAACGAGATTCAGCTGCAATCAGAATGAGGTACTGACTTGGAGCGAAACTACGTTGCCCGCCTCACTTGTTTACCTTGTTTTTGGTCTGGAAGTTGCTGGTGATAGAAATATATTATGCACACCTGGCTTAAGTCATTTAGGCAGTGCGTTAGTCAGTTATATGTGCATTCTTGGTAAGGCTCGAAAGGACCTAACTAACAAACCTACTCCAGAGGCCGAAAAAATAGGCATCGGAATCGGAGACAGCCTGTGAGAGAGTGAGAGGGATAAAAGGAGTTCAACAAGCCACAGCCTCAGTCATAACTCTAAACTCCTTTCTTTTAAGAATAAACATCGACTCATAGTTTGTAAAGACATATTTTTCGACTGTGGTAGGCACCTCTAATTAATTTTAGGTTTTCTCCTCGAAGCCCGAAGTCAATGCACTTTCAGGATATGAACTCCATATCGTCTACATTGCCCGAATTGCAGACATCAGTTTTAGTTTTGCCCATTCTGTCTGGGTTGCAGCCAAAAAAACCGTGTCCACTAAGTATTTGTGTTAGAACTCGCGTACCACTTTGGAGTGTTTCCTTACGATTTCTGCTGTACATACTCTTGCTGATTGCCATTTTTTCTGCCCATTCGTTAACATTCCTTTTTGAGTTCTAACTTCGTACTTCTGTGAAAGCATGGCTAAATTCTCTCCGTAGTTTGGAGAATTTAAGGTTCTCTTTCTATCGCTGTAATAATATTTTAACCAATGGGTTCTAAAAGCTTCAATTCTCCTGATGGCAATTTATCTTTGCGTTTTTTGTGTTACTTGAAATCTTCTTTTCCCCAAGGTGGAAGCACCGTACAATACAACCGAGTCGGTTACAGATAAAATTTTCTGTGGTCCACCCCTAGGACTGCCCAGATTCAGCAATAGTTTCCCCACATTATTGATAGTTAAAATTGCTTTATGGCATAGTCGACATGTTCCTCCCACAATTAGCGTACAGTCGATCACTGTTATTCGGCCGAACCATGTGGTGTCTCAGTTTAATGTAAATCGCACCAACTTGCTTTCTACTACCTAGGAATGCTAACTCTTTTCCTGACGCCAATTTGAGGATGTGATTCAACGCTCATCCAACGTATTAAAACTTGCTTGCTGTTCCTTTTCATGATTTCCGCCGCCATATTGCCGACAAAAGCATTTGTCTGACTGTGGTAAGAAAGCCTCATTGGAGGATGTTATCATATCCTGTGTTCCACAGTAAAAGGTCCAAGGCTCATTCCTGCGGGACCCCATCGACATTTAAGAAGTTTCCCCATTGTACAGTATATATCTATTAAGACAACCATGACGATTTTACGTAGAAACAACACCACCTGTTTTTCCTTTGATGCACTGTTAATGTTTTTTTTTTAAGATACAGGCTCAAAACGTATCTAATATGGAAAACCCACAAATTTCACCTTGTTCATCTTGTTTCTAGCCATCTTCAGGATCCTGGTGATGTCCGTTGTAAAGTGGTTCTCTCCCAGTTGGTTTATGGGAACTAGATGTTCAATCTAGTTTTTTCCAGGGTCCGCTAGCCAAACTTTTTACAATTTTGCCCGCCACATTGAGCAGACAGACTGTTCTATCTACTAAAGGGAAATGTATTTCTCCGGTTTCTTCAGAAGGATGAGAGTTGCGCCCTTTTACGACTTTAAAACTTGTTTTTAAAACTTTTACGATTTTTAAACTTGTTTTGAGGACACCGTCGACCACCTTTGCAAAATAAGTGCTTTGCCTAATAATTGTTTCAATTGCGACCGTTCGCCGCGCTTAGTCCCAATGTTTTATTTTAACCGATTTAAGGCATTGATTATTACTATTATTACTAAGCGGCACCTAATGATGGAAAACTTGCGGCGGCTTCTCAAGGGTGTAACCTATCTCGCTTGTAGGAAACATTTATCGCCACTCAAGCTGCGAAGTCAGGCTTACATTTTGATTTGTCATTAATTTATTTACTGCGATTCTGTGCTTTTACCCCAGATATTATAGTCGTTAGATAACTCCTTTAGCTGTGTTTAATAACCGCACTCAGTTACTATTGAGATCTTAGTGTGCTAAGACACATTCAGTGTAGGTACCGAGGTAACAGCTCTCTCCCAGTAAGCGCCCTTCGTATTTTCCGCACTCTGTATTTGCTGTTTGTTTGTGGATTCCACCAGTATTCGGTAGGCGCCTTCCTTTGGGTTGCACTTATCTCTGTATTGATTTGCAAATTTGTTAGTAAATTGTTATACAGTATTATTACCCGTCAAATTTATAAGCATCATAACCGTGAATGTGTCGACTTTACAGCCGGAAAGTAACATACTTTTCAGTTAGTTCATGTTCAATGTTTGTGTTTGACACTTCAATGTAAAACGTTATAGCGAACTAATTCGATATACTGTCTACGTCCTCCCTGACCTTTTGTTCTCCTATATTGCTGATCGTGTTTTGGGACGCAAGCAATAGGTGAATGAGAAAAAACCTCCGTATTTGAAAAGAGAAGAACATTATCTAGAACATAAAGGTTCTTTCGCAACCTAGGCCCGTAGGACTTTGCCCCTGATCCTGTTTACACTCCTGTAATAACTTTTTTTGGTTACAATACCCAACAACTTATATTTGGGAATCATATAACTAGCTCTCGTATATATGTTCATTTGGAGAGATATGCGCCCCAACAATAAACAAATGTTTGACAACAATCTGTCATACTCTATTTACGTCCACCATCTGTAATTACAAATTATATGATTATCGCGACATCGAAATTCAGATTGCAGTGTTAAAACTATTTTGTTTCGCATTATTTATATTGGGTTCGGATACAACGCTGATATAATTTTTTTTAATTGTAAATAGATCACTTACTAAACCACCCTTGACTCGGTAAGGTTTACTTGTAAGTCACAGTTCTGTCAGCAGTTTATTTCTTATTAGAAAAACGTGTATTAGTATTTGGATTCCTGGTAGGGTAGTGAGTTTTCTTTCGTCTACGATCTAATGTGCTGAATAAGTCTCTTTTGTCATATATATATATATATATATACAGTATGCTAATTCTCAGAAAAGGAACGCAGCAACACGTTTTTTTTTCAATTTATTATTTAAAGATTATTAATATTAGCCAAATCAATTCTGATGATGCAAGTCCTTGGTTAGTAGGTCGTAGATGAATAGGGTCGTGTTAATGAGAGAACTCACATGTTCCAATTGAACGTGTTTGAAAGACAGTTCGACACTTGTTTAAGAAACCTAACGTTTGTTATTCATGTCTTATCATGTAATTCTTATCAGCATTATGCCTTTGCATGGCAATCCGGGCGATTATGCCTGGGGTCACAGTGGCCTAGACGCAGTTATTTCGAATCTGCTCAACCAACTGGACGGGGCTGGCCCAGCTCCGCTAACTCGACAGCAGATTGATGCCATTCCCGAAATGAAAATCTCATCTGATCAGGTATGAATTAACGCAAATGCGGCTATTGGATACTGAAAAAGTCTGAAGAAACCGTCCCATATAATACTTGAGGTAACCCACTGCCTACTTTAAAGGTTTTCAAATACATCTTAACTTCTAACGAATGTATTATGTAAGTCAAACGTGCTAATCAAGAATAATTCAGCCGCTCTAGTTTCGTTGAACTTTGATGATAAGCGCTGATTTTTTAAATAACTAACTGCTCGAGTTTCATCAAATACAGCGAAAACAGACTTTTGCGCTCCTACACAAATGTAGTAACAGTAATACAACAGTAACAATCCACAGTACCAAACAACTTTTAATCCTTAACCTCGTTACTCCTTATTCGCAGGTAAAATCGAACCTTCAATGCTCCGTATGCATGGAAGACTTCACCCTTGACGAGATTGCGCGGCGACTCGAGTGTGGACACTGTTTCCACGCGAACTGTATTACGCCCTGGTTACAAATTCACGCCACGTGTCCCATTTGCCGACTGCAGCTGACGAAAGCGGCAGGAGGTCAGGGAGGCAATAATCCGAGCACCACCACCACCACCACCAGTAATCCAGGTCACCCCGGTGGGGCCACATCTACTGGAACCCCCTCAGCTTTCATGTGGGGTGACGCAAACTCCGCTCCATCGTTGTCCTCATCTTCAGCACCGACGTCCTCTTCCTCAGGGGCAACGACTCGACCCGCAACTTTCGGCAGTCGATTCAATCCAGGGGCGCCATCGACGTCGGGTGCGATTCAGCGCCGTCCCGCCACCTATCAGGAGGATGACTGCGATTGATTATACCACGATAGACATATATGACAGATGATCCCAACCTAACCCTACGATTTACAAATTTTATCCACCATCTCACCGTCTCCAGCGCAGAAATGCAGCACCGAAAGAATCGCTCATTGTGTCGCATGCAGATGGTTGAGCTGCGATCCTCTTCGATCGACTATGGCCGATGGTGGCAATGTGACTGAACAATTCTCTCAATGTCTTTGAGCAGTGACTTCACAACCGTGCACTAACATGCCCTGTTTATCTTAAACCAAAAGAAAGTCAGAGGCTATGTGGATTCAGTGTATTGGTCGCAGGGATAGTCTGTCATCGTGGAAGGATCAAGAAAAAAACAATTGAAAAGAGGAAAGTCAGTCAGAAAGTGTGTGAGTATGCGCGAACGTGTATGAATGCAGGATGCGTGTTGTACCTCGAATATGGAAAAAAATATAACGCTAAAACTACAAAACGAAAAACTATAGAGCGATAGTGTTGAGGCAGCAGCCGCAGCGGCAACTCTCTAAGTTCAGAGGATGAGAACAAACAAACAAGGTGCAAACGGAAAGAACCAGTCAAGCGTACATTTTCGTGAGGGTGTTTCAACAACATAGATGTCATAAAATCACATCTTTATAACACGATGATACAACTTGAGTATGTATGTAGTGAACTGATTCGTAAGGGTGGGAATTAATTTAATCAGGAGTCGTAGTCAGCGACAATCGACTGAAATGTTGTATCCTCAGTTCGCGTCAGATGAATGCCGATATATGAAGTGGACTGTGGACGTGTTTTGATCGAAGTCGCTGATTCCTGGCTTATGTGGATCAATCTGGTAGACGTCTGAATGGCTCGAGTAGTTCCTAGGGCCAGTAACAGGATCTGTGTGTATCTCAGTGAAGGCGAGGCGTGTCAAGGGGACTTTTTTTTGCTTTTGTCATTCTGAATAGTTTCAATACTTTGAACAAAAACAACGCTAGCCGATGGATAAAGTGCTAAGCATCATCGTTTTCGAATGATGGCTATTATGAGATAATGCAAGAAAGAGAAACAATAATGGAACACTTGGTTAACAACCAATAACTGAAAGATCTAGAAACAAAAAATAATGCAAGTGGGTGCATAAGTATGTGGACTGTCTTCGGGTATCCCTTCCGACATTATCGTTATGCATGCTCAGATCCATTCAAGTGTAGAAAGAAAACCGTGAAACGCCAATGTGCGTCCCATAAAAAGAACGAGGCGAGAGCACTGCAAACAAGAAAATGCAAAACGTCATATTCATATATGATAAATTAGTATAGTTTTTTTAGGTATGATAACGATTCAAAGATATTACAGTATATAGAAATGAAACCTCGTGTGGTGGTATATGTTACTCCAAACTTAACTCTGCAGCAGCAGCAACAACTAGAAATGCCGATAGTGGTTAAACGGCGCCTAATGAAACAATCCTAAGGCTATTTCAAATACGAGAACGTACATTTAAAGTACGGGAGTAGGAAATTGCTAAGCGTGCTTGTAACAAAGGGCTTACAAACTAAAATTTCGAGTGGTAAGTTACACGTCGCTTGAGCACGAGGAATGTCGTTAACTATGATCATAATGGCCACGAAAGCATTGAAAGAGCTGAAGTAACGCAAAACGCTAAGGCGCAGTATTCTATGTAAAGGAGTTTCAAGCAAACACCGCAAATGAACGATTACTTAATTTTGTTAAATAAAAAACTAAATTAAGCCTATTCAATATGAAACGTACTGCGTAAAAATCATGTGGATTGTATATTATTCGCCTCTATGTGGTATAATTTATAGCTCTAACGAGCTAGTTTAGGATGTGCACCAGTTGAAGTTTCTGTAGCATCAGTACGCGTCTGGTGATAAGTACCGGCCTGTGTAGTTCATGTAAACCTCTGTAGTTCACAACCGGAGATAGCTAAAGAAAAAAAGCTCTAAGGACTTTCGTTATTGCTGGTGAAAAAGGCAGCATACTTAGTGTTCTTGGATTTGTACAGTAGAAGCAATGTTGATAATCATCGACCTACGTGGATGACAGGGGGTAGTCTGCCTAATGGGAATTAGAAGCAGGAATGAGAAATTTGGTAAACACTCCAAGGTTTGAAAGGGATTTCACTTCACTTGGATAGATTCTGTTTGTGACACGAAAGGTATGATTTTCTTGTAAGTCAAAGAAAATCACGTAAGCAGTGGTAAATAAGCAAATGTAAGATGTGCACGTCAGACCAGATTTACGGATTTTTTTTACGCAGACTTTTATCTCCTAATTATTCTATAACTTTTTCTCTTCGTCATACTCAGTATAACATCAAACTAGCAGTTATCTAAAATGGGAGTTCTCCTGGTACGTATGCAGAGGAGTCAGGTTTTACGACCTTGCGGTACTATAGAATCTATATGAATATGGAAACGTTGGCCACTCTACTGTAGTAAATGCCACTCCGTGCATTAGGATTTCAGCGACGTAGTTTCAATATGGTTTGGCATGATGTTAAAATCAACGCCACAGTTTTCTGCTAGCATAGCTGAACGGAACAAGTTCGAAGTGAAGACAAGATAGCTAGCGGAAAGGAACGATTAGAGAAAAATACATACAATAAAAAAACAGGTTATATTTCGGTTGGACATCGCATAGAATCATCGGTTTCTAGATCGAGATCTGAACTGATTGACCAGGAAATAGATAAGCTCATCGTTTACGGTGCGCATGAGTAAAAACTCAGTTTTCCTTTTAACGAGTGTGTAAGTGGTCACAAGATCGACATCTTTTGTTTGACACCGAGATAATTGTTTGCTGATGATTTCTACAGTTGCGCTATTTATTCGGAGTAGTTCGTCTGCATTGTGGCAAATAAAATAAGACGAAAAAAAGCTGTGAGCAGCAAATGTGTGTGCGTAGGCGCGTTCTGACGCCCGCTAAAAAAACCATGCCTCAGTACACTGTCTTACACGCAAAATAATTAAGAGGTTGCGAGAACAAAAGAAAAAAGTATCGACAGGAAGTGATTGAAGTTTTGCATATACACATAATTATAAAAATAGGAAAGTACATATATATATATATATATATATATATATATATATATATATATATATGCATACATACATACATACACACATCATGTGTATGCGGCACGAAAACAGCAGTAAAGAAGAATATTTCATGATGAGTGAGCAAAGAGAACGATGAAATAAACTAGGGTTAAAATGCTAATAGAATAACGCGCAAAGGGCGCGAGGGGGTTACGACAATAATATGAACAACATAAATGAAAAATAAAAACGGCAATCAGTTTCGTCGTAGCTGAGAACTGTGTTCCTTTGATTTACTTTATAGGTTACAAGTGCATAAGACAGCTAATTACTGGTCTTTAAAAACGCCGTTAAAATGTTGTACGCTTTGTTGTTCTGTCAAACAGTTTTTTCTACTACTATACATCGCTACACGATGCAAACAGTTGTTAAACGTATAGTATCTTTCAGCTCTTCCTTTAACTTTTCGCTATTGAACGCTTCATTTGAGTTCTTTACGGGCCTCTTTTATGATTTAGGTTCGTATTGACCTTACCTTGATAAATATGCCCTCAAAGTAGACCCTAATAACATTTGTTCAAACGTCTCCTATAAGAGCCAACGGATATTTGAATTCGCTTCACAATGCAGCCATTCTTGTTTCTAGTCATAGCTACAAACTGTAAAACAAAATATAGGATAAGCAAAGGGCTAAACTTGTAATTTTACCTCTTCTATGGTATTACATATGCTGTGAAGCGATAGACTACACAGCTTTTAAACTTAAAACATTCATCTGAGTTCTTCGTGGTAGATGCTAATTCAGTGAGTATGACACATTCATAGCCAATTTCATGACTCAAAATGGAAGTTATATACCGCCAAAAGAATGTTCAATAGGCAGACCTAATCCCTAATTTTGGAAGGCTTTCGAAAGTATTCAACTCTAGGTACAAGATCACTTCAATCCTATTAAACAATTATCGGTCCTAAAAACCTTGATGTAGTTTAAATTAATTATCGATTTTTTACTGTGCTCCATAATCGAAATAGAAAAGATTAAATTCTCGGTATATTAAGCTTGCACCGCAGTTATAGACGGAAAGTGCAGTGGGTATTGAAAACCTGCCACCTTGCTTTTGCATTGTCTTATGATATGTGTGCAAAAGCCCACGCGGTAGTCTGTTCTTTTCAGATTTAAATAAAAACACCAAACGGTACGAACAATTGTTTCGGCTCATATACATTTTATTTCACTTGCCCCACACGCTTAATCATTCTCCCCGCGTATTCCCATTGTACCATAAATACCGGTACAGTGAATCATTTGCATTAGACGACCCGTCACTTAATACCTTAACAAAATGTAGTACGGATAACTTAACATAACATATTTTCGTATTTCTGCGGTTTTTCATTAACATAGTTTCACGGTCTTTCTCTATGATAATATGTACATTTTAGTTGTGGAAAACCGTTGCCGGTTATTGATGGCAGCTGGATTAATACTTGCAAGATTTCATCAGTTTCATTTAAGCACACAGGGGTTTTATGCAAATAATTAACAGGAAAAGAAATGAAGCAGATAAATTTTGTTCGCTTTTTACAAATGCTTAGGCACAGATACTCTGTCAGTTGGAGTTTAGTTGTGTTTGCAATTTTAAAAAGCCAAATTCCTGATTACTATTTCATTAATATTAATGAGTAGGTAATTAGAAAATACATTTTACTTCAGCACTGAAGTACCGTTAACACTAGCCTCTCCGTTGGTGCTTCTCAGTTTATGTATGCTTCAGATACTTATATCTAGTTACCCCATTAGCTCTACCTACTACAATTCATACTTATCTACTATTCATTTTTTAGATATTTTTGGTTATCACGAAGTTGCGGTAGAAATTCCATGGCGCAGTAGTGCCAAGAATCTTTTCAGGTGTTTGTCAAGAATAATAGCATTAAACCCTATTTGATTTCAAAAGGGTAATGGCGCTTCACACATCTTCAAGCTGTGTTGCCTCTATCGCACCTGCTAAAATTCTGCGATAACAAACGGTAGCTTTGTAGAAGTTACAAATATTACGTAGTTTTCTTCATTATTATCAAGAGCAACTCGGCATTTTCACAATAGGTACACTGCAAGTCTATCATAGGCGACCCTGAAATACGTCATACCTTGAAAGAGCACAACGTCCATTACGGTTTTTCTATTCGAACTTGAAATGAATAAAGCAGGAAATTGCAAGTCAGCCTGAATGTTCGAAACGAGTTTTTGGGTATAATAGCACATACATTTTTCATTTAAAATTTTCGCACATTTTTTGTACGATCTAGACAACACAAACACACACTTCGCTAGACGTATCATCATTACCTAATACAAGTTAAACGGAACACTCAGATGTGTAGACACTTCTACACTACTAATGCTACCATCAGTATTAATAAATATAACTGAGGCATGATTGATGATGTTACAGTGATGAAGTACGAAGTCGGATCGCCTTACGCTTCATGTTGCTTCTTTCCCAGCTGCGGCTTTGACGTCAGCGATGCTCTCTATAGCAACACTTGTCCTCTTACGTACGTTAATGACAATTATGATTCATTCGTCTCATTTGGGGTTTCTTCTTCGTTGCCATTCACGTCGTTGTCACCTTCATCATCATCAGCAGTAAGTGCCTTGACGAGTTCCGCCAGTTCGCCACAGTGGTCGGCAATCTTTTGCAAATGCTTATTTTCAGCGGTCAGCACTTCGACTTCCTCATGGAGCTGCCTGTTCTCCTTCAAAGCGTTCTCTAAAGCGACTCGCCGTTGTTCTATACCAAGCAACGAATAGGCAAGCATTGAAGAACGTTTTTTAATAGACACTAATCGGTTCCACATATAAAATTTACATTATATTTGTATAACTTTTTTTTCGCTTTTAGCAGATTTCGTTACGTTAGGACGAAATTAAAGAACATAAATATAATTCTATAATAAAGTAATACCATCCGAAACGGCCTCTGCAATGGCCCAACTATAAACACAAGGTCGATGGAAACCCGCCATGTTGCTCGCACAGTAAACACGCAGTTCATTAGAAAATAACATACCTGCTATCATTCTCCAGTAGTCTACTGTAGCATCATCGCGTAACAGAAGATCATACGCATCACGGGAGACTACGGCAGATCCGGTGTTGTTGGGATTCTTGCGTTCAGCATTTCTCCGAGGAGTGCTACTCGCATTTGAGTCATTGCTTACGTCAACGTAGACGTCAAGATTAGCATGCTGCTGTTCTTGATGGGAGACTGGGCTGCAGCGCGGGCTCGCAGAGGCCTTTAAATTTGACCCAATCACTCCGGAGCCCACTGCTGAGGGCGGTTTGTTCTCCAAGTCGAAATTGAGCCGACGGCGTTTGGTATCCTGGAATCGCAGTTGACATATACTACTACAATTGAAAAACGATCCATTTATGAGTAATTAAAAGAAATTTAACTGCACTGAGGCTAGTAACCGTAGACTGGTAAACAAAACTTATTTCTGACTTTGATTTTTTATAATACGTGTTTTTGGTGCTGTCACTCAATAAATCAGATTGCAATAATATATTTCTATTTGCCTCTGAGCCGGCGTAGCTTTAGCAAATTAGACATTCCACATTTTTGCTGCAACAACATTATAAGAAGTCACGTAGCTGTATACCATAGCAATCGAACAACCAAGCACCAAACAAATGCAAACACAACGGCTTTTGACTAGTTATCAAAAGAAAGTGCAGCTGTATGGAACGCAACCCTACATTAAAGCATAACAAAGAAGGCGCAACAATAGAACAGCGTCAGAGGGAGAGCATACGCACTGTTTCTTAGATACACATCGAAGCAAAAAAAAAACAGTGCATGGAAGGCACAAGGAAGACTCGTGAAAAAGCAAGTCAGTGTACGCTGGTATGATTGACGAGTAGACCAAAGGTGAATTCAGCACATACTAGTTATGCATTTTTCGGTCCTGACTGCCAAGTCGCCTTTGTAGAGGACATTATGACGGCAGGAGTATCAAGTGTGTTCTAACCATGAAACAAATTACTAGTACGTGACAAAGACAACAAGAGCAAAGCTCAATGTGGTGATTTAAATATTTCAAAGTATTTTTAATTAAAAAAAGCACATACCACTTTCTTGATGTCGACCCGAAGCTTTCCACCAGAACCAACTAGCACAGCGTGATCACCTGCTGATGGTTGAAGTGTTCCTAAAGTTCGCCGGCCACTGTTAACTTGTACCTGCAAAGCAGTCCCGCAGAAATGATAACAAAATTAGCAACAGCCAATCTTATAAAAAAAAAAAAATAAATAAAGACGGATTATTTGGATGCATTAAAAGTGCTGTGCAAAATGTCTTTAATGTTTTACGCACATCAACTGATTTGGTCGACAACTTCGTGCAGGTCTGCTTAGGTGACTTATTCTACTCTAAGCAATATTGAATGCATTTTTAACAGAATTACGAACGAAACCAAAGCCAGCCACGTGCTCGAAGGTATCTGGCTGATTCTGGCCCGGTTACTGTTGTTATACTTCGACAACTGTGTGATGTAACACTGACAGTTAATAGCATCTATTATGCGTATTACAACGCCAGCACCGATGTTTAATGAAGGTCAAAATATTTTTGATGTCGAAAATCTAATTCTTCTAATCTAAAAAACTTAATTGTAATAGTTCTACTTAATCTTCCATGATATGAGACAAAGGAATCTTATAACTAATTAGTTGGTGACGTTATATATATATATATAATTCTCCAGTGAGCCTTCAATAACTCGTTGTGAGAAAGACTTGTTACGACACATAGGTAAAATTAGGAATCGAACCCTTTCAAGTGTATCACTATGACAAAGATCGTCAGCTAGCATGCCGTGTTGATTTGGGCGTGCCAGGAATTGAAACGACAAATATATATTGTGTGAGAAATATGAACGCGACAGAAACACGAATATCGTGCGTGACAGAACGTTACGCCTGTGTATTCTCAACGGTCACTTAGCATTTAAACATGGAGGGCCTACTGGAGAGAGTTACGACGATATACTATGGTTGGTATTGATCGTGCACGCTGGTCGGTGATAGGTTTACGGTGGCGTCTTCCCGAAGCAGCAAACTCCATACACTCCATCGATTTCCTGTATCACAGCTAACTCAAAATTTAGTCATATATTGATTGATCTGGTATGCAAACAATTACGTGTTGGAAAAACTTACCGGATCATTCCTCATCGTGCCGCCGGGTCTCTGTAGTTGGCAGCACAACCGCTTAGGGTAACTAGCTAAATAGCTCACAGAAAAGCCGGCCCGTATCTTATTAACGCATACACAAAGCTCTCAAGTAGTCAACTGTATCGACGAGTTGTTAGTGAAAGCGCAAATTAATAGGTACAGAATCGTAGCGGTTACACTATTTGCACAAATTTGCATCGACGTATTTCACCCTGGTCTCCTGTATCGCCTTAACAACGGATAGAAATTGCCCGCCAAAAACTTAGACCCGCTTCTGTGCAGACAATCGCATGTAAATAGTAATGCGACGATTTTCAACGAGGAAACTGCTCGTTTGTTGTGCGCTTATAAACAAGGGCCTGCGAGCGTCTGCAAGATCAATCCATCATTATGTCGTGTGCCGACGCGTTGCCCGTGTGCATTCGGCGGGAAAATTCAAAAGATCCTATAATACCAGTACATAGGACCCGAAACAACAGAAGGAGCTTACCCATAATGGCCAATGTTACAGATTAAAATGGAACAGCATGGTTAAACAGAAACCGTCAGTGATTTGTCGATGTCACTCAGTCAATTCTGCTCTGACGCAATGGTGCTAACACTGTTAACGAGAACATTTTGTAAGCTAACAGTCGTGATTGTCTAACTTCGTATATTCGTAGCGCTGTGTATCGGCGGAGGGTGATCAGTTGTTACTGTTGTGGTTAGAAAAGCGTCCGCGCAATAGCATGTTGCAACTTCAGAAGTGTTTGATATGCGAGTTTAGAAATAGAATTTTCTTTTAGTTTAAAATTAATGAGCACTGTTGAAACAGCCACTGCGCGCCTTATATTTTCAGTACGTACGGCTCAGTAATATGATAAAGGTTTATTTGTGTATAAATACACATAGAAGATTGCGCAAGTCGTACGATAATCACAGCGCCTCACATTTTGTTTATGCGCGGATGGTTCGCCCAATATAGTTAATCAAGATCATTATTCAAGTAAGACATCGTTCATTTGTAGCGGCTCCCGTGAACCCAATGACAACCTTTAAATTTCGAGTAAGTAATCGCTGTTAGTTAACACGAAGCTTAACTTCCGAAAACAAAAACACGTTCTATGAGAATTACAATTACAATGTGTGATTATATTGTATTTGTCGTTCTTAAACATATATTTTAAATTTTTTGTGAACTAATCCGAGATGATAAGAAACATCATTACTTGGTTAACAGAAACTTAAATAACTATTTTTTAATATATACAAAAAGGTAATTGAACGTTAACGGTTTTCGTCGTTCATTGCTTGAGATAAATTGTAATTTGGAAGTTTACAAGGGCTCACACTTGCCAATGGGTAGCTTAGTGAAACAAAGTTTTTATGTAACACAGCTTACGTTTACATTTTTTTTAAGAATAGTGAATCATAAGTTGAATGCTTGTGAAGTATCATTTCGATCCATTTCAGTTTCTAAACTTTAATCAGTAGATCCGTATGGGTATCAAATATCTTCATATTATCAACTAATGGTGTCACGCTGATCTTCACAGATAGCTACCTCGCAGTGGCGAAATACAGTGGATTTTGTACAAGGCGTTCGATGTTACTATCCATCGAGTAGTGAGTTAACGCAATCGTCGCAACAACTGCAAAAGAATAAGTTCAATAATCTCCCACATAAGCAAAAAGATCGTCGCTATGAGAAACAGACTCATCTCAGGATCAGCGCTGACAATGAGCCGGTACTTTTCGACGCAATTTCAACGCAGTAGTCATTTGCAAAACAAATTCAACTGCGATACTTACTGTTAAATTAATTCGTTGTAAGCAAAACTTGTCCGCCAATAATTGGTATCCTAGTGAAAAGAATCATTACCTTTTATGAACAAATATTTCCATAAACTGTTCTTCGCTGCTTTCAGTTGATCAGGAAAGTTTTTAACACATCACAGACTAGAATTTCTGATGGTCTTGAGAGTCTAGTTTCGTGGCAGGCTGGCGTGAACATCTCTAATCTGGCGCTATTCTCTGGTTCAGTCCAAGGAAGTTCGATGCGCGTATTACAAGAACCTTTTCCCGAATCAGTTGGTAACTTCTCAAGACCTCAGGTATCCTTGAGGCGTCATAATTTATTCAGCGGTCTGCTTACAAGACGTGAGAGCTGGACTTCATTTTTACCGTTTGTAGGTAGTCATCTACGAAGAGGATATGTTACCAGTAAGGCATTAGGTTAGTATCACCGTATGGGTAGCACATGGAGGATTATATAATGGACGTCATGTGAAGATATTAAGATTAGCTGAGACTATTAAGCATAATTATAAGATCTGTTTGGAAGTCGTTTATCACGGAATCAAAGGTATTTTTAAAAATGTTTATAATTGCATCACTTGTTGTATAATTATATACCACTGAAAAAACCCTTGATCTTTCTCAAGATATTATATATTACAGACAGAGCCTACGTTCTTCCAGTTCACAATTCATAAAAATTACATTCTAATGGCCTTAGTCATTTAAATTTTCTCTATATAGTAAATTTAAGAAAAATGATTGTGTAAGCAGCATAAACATGCTCATTTTCAAGTACAATGTATAAATAAAGCTCAATGTCGCAAGAAATACAGATGCATGGGTAGCTTCGTAGCTGGTTAGCATCTACGCACTGACCCTTGTGTGATTATATTTCGAAACTTCAGTTTCAACAGACACACATATCCGGTATTATCGTACTAGCAAACAAAGTTATAGTGCAATTTTTAGATGCCTTATAGGTAAAAGACTTTACTTAGGTTTGATTATTCTAAACAAATGTATGCTGTGGTTCTCTTTGGTGTCCTTTTTAGGCTAAAGACATTAAAGCACTTAAAGCAGTTTTTTTGTGTTTTAAAGATATTTGATGTCCTCTCTTGCAAAATCTTTGCGAATCGCCGATGTACATTAGACATTTCATGCGCTTTGTGACCTTGGCATTGCTAATTATATGATTAGCTTTCACGTAAATGAGTTTGATAGCGATGAGGCTGCGTAACCAAGCCGCTTGCACCTTGTTCAAATAATTATTCTTGGTTTATACCTGAACTGGAACAAAATGCTGGGAGCAAAATGCCTTTTCATTGAATTTTGAAGGCCCTGCCCATGGTCCAGAGATCCTTGAAAATATATTACAGACAGCGAACGTATTGGTTGCATTTTAATCAGCACAACTAGGTGACTTGGTCATTTGATTTGATCAAATACAAAATGCATACGCTTATATGGACTTGACTGTTAGTACTTGCGAACCTCAGAGGCAGGAGTTCGTGATATAGCTTGCAGACGCCCGAGAACTCCAGCGGAAATCTATCGACTTTTATCTGATCAACTTTTTTTGTTGTTTTTTGGCCTTTTATTATATCGGTTTTAGGTAAAGTATCGCCGAATGGCACAGCAGCTTCAACTCCGCGAAAGTACGTATTCTGAGTAGACTCACTAGCTCAGGCTCGTAACTGATGATGTTTGAGTGACAACATGTGCTTGCGGGTAACATATGCTTTGTTAACAACATGCGGTAAAATTACAGACATGTACCGTGGGCGCCTGAGATGACATTACGGTTGCATCCTAAGTATCGTGGTTCAGACCCTATCTCGGAAATGATGTGTTGGATTTGGGATAAAAAGCGCCAATCAAAGCTACGTTATGATCATAAGGTAATTAACAGAGTAAATTGACCTTCATATCTATTATGACTACAAACATATGAGTTTGAATGTGTATATAATGTTTAGATAAAATATGCAACTTTCAAATCAACTGAACAGCCAATATTAGCGAAAAGTATATAGGTTACAACAGACTTTCCTGAAATTCTAGTAGTCCTTAAATAACATAATTTTAGCTACATAAATGGGCAAAGCATTTAGCTGTTCGATGGAAATAATTTTTTTTTTGCTGAGAATCAGCAGCCCGGCCGCAAAAATGTTTGTCGTTTTTGGCAATGTGAAACATAGAACCCGGTCCGCTAGACTTGCAAGCACCCACATTACCACGTACATTACTCCGCACGACGGAGTGCTTTCCATTTTTTTGTCATTTTATCTTACTCATTTGATAATAAAGTAAATCATCGACATACCCTTTAGCACAGCCATGTAGCGAAGCTCAGCTTTACCCCTGGAAAATAGTTGCTTTTATCGACGCACTGTCTACGCCGCGCAAAAGCACAGTCGGTAGCCGTTAATTCTAATCAACGAATATGCTGTACCTCGGTGTGACTTGTAACTTCGAGGACTGCCCTCGAAGTTAAGCCGAATGCGCTGGAGAAGCTAAATTGACAATTCCATTTTATCCATTTAGATATTCTATTACGTCTGTATATATGCGAGAGCACTTTTTCATCTATTAATTTGCAAGTGGTCTATCAGTTAGTGACTATTAAGTTCGAAGCAAATTGCCTAATCTGGTATCAGTGTGTATAATTCAACTGATTTTCGAAACAAATAAAATTTAATGTTATGGAATGAAATGTTACTTGATACTCAGTGGTTTATTCACTGTAGTCACCATACGCATTTTTTTTTTAACATACTCGTTGCATTAATTTATATCGAATATAATTTTTCTACTTTGATATTGTACAGTTGACTAGACGCAACCCCTCATACGCTGCTGAAGAGTTCTGAGTAGAAACAAGATTATAAATAAATATCTTATCTATTATAGAAGTAGAACATTCCTCTAAATATACTTCCTTTCGTTCACAGGTTGCCCTACGAGATCAGTTAGCGCTTTACGTGTTTGAGGAATACAATTTAACAATTATAGGCTCTTCCGCCAGTGGCTACGGTTTCGAGGATTCGGACATAGATATATGCTTACAGGCTAGTACAGACTTACACTTATCGAATACCAAATTACCTATAATTTTTGGCATAGGCGTTAAGTTCATAATATAAACCTGCTTATTATAGTACCGTTGTTACGACTACTTCACATTACTCTTAGTATATAAGGACATACTCTAGGTGGCTTTTATTTTATTTATGGCCGTGCACCTATTTATGTAGAAGTAGCCATTTTCAATGGGAATCTATAGAGTTTATCATTTTTCTTTCAATTTACAGTTCAAGAATAATTTTCTTCCCATTGACTACAACAGAGTGAAAGTGCTTCGTGTGCTCAAACAGAGGCTGGATGGCGAACCTGGAGTGAAGAAGGTCTCGATGATTCCAGCGATTGTACCGATTTTGCAGTTTCAGTACCAGTGCGATAAAAGCCGGTATTAAGATCTCTTCTCGAAATTCCTCTACATGTTTCTGCAGAAACTATACAAATAGTCCCGCAAATAAAGATGTTAATTAATTAAATTTCTAAAATTTAACCTAGCGCATTGTGTGAACCCTTTTCACCACTAAGATTATCATGCAGGCTGGATAGGTTTAGGTTACTAGCGACACCGTTTTGTCATTGAAACCGCGCTCACAAATTATCACATCGTCCACACAGCTTTGGAAGAACAGTCTGAATCAGAATAATTTAATGAGCTAAAACGTTAGCAGATTTAATTTGGATCAGACTTTACGCATATTTAACTACATCTCGGATAAGATCACTGTAATTACTCATATATATATATATATTCTCTTTGATCAATCTAGTCCAAAGATGCGTGTGGAATTGAATATGGAAAACACAGTTGGCATAATAAACACACAGCTCTTGTACTCGTACTCCAGAATGGATTGTCGAGTTGCTCCATTCATCCTCAGCGTCAAAAGGTATTGAACCAGGATATTCTACGAGATTGTGTAAGCTCCAGCAATACGTACCTAATTGTATAAAAATCATAATAAATCGTATAATAGTCATATGGTGCAACTCGAATAATGAGATCGCATTTCTATTTTAAATCTTTTATTTTGGAGTGACCTATCACTCTTTTCGAGCAAAAATATTATTATATTCACCCTTATTTTTGTTCACTTTCGACACAAGAAGTCCGAGATCACTAAGGTTTTTACTAATCGAATAGATGAAAATATTTGAAGAACCAGAAAGTTTTAACCTTTTAGACTACCGTGCAGCGAAACGTAATACAAGGCTATTTAACTTATATTAACCGTTTTCAGATGGGCATCAAACATGCAGATAAAAAGCGCCCAGTTCGGAACCCTAAGTAGCTACTCGTTGACCCTTCTCATGCTGTATTTTCTTCAAATGCAGGGCATAGTTCCTGTTCTACACAACGAGGTACCCGAGTTCTTCGAGGGAAGGTATTACCGACGTATTGATTACTTGACATCATCCAATATAAGGCTGAGAATAGCCTTTTTTTTTGCTTTATTCATGTTTCGATATAATGTTAGTGCCCGTCAATAAGCTCGCTGCCGTAGTATGTTAGAAATACATGCATTCTTCATTTGTTGAATCAGTTCGGTATGAACATGCAGTTTTTTACGCACAGATATATTGTGTCCCAAATCCGCACTATACTCTGGACTACACTCTATATAAGTTGAGTCGTTATTGCTATTCTAACAATTGTCCTAAGTCCTTACCTTGCTCGTAATATATGTTACTTTTATTTAGTCACACATATCGTGATATACATACCAGTTTATGTTGCATTGTGCGAAGGGCTACAACCATATAGCAGTTATTATTAGCGAACGACATGACTGTATTCTGTTTGTTTGGGACTTATACAATCGTATAGATAATTGTTCATTTTTTATGAAAGCTGATATCAGTTTTGCTGTGAAGATAAAAGCTGCGTTTTTGCTGATTTAGAAATTTCCTTTTTTTTTTTTGTTCAAACGGGCTGGACTTTTTTTGGCAAAAACCGATGGTCCATATCTAAGCAGGTTAGTACTACTAATCTTCGCAATGAAATAGGTCTCGTTTAAAAAATAAATATGACGGAAGGTTAGGGTCAACCACGTAAGAATGGCTAAAGCTGTATATCGTTCATATTCGGTTTTTTCAGAGGCTTTGCTAACAACGCGGCGTTACTTCTACCAGTGTGGGAAAGTAAAAATGAACTCACGTTAGGCGAGCTGTTTAAGCAGATGCTCGAATTCTACTCAGATTTTGAGTAAGTGGGTGTGCAGTATATATACATTACATTGGCGTGTTCATGGTTATATGTATATATCTGTAAATATAAGTGTATATTCATACGGGCTTATTTTTTCACCTTAATGCAACTTCATAGTTCTCTCGCATTGATCGAATAAGCCTGCTTGAGAGGTCTAGAGGCATATGCGACAATTTCTTTCAAATAAAAAAATTGTCGCTGTGTTTCTTATGATTTAGTTTTGAAAATTCTTGCGTGTCAGTTCGTAATGGGGCAGTCATTTCAAAGGACGATGCTATTGAAAAAGATCCCGACATCATACAAACAAGCCGGAGCAGAAACACCACAACCTCGTCACGTGATTGGTGGAAGTTTATCTTAGTGCAGGAACCTTTTAATTTCACGAACACGGCAAGGTTAGTAAGACTTGTCCTGTATTTAGTTTTTACATCTTAAAATCCTAAGTTGAGTATAAGTAATTTACTTTGGCCACTTATGAGAATCGTTTTTATCAAAGCATAAGCATTCCTTTCTTGTTGTTGTTAAGGTTATATCTGTAAATACTTTTTTAGTTGTAGTGTTCTCCGGCTCCTTCTTAATAGAACTCAAGGGTAGCTCTGGATAAAATCAACACATACATAAAACTAGTCAGTCAGTTATAGGAATCGTTCTTCTTGCTCTTACTGTATGCGTGTTTTCGTATCTTTTCACAGGTCGGTATATGAAAAGCGTAAATTTCAAGAAATTAAGAGTGTTTTTCAACGAAGCCTTCAAGTTATCGATCGGCCTGGTGGACCAAAAGTCCTCCTTTTCTAGAAAACGCATCACGTCTGTCCGACATTATGTTCAAGATTAAAGGGTAATCTAGATCAGTACAAAGTATCACAGACACGTTGCGGCGCCCACGTTGTTTGGGCTAAATGAACTTGAAAATTCAATTTGGGCTATTACGGGTTGTAACCTCTAAGTAATTTTAAGTTTATAGGCAGCCGTGCCCCTAGTTGTCGTAATGTGACCCTTGCTCCTATTGGCAAACAGGGAGCCGGAACAGTATACGCCTGGGTTGCGTCACAGTGCCAGATGTATCATTCATTAATTTGACTTTTTTTCCAAATGTATATAGGTTACATGTATATAAAAAGTACTTGATATCATATCTGGTACCCTTGTTACTTAATAGTGAAATAGGGAGTAGAACGAACTATATAAGAAAATTTATCAGTTGTGAATCCACAGAAAAATGCTGCTAGATTTTTAGGAATAATAAAAAAAGCCTAGGTCGTTTTATTGGTACCAAAAATAATTTAATGATTACACATTATGATTACATGATGATTACTACTGTCTGCTGTATGTCACGTCGTAATATCACGATGTAATATCGTTTTAGGTTATGCCTTGAGCCTTTTCCAATAATTTAGTTTAGAGAATAATGTTGTGATAAGCCTCGATGTCATTAGTTTACTATTTATGTAGCTCTAATTTCCTTTTGTATAGAAATTGTGTAGCACGTATCGTTGGCGGGACTTCAGGCAGTAACCTCTGGTCTCGTTTAACAGTAGGCTTTTTATGTAGTTGTACCACTCTAATAACAAGAACGTGTATTTTCAGCGCGGTTAACTCCACAAATAGATCACACATAGTAAGGTAAACAATGGGTGTGCAATTTATATATTCAAAAATTCTAATGTGAGAACACTTTTAGTTTTTAAAAAGCGACATAAAAATCGACATATCATTCGACCCCATTTTGAGGGTTACCGAGTCACGCGAACGGGAAGCGAGAGAGTGGTACAAGTACCACGACAAATATTTATATCATCTGTCCGTTGGGTCCTATCTGATTGAGAGGAAGCTTCTTTTCATCGCGAATATTCAAAAAGCTTTTTAGTGCGCCGTATTTCTTCATAAGTCGCAATCGGACCTGTCGTTGATTCTTAAGGTTGTCCGTCTTCTTCAAATGGACCTCCCAGCCGGGAAGCCGCGTATAGAAAGGCTCTGCTTTTTTTCTTGCATAGATCATTCTGCCCTCGCTAACAATCATATTGATGTCCAATTCTTCGTAAGGATCAATTTCGTCTTCCTTCCTCACGGGACCAGTTTTTGGACTCGCAACAATTCGTGGAAAGTAGAGCTGCTCTGGGCGAAACTCGACAACGTGCAATCTCTTTTCATCGGCGAAATCCTGCAGAACGAACATCGAACACTAATTTATCAACTAATATACATATATAAACAACATATATATAGTTTAGAATAATTTACTACTGTAAGCGTTCTATGAAAACATAGAAAATGTTTTTTTACGAATTTCGAGCGACTATACTGATTTGCGTTGATTATATGGATAAAACAAGCATATTTATGACGTTTATTGAACGTATTATACACATACATTAGTGCTTCGTACTTCGACAGAATCTCGGCATTGAATGTGGTCAGCAATAGGTGCAGGTGCCCTGGTGCCTGGTGGTCTATATAGAGCAATAGGTGACATCTGCACCTACTGCTATATATAAACTATATACCTATTGCCAAAAAAGTGAATTTATAGTCGTTTATCTGATTTGTTCTTGTACTTGCCTGATGAGTTTTTTGTTTTTGCAAACCAATAAGAAAGGCACGAGTGAGGGACAGAAGGTTCGTATTTCGTGTGTCAACTTTTGCATACAGATTCTGAAAGGTAGAACATCAGCGATTGCCATTGCAGAGGTTATTGATCATCCTGTTAAGGATGGTCCCTTAACATTCCGGCAGAATGAGACTGCGCTGCCAAGTGACGCGCAGTACAATGAATGATCTCGTGAATTCTTAATTCACTCTCTTTCAGAACAGAACAGAGTAAATCAATAAGTCGACAAGTATATATCTTGTAAAAGAAGATCACTACTTTTTACAGAACTGTGTCCGGTTATCTTACTTTTCAATCGCGTTTATGTAGATATTACTGTATGCTACAAAAAGGACGTGGTTGAATACCTTGATGCCTATTAACTTGCAAAGCGACATGATAGCCCGATGACATTTGAGTCCATAGCCCCGTTCCTTCTGCTTGACTACAATCTGTAATTTAAAAATAATGGCGTACTAATCGTTAGTCGGTGTGAAACCGGCAAATATAATTTGTGAAATAAAGCTGTTATTGGCTATCCTGGTTGAGTGTTCTGAGACTGGCAAAGCACATGTTTTATTGATGATCAACTTTTTCTATCACCTGAATGTATCTGAGCTTATTCTACCATCGATAAGTCTAGCCACAGCCTTATGTATTGTACTTGGTCAGATGCAAAGTCAAATCAGCAGTGGCTAAAGATGTGCCTGAAAAGGTTACAAACTTTCGTATAAGAATTGAGCAAATCAAATGCCTACAAACTCTTGCTTAGTAAAGGTACCCTTCTTAAAATTTTATTACAATTAATACATTATGGGCGACGCATGTAGCTTACCCTTGTGCAGCCATACTCGCTGAAAAAGTCATGCAGAACCGTATGCTCCTCAAACATGGGATAGTGACACAATCGAAGTAAAGCCCTATTTTTTGCCTTACGTAAGGCAGTCTTGCCATCAGGCCCTCTACCAGTAGCGAAGCCGAGAAGGCCCTTCCCGTTTCCTACAGCCACTACAGCTTTGTGTCGTCGCACACGGCCCAAATGGCTCTAAAATGGATAAAATACAATATTTCGTACACTTGTCTAATCACATGTGTATATATATATATATAGCGGCTGGTGATATATACATCTGGATATCTGCTATTCACGATATTAGTTAGTTGTGGTTTTCTACCTGTCGATGGGATTATCCTGGAATTCTGTTTAGGACGATCGAATGATTATAATACATCAGAGGCCACGCAGGCAATTTAGTGATACTTACCGTCATATTCGAGACCAACCTAAGATCTAAGACTACACTGTCAAAATCTTTAATATCGATGTCCTCAGGGGTATCAGGTGGTCCCAAAGAACGGCCTGGCGCCCGTGTTCCCGACCAGCCTCTCTCCAAAGGGGTCAGCCTTATACGTCGAAAATTGATCTGCTGCTTATCTCGCAACTCAATTAACCGTTTTTCTCGCTCTGGGTCAGGGGGCAATTGTTGTCGTTCAACTACTTCTCTTCCTCGAAAAATCGGTGCGTTCAAACCTGGCCACAGCATATTAATGCGACCGCTGCCAATTTTCTACAGAAAATAAAATGAGTTTAAATAAATTATTTGACCTAGGCTAAATTAGAACCTCGGATCAATTGTTGGAAGAACAAAAATATCCTTGAAAAAAGATTACATTTTAGCAAACCAATAAATATTAAAATATTGTCCACCAAAGAAAAAATACTAGTTTCAGACCACATTCGTTTTCCTTTTGTTTATCGTTAATATTTTTTGTTTTTCAGAGTAAATTTAGCCGCTTCCCAATGTGTTTTTTTAATGATGAGTTTATGTTTACGGTCATGTAATCTCGTGACTTTTATGCTTTTTAATGCGGTTTATATTTTATGAAATATCGAAAAAACTGTCGCATTTTGAAAAACAGTGCGTACACTTCAAAACCCGTGCTCAATAGGGTATTCAATGTGGGTACAAACCGATGACAAACTTGGAAAGCGAAAAAAAACAACTTGCCCGCTTTATATAACACTAAGCGGTTAGAATTGCCAACTATAAACCGCAATAATTGGTGAATAGACCTTAGATTTATGTACTGTAATGTAATGTAATAATTCTAGTAAGTGTTGTTAAATTAAATCGATGTAATATACATCAAGTATTTTTTTTTTAATAACAGGCTGATTATTGAAAAGTCACCGGCGTATTCGGGATTGCCTTGGAAATATGAAAGAATAGGTAATCCTTCCGCCTGATTTACTGTTGGCCATAAATTGTAAATGTAATACATCTTCTACGTTACGACAAGATAAAAGACCTTTTTTGTGATCTGAACTCGTAAATAATTCGGTCCTTAATTTGTTATCAGCTAACTTCCCTACAACACCAACATATTGATAGTATCATTTGTCGAATTAAAAGCCGGTTGATTCGGGCCTCCTTTGAACAGCATGCAGAATCAAAAAAAAATCTCTTATGGAACGAATAGTACTCGTTGAGATCTTACTTGGGGTACCGAAAAGAATACAAAAATGCGCTAACAATAGTTGTTGTTAAATTATGTTAACTTTTGTACCTGTCCTCGATTTAGATCTTTTGACGCCTTTTTACTATGTCCGGATGCGCGGCCGCGCTTGCGACCGGCATTACTGACAGAAGTGACTGATTTCCAAAGATCTTCGGCACCAAGTCGGACCAAGAAAGTTGCTGGGCGGATAGTCTGAATCTGCGCACTGGTCGCCGGAACTGCGGTGCTCGATACTGAGCCGATTGATAGTTTGGCCACACGGCCTAGAATTGAACCTATCGTTAGCATTACGACCTGTCGTACGACGCCTCTCGTGAGTGCTCCACACACTCCTTTGTCCTTAGATACGAAGGCGTCCTAAACCGCGCGGAAGCAATCACCCTTGTTGAGCGTTTCTGTACACTTGTGCAATCAGTACCATGTTTGTTTGGTGTCTGTTCCTCACTAAAAAAATCGCTCCCTACACAACGAATAAATTGTCAGTGTATCCCTCATCATAACAAAACGTTGCAGTAGTTCGAACAGCGATTAGGCGTTACTGCTAAGCTGTCGCTTTTCGCTCAGCTGAAACTTCTAATAGAAAATTGAGACTTTTTCCTGTCTGCTATTGTATTAACAGTAGCGCCTCTTTTGTGCAATAGATGTTTTTTCAAATTGAGCTACGATTAGGTAACGTAACTGCTTTTGTATGGCAACAGTTAGCTGTCGAAATCCTTGCAGTTGGGAGTCAACGTCTTTTGCTGTTCAGATCAGAAAAAACAACTAAGTCGAAAGTCTTACCGCATATCGTAGCATCGGCAATTACTAAATTGTTTCCTAATATCGATAACGGTTACTTAGGTCGAAGCAAATAAATGCAAGTTATATTGTGTTAATCTTCTATCCGCGTATGAAAATGGCCATTGTTTGCTTTACCTTCGTTATAGGGATAAAAAATAGTTGTGGATTTTCTTAAGAAATCTTTTTAACTAAACACATTTTCTTGCACATTAATGACTTGTGAGTTACAATAGAATATTACGCTCGCTACGTATTTTTTCCAATACATAACATATATACTGAGCGAGCAGTTGCTAATTTCCGTGTGTTCATCTTCACTGGCCCCATTGTTTCAAGCACCACCTTAGCGAATTGTTTTTGGAACGCCCGCCGCAATCTGCTTAAGGTGGCTGTTCGGAATAATCCCGCGACGCCGTTGACTAACAGACCAGCCATTAAGAGTCGTGGAAGAAGGGAGAAAAGGAGAGATGAAATAAACATTGCTTTGGCCAACTTGGCGGAAGCCTATGTCATGGTCTGCTTTGCTATTGTCCTCATTATTGGAGTGTTGGACAGCATATCTCCCTATCGTAAGTGTGTTAACGATTACCGGAAAACATTCACTTCTATTCTTGCATCGAGAAGTGACACTTGACTACGAAAGTTTTAGCCCACACCAGTTTGTCTAATACCCATTTTGTACACTGGGAAATGCACACCTTGTATTGGATGTCCACAAACAAATAACCGCTAGCCACCTCTAGGCAACGTTAAATCATAGTACTTGACGTGCGAAGCCAGTTTTTTTTTTGCTAATGAGAACGGCGGAATCGAAAGTTGTACTTACCGACAAAGTGAATTGTTGATCCTAAAGTTTGGCTCCGTCCTACGGCACAAGAGACGCGCCGTCGTTTGTAATTCTGTCCCATTGTTGCGTCATCAAATACGCTCAGTGTGCAATAGGCATTCGAGCATTATTATATAATGCCGTAGACGTTACCGTGTATACGGCTAAGAACCAACAGCGTACAGCTGATCGACAGGAACTAGATCGTGTGACACGGCTAAATGTTATCATCCTTACCGTCAATACAAAGACTGGTTGGTTCGTATCTTAAATCGAATAAATATATAGTGATGGACACACTTTAATGAATTACAACTACTCCATCTTGTCTTCCACTGTCGTTTGCATCCAGCTGATGTAAAACTCTGTTTTTGCTTTGACGTTAGTTGGAACTGTATACTCAGTGGGCTCAGATCAGTTTAGCTGTATAACATCTCGCTGATAACTGTCCAACGAATCGTCAAATTGCAGACAGAATCATTGGCTAAATAAGTCGTCCAGTATACGTTACACTGTGGCGCCCCTCCGGTTACAGCGGATGCCATCTGGGCCTGACGCTGCCAGCTGTTCCATGTTGTGCAGAGGACCTCTTTAGAAAATGATTCTTGTGGTCAATTATGTGGTTAATGCAATTTTCGTATTTTTCGTATTTGTATCATGATTGTTAGGAAGTGAAAATGCTACCTAGACAAGTTGTTGTTCCTAGTCAATGCCACAGTTGCTTGGCAGATAGTGTGCCCCCAGGTGCATTTCTTCAAGCTATTATGCTGAGTCTGACTGGTGGACATATTGTACTCGTGTACAGAATCTAGCATCAGTTTGTTAGCTGTATGACAATTGATAGAACGAATATACTACATCCAATGGCTTATGTATTATTGAGGATGATTTGCGCTAGCTTCGGCAACTGACCACGAGAATTAATTTCAATAGTTATACCGCCAGTATAACAAGTGCTCGATATAGACCGGTAGCAATATATCGTATTGCTTATGCCAAAACCATGTATTGGGAACACCTAGGCAAGAGAAAAAGAGTTTTTTTTTTTTTTTTTTTGGTGTGTAGCTATGGAATACGTGCGTGCATATGGTTGGCTGTTCAGTACATTCAATTTCAACATCGTAATTTTAGTGGCTGTTACTCATATAATTTTATGGAACTTGAAAAAGTATTCTGCGTACTATTTAAGTTATAAGCTATAACGTTTAGTTAATAAGCATTTGTCAAAAGCGGAATCATATTGCAAATAATAAATTGTTGCCTATTAATGCTCATTTTTCAAAATTAACGGCTTGCTTTATATTATACTTGGCTAATAGCGAAAATAGTTACAATTTGCTTGAAACGAATCTACTGGCCTGCGGCAAAGACTCGTATTAATGACCTTTATGCTTTTTGTGGGTTTCAAATTATGTAAAAGAACATAAATTTTTCGAGAGAATGTAACGTATTAGCTAGTCACTATTCTTCGAGTTTTTCGTACATTTATACAAAGAATAATCAATAGAGGCCCTTTCCCTGTATCAGCCGTATATTCACTGTGCACTATAGCATAAATACGCTTTTCCGTGGTGACGTGGTGGTAGTACTTGAGCTAAGCACCGCCTTAAACGACCAGCTGTTTCCAGCACAAAGTCTGTCTGTGCCGAATTTCGAATCTGGACTACCCCATCCGGTATCGCAGCGTCCAAATATCGAAACGCCCAAACATACTTGTATGACTCCTTCGCATGCTAATGAATGAATGAAATGAATAGTTATTTTCGTCGTTTCCAAATTTCGAAACATCTCTGACTGATCGTTATTGTTCCACCTTTACAGTACCCGTCTAAATGATTCTTGCGATTACGTGAAAGAAACCGAACTGTTGGCGTACATTTAAGCGAAGTCAGAAGACCGGAACATCAACTTATTGCCAGGTGTTTGTCGAAAGGCTAGCGACAGAAATTTTGCACGAATTACCAACAACAGGTCCTGAACAGGATGTCTGCGATCCTTGAGGAGACAAAAGGATCAGCGGCATCTGTCGACTTTTTCCAATCTTTATTGGCTGAAAATGAACCCCCACCGCTCGAGGGTTTGCTGGATAAGGTAAGGTAGTCTAAAATACGTAGAATAATAACCTATAGATATTAAATGTTAACCGGCTCATTATACTTTCTACGTCAACCTAAGTACACAATGCTTTGCAGACTGCTCTTGTTGCCCCCAGCGAAAAGCAGTACAATGCGCTTTGCAAGGACCTACAGAAAAGGCTCAAGCGAGGTCATGGAGAAACCATTTATGAGGTTGGTGGACATAAACGTCTTTAATCAACATGTTAGTGTGTGGAGGGTTTAGGTTATACGTGTTCTAAAGGGGCTGAAAAATTCATCTCAGAATTAATGATCGTGCGTTCGGCTTGCTTTGATATATTACTATCGATCTAGTTTACTATCATCGCGTATTGTATCTATAACATAGGAGAATCATTTTGAAATGCATTTATTATGGCATGGATGCATTACGTCAGAACGATAATTCTTTTTGTTCAAGCGATTGTCTCTTTCTGGCCACATTTTACGACAGGTTGGGAAGGGAGCCGCCGAAGGTGGACTTACACCCGAGGAACTGGGTGCGTCAGTAGCGACTCTTCGTTCAATGGCCGACACTCAGGAGTGTGATTGCGTTCAGCTTAGAAGCAAAAAAGAAGCCGCTGGACAGGTAACGATGAAAAATAAATCCGTTGTGATAACAGCTTGCTGAATCATCTTCTTGAGCTTTGCAGAAGTTGATCGCTTGAAGTGAAGACTGGGACGTTGTACTTGAGAAACTTAAAAAAAAAACGTTCAAATTTACTAATTTCAATTTTATGACAGAACGAGAACTATGTATAATTTATAACAGTAATTTTGATTAGCAATATGTGTGTATATGTGGCACTCGTCGTCAGCGAAATTAGAAATTAGGTTCAATTAATTGGGTTTTTTTCCGATTTTAAATTACAAGAGTCGCAGAAATTGCGTGTTACACTGCACTGAGCAAGAAGATAATTGTATATAGTATGTTACTTACGAATACTACCCTATGCATTTTTGTCGGACCACCCTTATATATTCCTTGCCGTGATACATAATCTATATATAAATGTATGTGGATAGAAATTTAGAATATAGTAATTTTAATACACACATAATTTTTGGAGTAAGTTAGACTAAAATATTTCTTTGCGTCCTGTAGATTCCATATGTTTGGAAGTACAAAAATATAAAGGTAAAACGGGTTTTCGATGCATAATTTAAGGGTATATTCAAGTAATTCTGTGTACAAGATGAGAGTTTTAATTTAATACAAAAAACAGGCAACTTTAATTGTTTGTTATAAAAAAAAAAGTTCTAATTGCCCGTTGTAATACAATGTAGTTTTCATTTATAGGTTGCAGAATTCCTAGTCCGGCGCCGCCCTCAAAATGACGACTTTCAGGAAGTCAGGTGAGTTAAAACTTATTACCTGTTTATTCTTCAAATTTGAACTTGTTTTATACCAGTGAGCAGCAAACAACTTAAGAAGGCGAATCTTTATAGTGGATTAGTGAAGATTTATTCCATTGAACGACAATAATATTAGGCTGATTTTTCTTGTTGGTGCTGATCTAGAACTAGATACTTATTATCAGACGTTACATTTGCAGAAATGACTTCTTTTGCAAATAGGTTGTTGAGAACAGTCTTGCTCTCCGTATATCAGGTTGATGTGTGGCAGATTTTCCTAGCAATTGTTCAAACAATCATCAGTTTCTTCACTGTTTCAGAGTTGCCGTCGTGGGAAACGTTGACGCCGGCAAGAGCACACTACTTGGAGTACTTACGCACGGCGAACTTGACAACGGTCGAGGATTTGCAAGACAGAAATTGTTCCGGCATAAAGCGAGTATTTGCCAAATTTGTTAGACTGAATATCGAAAAATTGTAGAGCTAATCCGAATATAGTATAAAGCTGATTTAAACCGTTAATCATTAAAGACCTAATTAACGACGAGTAATTGTTTTTCTTTTTGTTAGTTGGGGTATTCTTAACTAATATAAAATAGCATAAACAGTTGTCATCGATATCATTTTATATTCACTAAGAATATAAAATAAATCGCCGTTTTGCATGCTTTCGTGGTCCTGATGTTTTAGCACGAAATGGAGTCTGGTCGAACGTCATCGGTCGGTAACGATATTCTCGGATTCGACTCACTCGGGAATATTGTCAATAAACCCGATGCTCATGCTGGCCAACTCGACTGGATGAAAATCTGCGAGGAATCGTCAAAGGTCTCGACAGAGATTATTATTATATTAATTTCGCGGAAATTTATTACAATTTAAAGAAACCAAAACATATATGTTTCAATTTTCGGCGTATATAGCAATGCGCCTATCTGTGCGTAGTGTCATAGCCAATATGACAATATCTTGTCGTAGCTTACCATAGGGCAAATAGAAAACGGATTCACAATTGCTTACATAATTCTGCACGAATACATCCACTTCCCTACAAATCTTATGTTTTTTCATTATATGTTTCACTATGCATGCGACAAGAGCAGGTGGTCACATTTATCGATCTTGCGGGGCACGAGCGGTACCTGAAAACCACTATCTTCGGAATGACTGGCCATGCACCAGACTTCACTATGCTCATGGTAGGCACTCGGTTTTCATCCACAAATAACTCACGATATAATTTCCATTGCCTATATATTAGTAAGATTTTCGCAAAAAATATGCTTAGTAAACCGTGTTTTTAATGTATTGTTGGCAATGATGTTTCGGAAATGTGACATGTGATTTGAATTAAATTGCCTATGCCAAGGTCAATGGCATACATTGGTCCATAGTAGCTTACTGAGGAGAGTTCCACTGAAATGATCTTTATTCGAGCGTATTACATTAATGGTTAAAATGTAATCAATACTTATTATTGCATTAGCTTCCCAAAAATTATATCGCCAATATCAGAACCTACGAACCTTTTCTCAGGTGGGCGCCAACGCAGGTATCGTTGGAATGACAAAAGAGCACCTTGGACTAGCCCTGGCTCTAAACGTTCCTGTTTTCGTTGTAGTCACTAAAGTACGTAACTAATACTTGTTTTCAAATGATGATCCATCCTAATTATTAGTCTTGATATTTAATGCAAATACTATATACCAAACTCATAATAGTTTCAAAAATACCATACATCGTCTGGACTCAAGAGGTCATAAAAAACTGATCTAATTTAGATCTCTTAGGATCTGTCTATACACAGATTTATTTTTCATATTTCGTAAATTAGCCCTCATTGCTTCCAGATTGACATGTGTCCTGCAAACGTGTTGCAAGATACAATGCGGCTGCTGGTAAAGATTCTCAAGTCGCCTGGATGCCGTAAGATTCCCGTCGTTGTGCACTCCCCTGATGACGTCGTCGTTTGTGCAACAAATTTTGTCTCTGAACGTCTTTGCCCCATTTTTAAGGTACTCTATACAGAAATCAGCAAGCATTTTGAATTGATAAAAACTATAGAGAAACTGTGCTCATTTTTTTAACGAGTGACCATTGATAAATTGATAATAAAAAGCTATATTTTCTCGCCATTTCAAAACATCCGTTTTGGGTGGGTTGAAATTATTAGGTATCTAACGTGACCGGTGAAAATCTGCCACTACTGAAAACGTTCATGAATCTGTTAACGACACGGATGCCTGGTCATCTCGACGACGAACCTTGCGAATTTCAGATTGACGACACATACAGGTAACTGCTTATGTGGGCACAGAACAAATAGTTGCACTGTTAATCAATGTAAGCATAGAGCTTGTTCGCTCCCTTCAATAAACTACAATTTTCTATTAATAAACAGTTATTCAATGGAGGATAAACGGCACCTAAAAGCGGAATTGGAAGGCAATTATTTGCTATCGATGTAATGAAGCATTCGAAATGCTTCATTTACTCATATCATGTAATATTGTAGATACGGATAATGTAGTGGTAAAGATTTGAACGAAGATTTGAAGACCCAGCCACTGCGGAAGTCCGCTCCCAAAATACAACGCATTGGTTCAATTCGTCTATATCGAGTGTATTATCCATAGATTCATCCTGACGAATTTTCATGTGTGCTTGGCAGTGTTCCGGGGGTAGGCACTGTTGTTAGCGGTACGACACTGAAAGGGGTAGTGCGATTGAATGAGACACTTTTGCTTGGCCCCGACCTACTCGGTCACTTTAACCCAGTTCAGATTAAGTCGATTCACCGCAAACGGATGCCTGTGCAACAGGTAAGTGGCCTGGTGCATAGCCCTACAGCAGCAATAACATCTGTATTGCAATAAGCTATCCCCTGTATTCGGCAGCGCAGTTCCTCGGGGCGCAACACGACTCCGTTGGGCTTGATCATAAGCCTAGCAGAGATTTTGAAAATATAGGTATTACCATTTTCTAAACAATGTAACAAATGCCCTTTGTTTACGAGGTGTATTGTCATGACGTATGCCTTTACCCTAATGCCTCGTCTGATGTGGCACTTTTCTATGCGTGACGTGTGATATAGGTTCACGCTGGCCAAACAGCGTCGTTCGCCTTAAAGAAGCAGGTTCGCCGTTCTGATATCCGAAAGGGAATGGTGTTACTCTCCCAGAGTATAGTTGATCCTCAGTCGTGTTGGGAGTTCGAGGGAGAGATTCTTGTTCTGCATCATCCCACAACGATATCGCCCAGATATCAGGTAATTCAGTGTAGGGCGGATTGACTAGTATATTGACATTTAGAGCTGCCCTTTAAAAATTATTTCGTGGTAGGATTTTTCTACACTTTATATTATTCGGGGTCACTATTACAGGCGATGGTTCATTGTGGAAGCATTCGACAAACGGCCACCATCGTCCAAATGTCTACTGAATGCCTACGAACAGGAGACAAAGCGCTTGTACATTTCCGGTTTATTAAAAATCCAGAGTACGTTCGTCCCGGCATGCGAATGGTGTTTCGCGAGGGTCGAACGAAGGCCGTCGGTAATGTGCTTCGCGTGTTGATTAGCCCAGGGGGTCCAGGCACCGCTGGCAACAAGAAGCCTCATCACCATCCAGCGAAAACGCAACGAGGCCATCATCGGGGCCAGTCAAGATCAGGCGGCCACGACACAGCGGCGGCGCAAGATCAAAGCACCCGTCAACAACAGCAACAACAACCACAAAGCATTAACAACATCAGTACTGATTCAAAGATGACAGGCACGCTTCTAGAGACCTCTTAGGAGCCGCCATCTAAAGCAAAAGAGGGACGAGGCGTCAGTGGAGGAAGCAGAAGGCAAGGGCGTACAGAGAATGAAGGTGTGTGAAAGACAGAGGCAAAGAAGAACCGAACGAAAAGAAGACTATATATATAAACTGCCTGTCGCGCCTATTGCAATTATCAAACAAAAAGTTGTTGAAGTTGCTCACCGACGGGCAACGTTTTATGTTCTTGTCAAATGTAGGGTTCACACTACTTTTTTCGTACACATATATATACATATATATAAAGAAAAAGAGTTTTCGTTGTTGACGGTCGGTGAACAACTTGAACGGCTTTTTGTTTAATAGTTGCAGTAACCACGATGGCATCTCGTAGTTAATATATGGTTACGTAATATAATCTCAGCAAAAAACAGACCGTATATAGACATCTAAAGGGTAATATTTACAGAGTTAGAGAGAATTATACACACACGTACGTGTACTTAGAGCTTCACCCTGATGAGGGTAACAATCCCCTGCAGCGGATGAAAATATGTAAGTAAGTTTTCATGGTTGTCAACAGCCATATTGTTACATACTATACTGTATTCATAATCGATTAGGACGAATAGAGTACAGATACGATAAACATTTGTAATATTTATATAGTTTTATGTCAAAAAAGAGATAGTCAGTTATACACTGTACAGGTAGGAAACATCGGAGAACTGTAAAAGAAGAGGTAAAAAAGCTGCTGATGAATGCAGTGGTTGAATGAGGAATACATTTAATAAGAAACTTATATCCACACAAGAGCTTACACTGTAAAAAGTATTCCGGTTATTTGTGGAACTACGAGTTCAATAACATATAGATTATACATATATACATTTAAAAATACAGAAAGTAAAGATTCCTAAATATTTGCTGTTAACTTTCATTATCACTCTTAACTTTATATTCCCTTTAACTGATTTCTTCTCCGTAATCAAAACATTGCTATAATAAAAATTTTTTACAATGTTCTCATAAATTTTATTGCCTGCTTTTGTTCCTCTTCAGTTACGTATAGTCCGATAATTGTGTCAGAAGCGCAGTGATCGCATAATGAATAAACAGTACTTCTATTTTTATTTTAAGAACGCTTTGTTGAATTATTGGTACTAACTAAGATTAATTAGTTATGAACTGTCCGCAAAATAGTTAGTTTGACAACGATGCATAATGGTTTGACAACGATGCATAATGGTGGACAAGTTTATTTTAAAAAAGTCAAAAGAAATACATGCACATATACATATTAGACGAAACCAATATATGTTGTAATTGTTTTTAGTTTTTTTTCTGGGAAAGGTTACTTTGAAATGCTACCGGTTGGGAGGTAAGTGAATACATTTTTCTTCATGTATATTATGGAAGTTTTCTACATTGAAAATTAATTGTTTCTTGTAAAACATCGGTTAGACGTTTCGTGCGAATCAACGTTAAATAGAGAGTAGTAGTTTCGCGTTTTCGTTTTTATCGATTCAGTGAATCGATACAAAGATTGCATTTATAACCAGATCACGCCGAAGGCAAATTGTATGTTATTGTGCTAACAGAATTCGGCAAGAGCGCAGTGCCAGCGGCTTCATTTCGACAGATGACGACTAACCTTTTTTTTTTTTTATTCACATCTTCGGTGTGTAGTTTCTGGTAAAAAAAAGAGTCTTCTTAGACAGAATGCAAACCATTGCTTAAATAAAGGCAAACTATTAGTAAAGCTTAGCAATATTTGAAAAATCATGGGGTGTGGTGATGAAGCTTAACGCTGACAGGATGACAGACCGCTCCTGTTCAGCGTCAAGTAGGCAGAGATGCTCGTCCGAGTATGGTCTAGTGATGTTGGAGAAAAACACATTGCAGTGGCCAAGGCTTTTCAGAAAAAAATCATCTGTCGCTTAGCTAGTTCACCCTATTACGTCGTTAAACCGTGGTGTTAGGTACTGCATTTCATGTGTATGGAAAATACCTAATGTGACAATTAAGATCAGGAGTTTGACAAGGTCACATACCTAGTCAAGACGTCGAAAAGAACATTCGAGAACCAAGAAAGAAGAAATGTCAAAATGCAAAATCGGACACCGAGGAACTGAATGGTATCATATATATTCTAGTGTAGATTTATGGGCAAAAAATAATGGAGGTAAAATAAATCGTAGAAAAAATATCGTATCACACTGTTTGCAAAGAAATTTGTTTTTCTTAATAATGCGAATTTGGACCCCTCACGCATGTTGCGCTGGCCTGAGCTTATTGTGACTATCCAGAACATTTCACCATTTTTTCGAAACGAAGTTGTTTCGCCAATCATATTGACATATCGTAAGTTATTGTTAATACGCACTAGATAATTGCTTGTGAATTTGCGCTTGAAGTACGGTGACATGGCAAACCTAACTATGGAAAAAAAAACGATGTCATCGCCTTGAATGGGAGTTTGCGAACTCTGCTTGCTGATTTTTGTACATCAAACAATAATCATAGGTATGGGTGGCTTTGTAAGCTTCTGCATAGACTCAATGAGATAAAAAAAAATTATATTCTCGATAATTGTTACCTCAATCGACAATTATGTCCTAAGTGGATTTTTCACAATTAGTTAACAAGCGATGCCTCCTAACAAAATCGATAGTTTTCTTTCAAAGATTCTTTTGTGTGACCTTATTGGGTGTCTAAAACGTACGTCATGCCATCTAACATAATAATTTCCTGTTTTTTCGCTATACAGACAAAGGAGCCAGCGCTCCTCGACGACATCGTGCTTTTAGCAACTTCGCTCGTTCGCTCGTGACCTAGACAATTTTTGTCTACGTAGGCAAATATCAAAACGTTTATTGAATTTAGGCGCGAGTGGAGGAAGAAGAGGTAATCGCAATCAGAAATGATCCATTCGGTCACTGACTGGCTTTTGTTATAAATCTATATTTGTACCAAAATTGGCTGATCACCGCAATATACAAATTCCAGTCGGCGCTGCGGGGGCTTCGCTCCAGTCAACGAGTTCACTTTCAGTTATTTATACAAAGCTTAGAGGATTTAGTGGGCAACCTTTACAGTAATTTTTACAAATCTCAGACCGCGACAAACATATGGTTCAGCCATTTGTGAATCAGATTAAGACGCTTTTGCTTTACGTCCGCAAATTTACTTTATTTAGAGTCATTCGTTGCAGGTTTGTCCCTTCTAGCGTTGTAAGCTAGTATCCGCTGATTCAGAGGATTTGCAGATGATTTTTGCCATTCTTTGCGGATCATTTGTCGTAGCTGGGATAACCGAAGATTTGGATTTTCGGCCTGAGGTAAACAAACATGTAAAAAAAAATAGCATTACCACCAGCATGATTTTTCTTGGTCACCGTTTTTCATAAATAACGCCGATTATTACTCATCTATGTGTGTGTATAATATTAAAAAAAAATTAAATAAAAAACGCGTTTTCTTTTTTTAGTTATTGTTTTTGCGACGAATAAATGACATCTGCTTGAAATTCATAATATGTACGCTTTATCCTAGCGAGCAACAGAACGTAAGTTCTGAATCAACTATTGATTTTACAGGCTTCAAAGCGTGTCATAAAATATCTAAATTAGCCGTCTGTTGTTTTCTTAAAAAGAGTATTCGACTAGTCAATCGCATTTTACCGTGTGATGGATTACGTCTCACCCACCTTAACCACAGGCAAGCGTGCAGATTCAAATGCCTGCCAAGCAACTTTGAGCCTTCGTTCAGGATGACGGTCGAAATCGGCCTCGCCGCTCGTGTTCAGCTTCGACATAAGTTTAATGGCATCATCCAGGGTATGCGCTCCTTCGCCAGTGCCAGCCATCTGGAAGTCGCAGCCACGCATGCAAAGATGAAAAAGTCAAATCATTGGAAAAATAGTTTGCTTGCATATTTGCTAAAGATAGCTAGAAGGTATCTAGGACGTTGAGGAATGTAATAAGAATTTACAATGAGCAGAGGATACAGGAAGCCCAGCTTCAGATGTATATTCAGAGTGTGATGATTAGCATAAGATCAAACTTAACTAGAACCAAGCGGTAAGTGGACTCAGAGTACGTTCAACGTTTTCAGTCTAAGCTGTAGTTCTAGTTTTAACTTATTTAAAGTTAAGAATTATTAATTATAAGAACATCATATAGGACATCATAGCTCCGATGCTACTAACCTTATTGAGATTTTCAACAAGCCCAAGATCCTCCTGAACAACGCGGTTGTCTTTTTGCGTAGCGGCGTTTGCTGTGGCTATATTGGCTAAATTCTTTTCGATTTGGCTTCGCGTCATCTAATACAAGTGAACGTAGTGTTATAAAATATATAAAGGGAATATTGAGTTCATATGGAGGTAGCATACGTTATAATAATAGAAGGTTAAATAAAAGGTAAAATCTCTTGGCTTAACAAATATCATGAATCTGACACTGCCTATTCATGACAGTTCCCTAAGTAATTTGAAGTACTGCACATAGCTTAATTAACAGCTCCCCTCCACCGGCTTCCTAGAGTTAAGATCTACCTTGTTACTAGTGGACTTTTTATCCGCGGACTCTTTTCCCTTCATCTGCGACATTTCCTCCTGGAAACAGAAAAATAAACACTTCATGATCATCATTATACAATGCGCATTGAAATTTGATTACACTTTACACATTTTTCAGCCATTGCAGGAGGACTAAACTGGTGAAGAATGCACGTAATTTTCTTTTTGTCTATTTTTTTTTTACTAGTAGTCCCTTTTTGTACTAAGCTCTCCACTTGCATATGACAATTTAAGTCGTGTGTCTATTCCAGCCCAATGTAAACCGGCGCTGTCCGGCTTCGTTTCCAGGAACGAAAGCATGAAAGTCGCAGGACTAATTAACATTACGTTGTGACGACCATATTTAGTAAACAAACCTGAAGCAATTTTTCGCGTTCCTTTTTACGCTCACGTTCCTCAGCTTCCTTACGTTCTTTTTCTTCTTTTCGAGCCTGTTTTTTCGCCAGCTGGAAAAGATTGAAATCAAAGAATGGTTGAATTAGTTACGATGTTTGCTTAGCTGTTTGTTTAGATAGCAAACGGTCCTGATCAGTCAATGGGGAGATCTACGAAATAGTCGATCCTTTTGTAACGAAACGAGTATGTCTGTTCTGCACGGTGTATCAATCTAGGTGTTAACCTGTTTGTCGTCGTCGCGCCAATATTCATCATCCTTAGCTTTTTGCATTCGCTCCTTTTCAGCCTGTTTCAAGGCGTCTTTCCGAGCCCGGGCATCGACCGCCTTCTGGTTCGTCTGCAGTTTCTTCGGCATGGTGCCTGCAAGAAGAAACACGTCAAATATTGTACATATTTAAATAAGCTAAGCAGACGACGAAAAACGCTTTTTTTCTCTTTATATCAATTAAAACGTCATAAATGTACAAAACGTGCAGCTCATTATCAGTGTCGCCCAAATATCGCCTCTGATGGGTCTTATTCGTAAAGATCCATTGTGAACTCAAGAAACCGCCCTTCGACAGAAGTACCCTATAAGTCCTCATGTGAGGCACATAAGCCTCTTTATTAACGTCTTTAATTGTCCTAAAAGCTTAAAGAAATCCCAGCATCATTGGATATTGCTACACAATAGTTGGAGAATGGAACTATTCACGATCAATGGAACGATGAGTATTCATACCCGTACTTAATAAGCGATACGCCTTCATGCGTATTGTAACCGTAGCTTGTACAACAGTTGGTCTTGACCCAGGTATTTACAGCCTTTGTTGAGCACTACCAAACGTTTAATGTAGTTCCTTGCGAATTAGAAAATTGCGAAGGGAAGATCCTTATAAACCAAATCACCTTACGACTCGAAAGACGTATGAGTTTAATCGATATACTAATGACTTTTTTTTTGCATTAACTCAGTACATGTACGTGCAGATTAAAAATTAAGCGTTTGTGTCTCAAACGAATCATTATCGCTACTTTAGTATTAAGACTGTCTTTAACAAAGCAATTTAGACATACGTACGACACACGCTAGTCAGATTTGCTTTTTCTATTAATTAAACGATGCGCCATGATACAACATTATTGGTTATTTCGACATCGAAGGGTATTTTTAAAGAAAACGGTTTCTGTGGTTAGCTCTGACACCAACTGCATGCAATCCTTCCGACAGAGTCCCATAAAAATGTTCGCTTAATCACCCTACACCTGCCAGTAGTTCCTCATCTATAAAATCTATCTAGCTGAATCGACTGGTCATCTTCTTTGACTAAGCGAACAAATCGAAATCAATGTCTGTGTTCGATTCGGTTAGAAGAGCTTTTTCCATGAGTTTGACAAAGTATGTTTATTAAATACTGTAGGTCGTGGGGAGCCTTCGAATGATCAGTTCAAATAAATATACAACACATGCTCACCGATATGTGTTGTGCAAGTATTTGACTTTCACAGTTACACCTAATCAAAATGAAACTTAACACAGAAAGAAAAGCAACCGAGGAGACCTTTCGTACCTCCACAGTTGCTGATCACTGCACTAGCCCAAGCGATCCGTCTGTTAACGTTACTTCTCGGATATTGCAGAAACTCGACAATAGCAAAGGTCATACAATACAAGAGAGAATATTTTACGGGAGAAACGCGTTGATGTTGAAGCAGTAATAAAGGAATCGGCTTGATGAGTAGATCATTTACTCTCTCCTAATCGAATTATGTTGGATGAGGGAAAGTAGAAATTGTTCAAATTAGGCTAACCCCTAATCGAGTTGTCGAAACTACTGGGGCAGATCTTTTTAAGATGATTTATGTTTTCATCTGGGATTTTTTCTGCTGTCATCTGCTCGGACCTCTGCGAAATCTGGAGCGTTGCTATCCCTTGATTTTATATAGTTCCTGATATAAAGCTATATCTAAGAAGGAAACTGTAAAGAGATATAGGCTAAGAATATCGGTCATTGGCCGTGTTAATTATCTTGAATTAAACTGCGAATAAGACAAATGCTTTGGTTTTAGCTTGCCCGTGGTGACTTTTTAGACGCATAGAATTGTATTGCAAGGACCTATACACCGTTGATACTGGACGCATTTTCAGTACTCGCAGCACTAGACATCGATTTCCTAATCAGTAGTGATCTACCAAGTTGATTATAAATTACAATCGCCATGAGCAGGAGACAAATCGTTATTGATAACTGAGTTAATCAAACGTCATCTTCGAACGGAGTCGTATGAATAATGTCGCATCTCTAAAAAGTCTGCCTGCATTTCTTTTATCTGTTCTACATAGGTAACGGCTAGATTTTTTTTTTGTTTTAATGAGGAAAGAATTTTTAGGTCTATTTTTAGTTTTTAAAATGAGTTCGTAATAGCTGGATTAGTAATTGTGCTTAGAAAAGCACGGTTGTAGCCTAGGATTGTTAGCTTTTTCTACTGCTGCTGAACTCTTCGATACGATCAGAGCTTGGCGATGTCCATTCCTAGCGTTCTATCATAATCCGTTACAGCGTATATGACTCGAATGATAATTTGCATCGTTTAATTACGTTAGGTTCTCCGGGCTTAATTGGACTTATAATTCCTTATAAGTATGTATATATGTTTGTTTCGATCTCATGCAGCTCTCATAGATTTTTTTCTATGCGTAGCTCATATAAAAATCTTCGACTTAAGTAGCTGGTTCGTATTCACTTTTAGTCCTTCTCACAAGATTTAAGGCCTGTGCCAGTGATGCAGGTTATTATTTTATATTAAAATTGACGTTAGTTTTAGTTGAGGAGTTCTGTTGGTTAAAATTCTAGACCAAGCTAGCTTTAAACCTAATTGTTAAAAACATCTGCACTAGTAATGAGTTAAAGGTATTTGCAACACAATGGACAGCTGATCGCATCGTGTAGTGGGGTGCCTTAGAATACTAAATAGAAGTAGAAAAATAGGAAAAAGAAAAAAAGTATATTTACAGGGTGGTGCGTTCGGGAAAGATCGGGGGGAAGTTTGACGGGCTGTTTGTCGTAGCGGGCGTATGGCGGTTCGCTCGTTTCACCTAGTACCGGTTCAAAGGCAACTTTTGTTTTTAATAGAAAGTAATAAACCTCTTATCGCGAACAGTATCAGTGCGTCGTTTCAAAATTTAACCGAAAATCAACTGTTGTCCGACATACTCGCGCTGAATGAATCTCTGCCAGGATTAACAACTTTTAATTTCGTTCGTTAGTTAGATCGACGTTCCATGCTCTTGCCAGTTTTCATGCGGTTTCTTAAAACACTAAAGAAGATTTAAGGAGCCCGAACATCCATAAAAATTGCTCAAAAAACATATTTGGGCTTTCACTACAGAACTTAATGGCCGTTTCATACCGATTGCCAATTCGGTCGATGAAATAAGCTCCAACAGTTACTCATGTTGAGACTGTTTGACAGAGCGACTTTTTCCGCCTTTTGAATTTTTTACCCATATGGAGTCCTTTGTACCTTCGAGCTTTTGCACGTTTGAGACTTCTAGTCTGCTGTTATCCCAAAATTTGAGTCTACTGAAATTTTTCTTATATCGCAGATTGACTAGTTTACGTATACCAACATCGCTTAACGGACGGTTGGTGTTATTAAAAAAATTATTTGTGAATTGAAGAAAGACTATTTTGAACATGATTAATTAGTGATTTAGGCCCTAAGGCTATTGTTGCAGTAAGGAAAAAAGTAAGTAAAAACAAATATAACAGTCAAGATTGAGAATTCTATTGCGTACAATTTTTTTAAATATCTGCTTTTATTCAGATACAGTCTTGAAACTAAAATCTAATCTTGTATTTGGTGTTATGCAGGCAGACATTTGGTGTAATCTTAAAACCTTGCAGAATAATAAAAGCGATCGGGTTTATAACATGGAAATAAATTTTGTTATAAGTGTGTTTTTTGAAGGATAATCAATATTTCTACCATATATAACAGTATTTAAGAAGTGAACTTGCTCCAGCTCAACATAAGTGCTCTATCTGGAGTTAATCTTGCCGACTACGTATTATTATTACCAACATTATTATTACCTGTCCTTGAAAAATTGGCGTTTTTATTTTCATAGATATCTGTCTTAGCCAAACGTAAGCATCAAATCTTTACTTATATGTTTTCGCCCCTTTGCCATTAACTTGATTCCACCGATCTAGCTGGCTTATTTCTGATCGGAATTCCGTGTCAGTGCCTATTATTATAGTAAAAAAAACATTGTTACACAGTTAACTCCATTGTTCAGTATTGCGACATTCTAAGGTTTATTTAACAAAATTACCGAGAAAAAAACTGCTCTATGTTTCGCAGTTTGAGAGGAGTGAATTTTATGTAGAAACGGGCTGATGTCAGACGGTCTCAGAGATTATCATGTCTGAGTTCGCCGCTTATTGTTAACTGTTCGTCTTCTAGACACTTGATGATCACTATTGCTTCGCGCTCTACTTGAAACGATGCGGATAACCTGAAACAGAGATAAAATTTGGGCCAATAATATGTTGTGATTTGTTATATAACTGGGGTCGTCAAGCAAGGTTACTGGACCTGTCTTCCGATTTGGCCTGAATCACAGCTTTTCGCCTCCCATGATGCTTAAGGTCATCGCAGAATTAATAAGTATTGACCAAATGTTAACCAGTCGCGAACTTTCCGGCCGATTGGTGAGTAATTGGCATTGCTTCTTATCGTCAGTGACCCTAAGCCATACGACGACGTAAGCCAATAGATGCAGGATATCCACGAGTGAAATCGTGCAGCGCGTGCCCGTGGGATGTATAGCTGGAAGCGAATGATATGGCAACACTGTAGAGAGAGCTTTCACGTACAAAAACAGTAGCGTAGTGCCATTATCTGTACACTGGTTCTTGCTGGGTCCTGCACCCAAGACTATGCGCCTAGATGCGGGACTGGTCTTGATTGGTGCTGTTAGTAAGTTTGTCGCTGCCAGGCTCTGAGATTATTTGATAGTGGCCGTTTCATGTACACGTAATAAATAAAACCAGGACTAATATGCCTATATCGGATAAAATGGTGGAGGATATCCAAGTTCAGGCTTGTCTCAGGTTTGTTTGAGACTGCCTGAGCCATATCGGTGGCATTAATTGATAAAAAAAAAAGGGTGCGAGACAGTTTGAAGACTTCTCAATTAAAGCCCGATGTTAATTCGCGGAAACATTTTACCATTTTGATCGGGAATCTTAGTAAGCGAATCATGTGCGACGAACAAAATCCGATTCATCAACTTTTTCTCTTGAACAGTTCGATGTTCCCAAAAATTTAGACAACGATAAGCATGCAAACATACCTTGCCATTATCAGAAAGCAAAGGAAATACATGGTTTGAAAAAGAAACGCAGAAATTTGCTTATAGCTCCATCCAAACTGTATCAAGCGACCGTTATTCGGTGACGCCTCACATCAACCAAACAGACAGCTATTTCACAAAAATTGAACCCTAAAAACTGTACTCGAACCGAATTTATGCCAATCTCTTAGCAGACGACTGTCGTGAATCCGCCAGCGCCACTTAACGAAATTGACTAGTCGACATTTTTGGATAGATTACGATCGTCTCCATTACGAGGGTTGCTACAGCACGCGGTGGGTTTCGAGGGGGAGAAGGCCCCTTTCCCATCACATGCAACATCGAAGCTATTGTGTGGTCAAATAAGAAAGCTTTGCTACCGTTGGGCAGCGATGCTGAAAACGATTTTTTGGGGCTCCATTTGATCCATCCTGATTGGATGCTCCATCTTCGGTTTGCTACGATCGTCGTGGGAATAGCCACTATGAGGGTGGCTATCTGCTTTCTGTTGGAACAAAGGCAATGCTAGGAAAGCGCATTTTGCCTAGAACACTGCCGAGATTAGCCATTGAGTTTAATTCTTCGGATGTAGTATCTGGGAACGAACATTGTTGACGCGGCTCGTAAGATGAGGCATACACAAACGGATACATACGGGGAACATACATTTTGCATGCTTATTTTTGGGTCGAACTGAACGTATAAAGGTATGGGCACGAACGCTATCAGTAGTTGTCAGAGCAAAAAAAAAAGAAAAATACAATTAGTCGCTGACAGCTCTGAGTAACCAAGATTGGTCGTATTCGACAATTAGTAGTAAATGTCAGTTTACCAAGCAGTTATATTAACTGACTATGAATCTATCCATTTGTGTAACGGTTGGCGTTTAAAAACGTAACTTACCGAAAGAAGAGAAGCGAAAGAAGAGATTTCTGCGCGATCGCGATGAGCATGTTCGACATTGGGAGTCAAATATGAATGTTCTACTGTTTCTGCTCGTTTCCGCATTCAGAAACAGTAACCGAGGTCCGTCAAAAAGGCAGCTGTCGTCACGTTAAAGATACTATTTTTTTTAACTAGTTACAATGTTAACTATAAAGACGTGAATATTTACTTACGGAAACGTTCCGCGTTTTCGAAAAAAACAGTAATTTTACAGATACTTTTAAAAAACATATTACAAAAGTTCTCCCTGGCGCTGCTTTCGGTCACCTATATGCGAAGGCTGCACGTGTATTTTCTAACTCTTTTTAGCCCCGGCGTTGTTTGGCACTATCTTGTATACGTCGTGTAAACGTCATAAGCCTTCAGAGCCGTTTCCACGAATTCAATAACATTGTAGTCCTGAGACTCCTGTTGCGCTATGCATATCGTAATTTGCTTAGCGCTTTATTCCATCTGCTGGTGTTATGCTTATGCAGCGTTCTAAGTGAGGAGAGGTATTGATTCGCATACCTCGCCGGTAACGGCTTTTCGCCGTATTGCTGATGTCGTCGGCCGTCCTATTATTCTTTCGAGGCTACCGAGAATTAGGGTTTATTTTGCAACACTATTATGGCCTGAACAAAGTTTTCGCAAGGTTTTAAGATAATCTAGCGGGGTCACTATTAAATGCGTTAATAGATCGGTCTTAATCGACTCTCAAAACCTACGATCTCGATCACCATATATGTTACTAGAAAGACCGATCGTAGTACTGTATTCATTAGCGTTAATTGAAAAAGCAAGGGCGTATCACGTGACTGAGGACGGGGCTGTAGAAAAGGGACTTCTATTTAGTGGAAAGGTTAAGAGTGTACTTAATTGATTGTTCTCTGTTACGATGGAAAAATCGTGGATATGGGCACATAAGCTAAGAAAGTTTGTGCTTATAAGTTAATCAAAGCTAACAATGCAAGCTTCCCTGAAAAGGTAAACGGCCAAGAGGCCTAATGCCTCGATTTGAGCCTAAAAGGTTATGGTCATAAAACCAACTTATTGTTAGTCAATATTTTTGTTCCCTTTAATCCACACACCCATCACCTTTAATATCGTTAGCAGATCATAAGCGACTAATAAAGTTACTAATGTATGTGCTTGTATTTCTACCGTTAGACCACAGCTAATCTTCACTGAACTTTTTTGCATGCTATTTATTCTTAAAGCATTAACCTTTTTATTCCTATTTGTATTTCGTCTTTGGATTCAGGTTTTGTTTCGACTGGGAACTTATCATTATATCTTATATCATAGGTTCGCACTTTATCTTATAGGTTTCCAGCTGCTGGTCACTGCCAAAGGCGAATTTCTATAACTCACACTCCTAAGTTTCAATTCAGCAACGTCGGGACGAGGAATCGAGCGAGAGTCATTCGGACATTGAGACAAACACAAAACATGGAGCTCCATTCCCCGCTAACTTGCCCTGGTTTGCCCTTGGTCTCTACTTAGAGTAGCAGTCTTTCCCTGAAATGTAATTGAGAATTGGTCGATATTTATTCGGTTTTGCGATTCAACGGCTAAAAAGTTGCCAGTTGCGAGAAACCGGAAACTTCTTTGCCTCAGCCCGCTGATAGAGAAGCATAACAGTAGCAAAGAAAGCACTCCTATTCATGGATGAAATGTCGTTGGTATCTTTGCAAGAAGGGAGGCCAAGCATGTCAAAACGCGTCCGCCACTGCATCAGGCCATAGGTTTGCCAGTCAACCATTGAATGAGTGCTGGAAAAGAAGCAAATAGCGTGATTTGCCTTCGCTTATGGAGGGAAAGAGGGATATTCGCATGAAGTATTTCGAAGACAAAGTTCGCCGGCAATACCGTCTGCTATTCGAGGACAAAGTTGCTTTATTGCTGCTGTGGTCCTTTGGGGAAGGCGTAGAGGATAGTGAAGCGTCAATGTGCACGTTTTCTTGGTCAATTGGTCGCCGTCGTTCGCTGGTTTGATGAAATAAGGAAAAGAAAAAACATGAAAAATCGAATTTTCAATCCAATGGCATCACTGGGGACATTTCGTATCGTTATGTTGACCCTACTGCACAGGCTAAGCCGAACTGTACCGCAGGTGACTAATATACGGGTCCTATTGCGATGCTGCCCATTGGATTCTATTTGGATTATGTTAAAAATGTACACGCTTGTATTGATGCAGATACATATCATGTAAGGTAAACTACCGATCAACGAGGGTTGGATGAGTTCTGGCCTTCGATAGCCAATGTCTGATTTTAATCGATACTTGGGTGTATGGATTATAAACACATCGATGCGCCTTGAGAATAGCTTTTGCTATCGTTTACTTTCTATGATAATATATATACATATCTATATCTATATAAGAACCTCAGATGTAGGGTTAGTTGGAGACTATTCTTATAGCAATGTACGATTAGAACAATGAAGCTCTTTCTTCTCTTATGTGCAACTATATATTTACACTAGTCGTCCATTTTACGCGCCGTTGAAATGTACCTGTTCGTAGCTGCGTATATTCCGCATGTTCATTGAAGCTGCCCCGGCCGTTTCGAATATCGCTTTTACCTTGTGATTAGAGACAAAAAACAGCTAAGAAGCTAAGCTTCATACACAAAAACAAAGTTTCGTTTATATCATCAGGCTATTTTCTTAGAGTTGTCGCAACAGCGAATTAACCTACAGACAAATTTGGGCAACAGAACAACTCTAGGTACGCGTAGGGGAAGCTTGGCCTGTCAGGACATACATTTGCACAAAACACATAAGAATCGGCATGCTGCAGATACGAAAGCAATTATTTAGTCGTTTCAGCTGACACTCCACGTATCTGAAACCAAGTGGGTCTTTTTTTTCTTAATCAGTTTAGTAAAATGCTCACATTAATAACCACGAAAGCATTCTCTATAAATTTCCTTTAGTCCTGCTTTACCGCCAGCTGTTCTGAGTTTATCTCTGAAGAACTACTTGCTTAAATAAAACTTAAGCTCCAGCGATAACGTAAGCAAAATTGGTATCAGAAGGCAACTTGACATAACTCGAATGTTTATATCTAGGCATCCGCAGACATGTTCTCTCAAATTTCTTTCAAAAGAAAGTATCTACCGGCACAGCGAAAGTGTGGATCTTGCCGTTGGATATCAGATCATTAAAAACCTAATTTGGAAAAGAGATGTGTCCGTTATGAGAGCAAAAATAGTACCACATGCCAATAAGCTTGATCATACACGCAGGTTGTGCCACGTATTTACGCTGAGCGCACACACCTGACTATTTCCCTATTAATGGGGTTCAAGAAGCTCCGGAGTCAAACGTTATGAGGCAATCCGAAGTAAGAATCGGCAAAGGATCTTGTCTCGGCTTCGCGTGTATTTGTTTATCTTTTATGAGTCCTTATCGCGTTTTTATTGAATTTTTGTGTTACTCTATTCCAAGGGAGAAAACTAACACTGAAATAATTTGGAATCTCCAGCGCGTTCAACACCATGCAATTCGCGTAATGTTTGGTTTCGCTGGATAAGCGTAGCTTCAAAAATTCTCAGCACATAGTTCCTTTTGGTAACCCATTGAAGTGCTCAGCAGGAGCCAACGTTTTTAAATATTCTTGGCTAGTGGTTTGGAAAGGTACTGGCTTGCTCTAATGTTTTATTTCTGGAATTCTGGCCTTACACACTGAAAAAATCTTAATAATAGAATGCAAAATCCGTGCGTTTGAGGAGGCAGTTGCAATAGCGCGGAACAAACTTCCATTAAAAATTAGGAATTCCAAAAAACTAAGTAGTATCTTGACTATATATATATATATATATATATATACATAGTTGAGATACTACTTAATTTTTATAAAGTATAAATATATAGATGTAATATTACAACTAAGGACCACTATCCGAACATGTTTGGTTTAAGATACCTTAGATAAAGAAGTTTTAAAGGGAGTTTTTTGCCAACAAATAAATAGGTGGTGCCTTTGAAACAAACAAGGTTTGCTTGGAATAAAATAGACGCCGTTGGAAAAGTACTATTTTTCGAATTAAGAATAATGCTAAACATTTCTTACAATCTCACGTTTGAACGAATTAGACATTATTCCAAGTTAAAAATCAATGGAGATTAAAAAAAACTAGTCGTCGAGTTTCCAACTTAGGCAGTTTTGCAAACAACAGTATGTGTTTGCAAACTAGGAATTAAGGCTTCTTTTCGAAACTTTGATGTTCGAGAGATTTATATTATTAGAAAAAAAAGTTTCAGCACTACAAAATACACCTTCAGAAGTCAATCAAATTTTCTTTCATTAGTGTAACAGTCGTAATTATGAAGAATAAAAAGTGCTGTTTTCTGCAGAGGTCGTAAATAAACCAATATTTCTAATATTGCCCATCCTGTAATAGCCAACAGCGCAGAGGGGGCTAGTAATCTAAACGCGCAAGCAGCCCTTGTTTTGAAAGCAAGCGCCTTTTATCTGGAAGGCGGTACTATTCATATGTGTCCTCACGAATTCAGCACAATAAACTCGACAAATTATCCCGGGGTGGAGTCTCGGTTGTAATTTTCGTACCATGCAAAAGAGCAACTATGCACATATTTTTCAATGTATCTGTTTACGCCTCGACCTGATAGGGCTCCACCTTAAGAGCAACACTGTACAGTGAAATCTCTCACGAGCTGTCGAAGATTGCTGCTGACTCACCACCATGACCCTCTATGAAGCACAATTCAAATGTACGCACACAAAAGGCGTGTCAAAATGAATAATTCACTGGTGTCGATACCGACAATTCTGAAGCAAATACAACGATCAGCAGATCAGTCCTGGTTGCTAGGAGCAACTGGAAAGGTCTCAAACTAAAAGACAATGGTCCCTCTCTAACTGGCTGCTTATACACACATACGACAGGCTAAGTTGGCTTATAAAACGAGACCGTGCCTAGTGGTGTGAAGGATAGCATGTCGGTAGCACAGGCAGTCGTTCATTTGTTGAACTATAGACAACGACACTGAGCAGTAGCTTCCATTGGTAGCTGTTGGAAACTCAGTTAGCTCTGGCATGAGGTTAGCTTGTATGCTAATTGCAAGTCGTAAAGGGTTACTGGCCCGCTCCGCCGACCTCCTGCGGCGCTCCAGAACCCTAAGCTGTGACAAGCAAGCAATGTCTGTTGTTTCATGTGAGGCGACGAAAAGGATAAAAACGAACGACGATACTCATCTCACTTCCTGACCTTGAGCATCTTAACGACCACTCCAATGAAGTCAATAGGATAGGAAGGAACCTTGCTGCTGTGGCTTTGTATCAGTATCAAAGCTTCTTGGGCATCATCTCGACTAGCTTGCTTTCCCTTTATAAGAAATATGATTGACGTCATTTTGTTTCTTTATCGGGCCTCTTTACAAGAGATTGTAGTTCAAGATACGGTGCGCCTAATGCCATCGAAGACCCACCATTGTTCTGGCTAAATAGGACATAGTGCAGTTATTTCTGTGCCTACTAGCTTGGCAAATCCTCTGTATGATTTACCATAGGTAGCAATACGTTGTTAGGTTTTTGTCTGTAGAAGCTCTATTACAGTTTGAAGTTCCTAAAAATACTGCATAATAGGCATGCAGCACATGCAAGGAATGTTCTACGCAAAGCTTTAAAACGACTACATCTGTATCTCTTGCTTTTTATGAGATTCAAGATAAGCCGCAAGTTATATGTCTTTGATACAGTAACTGAGAACATATTAAAGCACCCGAATATATAAAGCTCTCTTCAATCGCAATGATTATTGCAGCACGAAGACCTCGGTGCTCGTCCTACAAGAATCAGCTGGCACAAGATTTCAGACTTTTATGCGCATGTTAGAACGTTATATAATTATGCGAAGCAAATATATATACAATGCATTACATGAGAGGGCAGCTGCGACGCGGTCGTAATTTTGTCCATAAATGCTTTTCTCAGGTGATTCGCGTCTGCAATTGCCTGGGCCGGTGAAACTGCCACACCAAACAGTCTCTTTATTCTAGCTAGTTGATTGCAAATAAGTATTATATTAAGTTGGCCATATAGTGTGAATTCTAGGTAGGAAATACTACCACAGTCTTTTTTTTTTTACATAAGTGTTTATGATTCTCGTCATGGAAACTTCGTAGCCGAAACTGGATGAGCTTGGTCACTCGATATGTTGTTTTAACGAGGTAGTGTCATAGGCCACTGAACGATTACTGAAAAACAAATTTTGTAACTATATGATTGTGGCCGACTACCCTCGTCCTGCTTATACGATTTGGCGAGACTGGACTTTTTTGAAGCCCTTTTTTAGAAGCAAAGTCTGGGGTTAGTTAGTTATTAGGGGGTTGTCTAACTGGGGAACTAAAAGGGTATACCTGGCATTAATTTTCAACAACCACGCCCGATTCCTGTAAAAAAAAAAAACTATCTTAAACTTGTAAAAAAGAAACTCCGAGGTGGTCGTAAAAACACAAAACAATGAGCACTACTCTCTGCAATATGATTTTGGCAACGTGCATTTGTAGCATAGAAGAATTCGTGGCACTTATCATACTTTGAAACTGATAGATCGCTAGCGGGCATCCCTAAATGTAGCACTCGTAAAGATGAGCGTTGCCTTGAGCGTCCGAACGAGGGGTCTTTGAGGGTCCTTGAGCGTGCCGAACGGCGGTCAACAGATTTCCAGATCATCTTGATCTTGCCTTATTGTGCTTGCCCGTACGGACTAATACAGCCACGGGGCCTAAAAGATTTGATGTAGTTAAAGTAAATTACGGTAGGACGAACGAACTTTAAATAAAAAAAGCTGCCGTTTGAAGGGACTATCATGGAATAGATGAAATCAAAATAGCTTCATAACCAATATCATTTGCTTAATCTTTTTTTTTCGATTTTTCTTGTTTACTCCGTTATCATTAATAGATAGAGAAAGAACCCTGGTGCTCTGGTGAAAGAAACCTATATAAGGTTGATATGGTCGATTTCGACTAAAAGAAAAAGCACTATAGAGGAAGACGGCATAGGCAATCAAAAAGTGAACTATGACCCCATTACGCTTTCTAATAACAGACAGTTTGACGTGCAAGATCCAAAGGGCTGCTATACGATAGGCAATGAAAGGATTGTCGAACGCTGAATAAGAGGCAACTTTGTGGTCCCCAATGTTTGGTCCTATTTCGTCTAAATGCTTCGCGTTCTATGGTCGACTCCGCCGTTAGGTGCTCTATCAGACAGATAACGTATCGATACGCTCCGTGCATATCTACACGGATAGTTAGTTCCGAAAAGAAGTTATGATTTTCATTTCTCAGACTGAACTATTTCAGTGCCTGAAAGCCTAGTTATTATCTCATGATTACACATCCTAAAAACTAGAGCGGACTGTGTAATTAGCAGACGACTTCCTTCTTCATATGCCGCGTAAACAGTCACATTGTTTTATGCCATAAAGCTGATCCCGAACTAAACGCAAGTTTATGATAGAGAAAACATGTTGTTCACTTTAGTTTACGTCGCTCTGCCCGACGAGCTTACGTTCATAGACCGGCTGGAATAATTAGAACAAAAATATGAGTTTAGGCAAGCAGTAAGTAAACCCGTCCGTCAGGAAAGAACGTCAGTCATGATTTAGTGCTATTCATTCCGTTGGCTTTGTAAGCTAGATAGATAATCGATGATTCAGTCGATGAGCTGATCAGAGCATCAGACTCGCCGCGTAAATACTAGAAGAAATTATTAGCAGTGTCCTCCGTGAAAACATTGTTTGCACAGATAAAGGTTTTTGGAAGCGGGAATAGAAAGGACATGTCCAGCCTTCGCCAAAAAGTCGACCAATATGCCTTCGTCCTTTGTTGTTTTAGGACTGATTCTGGCTGCCTTATAATTCTAAAGTATAGTTACTAATGCTTTTGTTTCACCTTCAACTATTCGTGGACTGAGCCAATTGAAGACGCTTTGTCAAGGTTATAGAAAATGTATAATTTATTGTATAGAATCTTCTATATTTACTCGAATGGTTTTTTGACGCATCTTTGGCTTGGAGCCCCCATAACTTCCGAATTCAATATCTAGTTGGACCTTACCATGCAAGCCACAACCTGTCCAGATCCAGCTTCGTAGCTTTCATTTCTATCTCTTTGTTTACCTCTATCTCTGTTGAACTATCCGTACATTTACTTACTTAAGCTGTTAAGATCATCTTTATGTATCAATGATTCTAACATGGGTAGATGCCTTAGAACCTGGTATGTACTTGACAACGATGCGGAGCAGTTGTATAAACAATGCTTAGCCTGGATTGGCGTTATAAAGTAACTTAGCAACTCGTACGATTTTTCTATTGTGTTACTATGTTTATAGCTAAATCCGCTTCTCATTGCCTTCTGAATGTTTTTCCTAGACCCAAAAATGACTCGATTTGCAAATACAAATATAGTTTTTCGAAGACGATACCTGACGTAGTTTTCTAGGATACCTCACAACAGGTAAACTTCTACAGATGACGTACATGGAATAGATACATAATTCGTACATGCATACAATTTGTATGTAGTCATGCAAAATCCCATCGGAGAGCTGCCTTAAGCTGTAAAATTTACAAAGGAAAATTATTCAAGTGTTAGATTGTAGTTAATAAGTCACACGCGCGTAAATTTCGAATATAATTTTTGAGCCGATGCAGTTTCTAACAAACGTTTTATACAAAGGCCAATGCGCTACACTTTTAGTGTACCTACTTTTTGTAATTATTTTAACTGATTCTTTTGGCAAGAGGGATCAATGTTTAAGCAGGCTTGAACATGCAGTTTGCCCTAGCACTATTTCTTGATTAACCTGTTATCCTTAACCAGGAGATATTTATTGACTTCTAAAAGAATGTTGGTTCTCAGTGCTGAACGGTACCAAGGACCCATGGCAGCATGTAGGGCAGAATGGATCGTTTTAAGCTCCGACCAGCCGCCTAAGACACCATGCTTTCTGTTATTTTCAGTTTTCCGTTGGCTGACAGAGTTCTGTAGCTTTAGTCACCGCATAGTAAAACTGGCCATGTCAGGTGCTCCTCACCCAGGCTATATGGCCTGTGCCGTTAAAGCCTAACTCATAACGTACATTTTTAACATCGCACAACGAATCATTACGCATTAAAGTAGGACTCACTGCACCATTGGTGGAAACAGTCCGATTTTGGCCTACGCAACATGCAAAATGGAGAGTGTTTTTTATATTACTTTGGGTTACAATGTTATCAATAGGACGTTTAGTACATTTATGCAGGTTGTGTTGAAGCTTTAAGCAAACTATCCTATGTTCTTCTTTATATACATTATACTTGCCTTCAGAATCATTGCTTTGTTTGCATGGTCCGCCATAGCATATTAATGAAGACAAAATTTTCGCGTCGTTAAACTGCGTCGGAATATTCACCGAGACATATGAGCCGGTTCTACACTTTGGACAGAAAGGTTGTTTTTCAGCTCATTATTGATACAGGCGTTTTCCTGAGCACCCATCGGTGGAAGGTTGCCATTGGCAATAATGTGCGATGTCATTGTTTGTGTCCTATGTGGGCGTCTCCGAAGCGAAGGCCGCCGTAGGTGGAAGGCGCCGTAGATGACAGGGTTAATCATTGCAGTTGAACTCCCTAGAAATGCAAACATATATTGAGTCACAAGTATATATATATATATTTATACTTGTTATATTAATGTCAGTTAGCTGAAGTACAACCCGCTGCCGGTTCCAAAAACCTTTCAAAGCCTTGAGGCTTGTGAGCAAATAATTTATATATAATTATTGTATCAATCACGATTCGGAGTAGACGAATGTTTGCCATACCGAAACAACAACTAATCAACCCTGGCTTTGTCACTAGATCTTGAAGGTTTACGAAATAACTATGTAACTATCATACTATGAATAAGAAACCTTTGAACCTAAAAAAACAAAAAAAAGCATTGATGCGTTACATATTGCGCTGAGTATTTTGATAATACGAGTCGTGGATTCAACTGGAGTAAACAAGGTATTGGCCGTTTGTGCAACATAGTATTTTCGACGAGTTCCCAAATCATACCGAAGAAAAATATTGCAGAGCTCAATTCGCCCGTGATTCGCTGGTCTGGGTCGAGATTGAAAATAAAGATAACCATCATGGCATAGTACGGGGTCCAGCATATGACGAACGTTGCCACAATAACGATAGTGATCATGAGCGATTTTCTTTTCGCTTTTGCCAGAAGACGACGCCGCGTTGCTTCCATGGAATGGCCTTCGCAAGGGGAACTGCTCTGGACTAATCCATTGGGACGTGATGTCACAATAATGCCTCTCTCGCTCGCTTTAGAACTGACGATTGCCCCTGGAAGTGGCGGAAGATCTATAAAGATTGCGCACGTTAGATCTATAATTTGTTTTGTTCGTACGTATCTTCAAAGATTAAATTTTTCATCTACGTATGTACCATACCTAATTGTGACTAGATTTTTTCTATATGTCACGTCCTCCAAATCAAAGGTTCTCGTTCAGCTTCTGATATTCTTTGAATAAAAATGTCAATTACTCCATTAGCAACACCAAGCAAGTTACCTCTCTATGACCAATATTACGCGTATGCGCACCATGTATTGTATGTCGTTGGAATAGCTCTTGTCAGGGCAAACTTGTTTAAACCTTACAAAGCTTTAGGTTAATAAAGTAAATATGTAAAAAAAAAAGATACATATAATTGACGCAGATCGTGTATACGCGATGATGTGGGCTGAATTCATATCATACAGCGATCCTATCTGGGCTGACTAAGGCCCCTCAGACAGCGAAGACCCATCAATGAAGGGAGCTTGTTGCGTAATAGACTTGAAGGATTTTCAATCAATTTTGTCATTTCTAGACTTTGTCATACACTCAGTCGTAAGCTCGGTTTTCGGTTAACCTGATACGCGCTTTTGGAAAAATAGACTCAAAATGATTACATTATCCTACAGGTTCATTAATTGACAGACGGAAAAACGTAACATTATGCTAGCCAATCTTCGTATAGTTATTAACTAGAAACGTCATTTATAATTTTCGGTAAATTCTCGGTAATTTGGTGAAGGACAGACGAACTGTCAGAAAGACAGTATGTCTGTGAGAGTCTCTTTTCCTAGACTGGTGCTTACTTTGACCTCGTCTATCAGGCACTGTTAGTAACTAAAAGGTAAGAGAACTATAAAAATCTGAAGCATATGTGTTCCGGTAATTTGTCCAATGTTTGTCCTGTACACGTGGGGAAATACACTATCCAGATTTAATCGTACTAACACCGTATAGAAAACGGTTAGTCCCGCCATATAGTTTACTCGCTTCGCCTCATATACCAACACCAACCTATTTTCTTGCTATCGATTATCTAAATAATGGCATGATTCTGATATCCCAGCTAATTAAATATCCTGAACCAGCTGAAGAGCTCAGTTTTTAGCCACTTTTTCTGAAACGAACGCACCGAAAATGGACGGTTGCTATGTTATTTGCCGATTGAAAAATATTCGTAAAGGCAACAAAATCGAATGGTCCGGAAAGATCGGCCAACTGCTAACACATTTGTGGGGCGTCAGTCCCCAAAAAAAAGAAGTCTATAATTTGGCAGAGTGATGAGGTGATCAGATACATCGGCTGACGGACGCGACTGATTACCCGGACGTTAAAGTGTCTAGACTCGTCAAAATGTCATCCGACGTTCACTTTTCTAACATAGCTGATCAGTATCCGAGGAGCCGTCGACTTCGCCGATGCTATACAGAAAGTTCTCGTTTCCAAGCAACAATAATCGTATCATTACTAAAGTAGCAGTTTGTTCGGGATGATAGGGTATTGCGAGCTTCAGACAGCTATTGGGTTGCGTTCCTTTGAGGTCGTTTGCAAAAATATTCCATATGGGTATTTTGCCAAAAAGTCCGTATCAAAGCTTTAATATTATGCCGAAAATAGGGTGATCTCAGTACGTGCTTGCACTGCATGTGTGGTAATAGATAAAGGACATTTGACCATCGGGAGACTACAGGCTCAATTCAGGAAATTGTAGCCTGTCCTAAAGTAGCAGTATGTTCACATCCAGATATCTATTGCTTTAAGCGAACTCTTTTGCCGACAGATAAACAACTCAGTTAATGTTTCTTACAAACACTAGTTGTTATTGATCTGTTTTAGGCTTACTTTGCCCTGATAGCTCTTGATGTCATTTTGGTTAATGAGTTTAGCCAGAGCGTACGGGCTCGCCTGCAAAAGGCTTAAAGTTGTCTCATAAGAAAGATTTTAATGAATTTAACTACTATTACACTGCTATTAAGGTTACTATCAGTTAAGATTGTGAGAACTTACTTTGTACAGTCCATTTCAAATCGCAAGAGAAACCTACGCTACGAGCGAAAGTGTATGAAAAAATATAACGAAATACAAAAATCGAATAGCTAAAAAACAGCAGCACTTTACTATGCTTGTTGGGTAGTTTCCGGTATAAAATTGTCTTCTATTTAAAAAAATAAAAATACGTCCATCAACAAGGAATATCGTTGCCATTGCCAGCTAAAAGGCACCGCCATTGGCGACTGCGTAAGACACATTTCTAGCTAACGTGAAACTTGCCAAATTTTAACCCCATAGACAATTTCACTTTTGTACACCTGCCTTTACATGCATCTCCCATAAAAGGAAACCAAAGAACTTTAAAATAGTTAATAGTACAATAATAGATGATACTTATTGACATACTTTGGCGCTTATCAAATCGAAAAAATCGGTGCTGTACCTATGCGTCGACTAACGAAATACTAAGAAGCAAGCCCTTCGATGGCGCCCGCTGATCCAACGACGATGTTGACTAAACGTAATTGAACATCCAGGTAACTTTTTGTTCAGTGTCTGCCTGTATCTGACTCGCCGGATAAAGGTATGGGCAGATAAAGATAAACGGGTGAACGGAGAGTCTCTGCCGTTAAACGATAAGCTTTGCGAGACAAAATTCAGGTACAGTTAGAACGGACACAGTGGCCTTCCAACTAGACATCGCTGTGAATTCACCGGCTTATGAAATGGAGATAACTTCAAAGTGGTAGATACGTGGATTTTACAACGAACTTTAATATAGCAGTTGATTTAACAAATACGGCATAGTCAAACGTCATCAACAATAGGCCGAGTCTGAGCCATATATGTAGGTAAACAGAGCTAGTAGCCTCTCTAAGGTCGTACCCTAGCCTGAACACTCATCGGTAAAAGCGCAGGTCCCGCATTTCGTACACCTGTTTAGACATTAGATTATAATCGGATCGATAGGAAGGAATAACTTAACTGCATAACCCGGCTACGAACACGGCTCAATGTATATTGGTCAATTGAAGTTACCCGTTTTCACAGCAATTCAGACGTGTATGATTCTGACTGGTAGGTGAAAAGTCGCAAGCCTGACTTGAGCAATGAAAAGCATATTGGAAATCTTAAACAGCATGAAATTGAATTTCTTGCCAACGCGTTGCTACTGGCAGGTAAGCGCCGATGCGTTACCGCCGCTAGGCATACTTGTGTGCGTGATTCTTTGAAAATAGAAAAAAGAAGAATAGTACGCTAGTTGTTAACGTATTGTGCCGTCGTGCCATCGCGTAAAGTCGCTAAATAAACTTGAACGCGTCAAACGGGACCGTGCAGTTCGGATGTACGCAAGAGTTCAGTGTGCGTGTACGTAAAAGCAGGCGCGACAGTATGATATACTCATGCATATTGGATAGTCGACTATTAACCCCTTTTGATAGTGCGAATGCTAAGACCGGTTTCAACAACCTGAGGGCCAATAAGAAAAAGCGTCGTTAGTGCAGATCCCCTGTTAGCCTTGGAACTTACGTTAAACAACCCCTTCTATTTCGTTGTATCGGTTCATTTTGGAAGGCAAAAAAGCAGTCGAACTTCTTGATGATGGTTTATTGATGATTTACTTAGAATTGTAAGCGAGATGACTATCTGTGAACTTACTTTTAATACAAAACTGCCATGATGATAGTTGAAGGATCTTGATGAGCATCATTAGTGTATGCTATATCTGTCACGAAACAAATTAAACGTAAAACTTTAAGGTGGGACGCATTGCGATCACTAATAGAAAATGGTCTTTCTGCATATAGGCCAAGGGAAAAAAGTTGAATATGTATGTGCACACTAATGTACAGGCGTCTAAGGAAGTCGAACCGAGATTATAGTGTTATTAGTATTATTCTATTGCTTTTATTGTCGTTATTATTATTATTATTAAAAAACCCAATGAAAAAATAAAGTAGATTTTGTTAAAGCAATTATGAAAGCGCTTTTATTGTTTTTCGGTTCGAGGGTGGAGTGCACACGTCTGAAAGAAAATATACGTTCTTTAATAGGTCCAATAGGATAAGTTTTATTGTTTGGTGTTTTTTCTATATCGCATCTTTTGTTTACACTACAGACTTATAAAGACATGAAAGTACAAAAATCGATCATGCACAGTACGTTAGATAGGAATATATGCTCCTTCCGACCCCGCCATAATGAACGAGGACAATCTGAGATAGAAGAAGGCGTCCTAGGAGATACAATATCAAGCCACTGTCATCTGATCAGATCACTTTTCCGTCTACTTCGGTAATCACATTGACTAATTTATAAGCTTCAGTTGAAAAAAGGTGCCAATACTACGTTTTATTTTGACATGAAGTACGTCGATAGTCTATATAATAGGGGTTATATAGTTCCTCTTTTTCTCGGTCACTGATCTGTGAATGGCTTTCAATTTCAGTGGTTTACTTAAAGTGTGACTGCATCCAACGATCGAAACTTCAATATTTAGGCACCTATAAACTTAAATACGGACATAGTTCTATTGCATGCAATGCAACAATGTGATTCAACTTAAACATATAGACACAGACACTTCCAAGTAAAGACTTTCACCCACATATATCACTCATCTTCGGATAGGATTTGTATCCATTTCTGATTATTAATGCTGGAAAATCCTGATGGTCGAATCGCTGCTTGGACTCTTCATATTCGAGTTCAACAAACGCCACTAGCACGAGCAGTTACCAAAAACACAGATTTTTTTTGGGCCCTATTTCGGCGAGTACTAAAATTCTATTCGACTACGCAGGCCGGACGTATCTGCTCGCCCAGGACTATGCTGACTTTTGTCGATGAAGTCTAAAACAGCTGCACATTGTTGCCTTTAATTTAAAATTACCCTAATAATTTAACAAAAATATTAACCAAGCCGCGATTTCTAACTTGTCTGCCATATATCTTGATGTAGGACCGAGCAGGCTGCACCGAGTGGATCCGAATAAAAGATTATACATCGGTTAGCGAATCACAGGTCGGCTATCGAGTGGTGTTATTTTTAATGGTGCTATGCCCCAAGGAAGCGTACGCTAAAATTTATACTTTAGCAAAAGCCGTTTGACAATAATGAGCTGGATCACGTTTTCCCAGGGTTTGTCTATGCTTTTTTTCTGCCTCAACTCCCTGTTCGGAATGGGCACCTTTTTTTACGAAATTCTTCTGCCAAGCTTAACTATAATATCATGTTTCGTGTAAGGTACGCACGTAATAAGGGTAAAATGAACTAATCTAACACGACAATCATGCATTACGGATAAATATTGCTACATGCAACCAAACAAACCCCTCAAAAATGCAGCGTGTCCGTGTTCTTTTTCAGGGTAACAGTGTTGAGTCTTTCTTATGCTGCAATAAGGTTGTTAGCGAATTCAAATATATAAAAATAAACATCCGCAATAATTTTACTAGAAACGGGGATTCGGCAAGCTGAGAAGCTGATCGTGCCCAACTTGGCGGTTGGCGTGACACTGCTTGCTAGTGTTTGCGCGTCATATAGCTCTATAGGGTACTTTCACATTTTCGAAGCTTTACCGTGATAGAATACAGGAAATAGAGCCACAACACACAAATTGTCGTCGCAACTTGCGCTATCCACGTCTGTGGAAGTGGAATAGTTGCGAAACGGTTGCTTACGTAAGCCGATTCCTTAAAATGCCCCTTTGGGTGACGGTACTCCCCGTGAGAACATTTAATGATTAGCACCATAGCTAGTTAGAGGCAGTGTACAAAAAAGGTAAGATAGCTTTTTCTGGAAACGATCATAAATGCCCCTAACATATCATGGCGTACTATATACCGCACCTCGCCTACCATTTACTCCTTCAATTATGCTTACACATTGAATTATAATAAATTGAATCATAAAGCTCTATGGGCATACGATACGTACGGCACTTTATTCAGACCACGGAGATTTTTTTGTTTCACTAAAACGTTGTTTACCTAGCAATTGCAATATTAGCAAACAGCCACTAGCAATTACGTAGACTGCTAGCGTACAGTGAGGTCTAATTCGCACGTTTTGTCCGTATTAATTCATCTTCGGGGAACTGCTGTAACAAACGAATGTTTTGATTTCGTTTCCCAGGAACTATATACCCCTGCACCTAAGGGCAACGGATAACACTCCTGGCCCGGCCAGGAGTTACTCAATATTATTAATTCCATACGTCTACATGCAACCCAAAGCTGCAAGTATGACGAACCGGTATGGGCGGGACCAGCCCTGGGTCAATTCTAGTAAACTACGAAAACTCAGTTCCCTTTGTGTAACACGTTATTTATTATGTTGTTATGAAGAATGCTTCCCGCCCATATAGCCTGTTCCTAAACGTTCGTTTCTAAATAACCCAATATACCTACATCGTGTTGTGTTTCTCTCGATACGTTTTTTTTTTTTAAATAAAATCAATTTTTTAATGTTTGAAAAAACATCATTGAAAATGCTTATTTGTGCCCTCAGCCGTTGAAATCGACGGTTATTACAGTTCTTCGAGAATCGCTCTGGGGCAACCCGTTAGCAACAGGAACAAAACGGCCAAATCAATCGCCTGAGCCGAGTCTATTAAATTGCTTACCTAACTCTGTCTCAAAACAGCCTCAATTTATGGTCGCAGTGATTGTCTCGCCCCTTTATTGCCTTTAAATTGACCTAGCACCAGTGTTGCATAGAAAGCTTAATGAAACCTGCCGCGTCAATCATATTCTGTGCTAACTAACTTAACTGTATGTTGGTGAATAGGCATTGTTTTCTTCATTGTGCACTACTTATACAAGGATATAGGTTCTTCACTCTAATTACGGACGGGTTTTTCTTTGATGCAAAATCACTTCTTTCTAGATAATTATATCGACACATCGGAACCACAAGTTGACCTGCCCAATTCAACCACGGTCACACGGACAACATCTTTGTTTCCTGACCTACTCAGTGATGAAGCCGTACTTTATCCTAACCAAGTAACAGTTGCAGCCATTGGCAACGATAGACCTCGCATACTCTGTGCTCGATGTCATATGACGTTCCTCGCCTACGACCCTGCACCCACCGGCAGGTTTCTATAGTCCTACTTTCTTAAAAAAGAAAGTAGCTGGGTAATAGTATTAGTAAATACTATCTACTTTTCGCTTCCGTCAATCGAATCTAGAGCTCAGTAACTGCATCGTATGATGCTCCCTTATGATCCGTGTCGACTGTGACCAGAACTAATTCAATAGTTATTTACCATAGACACAAGCGGCCGAGTTCCAATGATACGACAATGAAGCCATGAATAAATTTAGTATGCATTATGTACGAACAAATATATATATATATATGCAAAACATACCATAGAACCTATATAAATAAAAAAGGTATTATATATATATATATATATATATATATATATATATATATATATATAGTACGTACGCATGTTCGCTGCTAGAGGCGTTCGCTCTAGCCTTATATATACGGGCTTTTATTTACGTATACATTTCTGGAGTAGCATTCAAATGTATTATCGCTATCAGTAGGTTTAGCATACAAAAAGACATATATACGAACCGTTATATGTATGTTATCGCACATCTATATTATGGATTCATTGTGTGTAGTGTTAAAATAGAGTTAGGATTACAGAAACATAATCGTATGTCAAAATCTAGCTGGTCGTAGTCGTATGCCTCTCCGATCTACATACAACTTCGTCACTGCTTCAAGAGAAAGCAAATATGTACTACTGACGGCCTTCGGTCTTCGTGTTACTTCGGAACCCTTTGTGCTACGTAGAAATTCATGATAGAATGGTACACAATTTACTATCGCGAAAGAAAGCAATAGTTTGTACACAATGCGAACTATCAGAAACACGAATATCAGACACATATATATACATAGAAGAAAATAGTTAGCTAATTGACGTAATCCGCAATACGCTTATGGCTCGCTGCACGTAACAACTCACTTGCAATGGTATGGAACGTGGCGGCATACGTGGCCACCAGCGTCGTTAATGGAAGCATGAACATGAGAATCAGCGAGGTCGATGTGTAAAGTTGCTCTTGCCAAGGGGCCGTATAGAAGCCATACGTGACACACTGGTAGAACTCTTCCTCAAACGGGCCGCGGACCACACGAAAAATAAATACCTGGAATATATATCACAAGGTCATTTACCATAAAAGCACGCTTACCATCAGGCAGTATTAAGCTTCAGGTTTGGACTTGCCACTTAACGTTCGTTACGCGTGTGTGTGATCCATATTGTTGATGGCAAAGCCCATTTTTATCTAGTAATTTTACGCCGACAAGGAACTGCTGTAGATGCACTCATGCAATAAAAGCGTTCTTACAAAGCATTGCTGAGATGTAATCGTATCAGCTTGTTTAACATAAATATATATAACATAAATAAAAAAAAAAAACGAGAGAAAATCACGTGTATTTTTTGCCCCCAACTGGTTTCTGATAGGTATTCTTATAATAAAACTTTCGCTATTTCCATTCTGTTCACTAGCTCGAATATATAAGGGGATACTTAGAAGAATCTATTTGTGCTTGCTGTGTATTGAAATTTTTCTCGATAACCGTTTACTTTCTACGAGTTGATACGCGTATGAATGCTGATGGATGCAGGGCACGTATTCCGTCGACCATCTTCGTTGACAGCCGAGAATGCCGCCGTCATAACCTTTTTTTTTTTAATTTTGCGATAAGGAAACGGGAAGCGAGCTCGTCAGACATGCCACTATCTTCGACAACATCATCTGGCAGCCGGCATCGTTAACGCCAGCATCTGCTTGTGCGTACGCTTCGCTCAACGCTCGCCTAGGAAGGTACTCGATCATCACCTGTCGATATCTAACTTAGGCTCTTATAGCTGATCATGCAGCCATGTTACGTTGATTAATTTTTCTGAAAATGTTATCCTACATGAAACAAGTTCCATTTAGCCAAATTCTCATTTTAAAAACTGCTTGTCCTTGGCCGTATCAGCATTATATAACATCTGCAGTGAGCGCCACATGTTTATAGCTTGGAAACAGCTATAAGCAGAATCAGCTGATCATGTTCAGTTAGCGCTAATTGTTTTAACTTCTCAATCCTTAAAGTTGACATGAAAGAAGCGTCTCTACGAAATGATCGGTTTACAGACTCATTCTATACGAACCTATCTGACATAACAAAACGGCACAAATACTTTTATATAACGAGCAGGATCAATCACCATGGCTAGACCATCGTTAGCTAATTATAGTACATCCTGCACGACGGGTGTGGCCTAATTAGTGAGGCTACTTATGTTGCCCTGAACACCTTACGGGCACGCGCAGTACTCCCCTATCTATAATTCACTTGCATCTAGTTAATTTGGACTGCTTTGTTTTACACAAGGACAAAGCATAGGTCAGCTGCAATCGAAGAAAAAAACTGAAAATTTAAAGGAGCAATGAAATACATAAATAAGACGACAATAGGCAAATATTTCCACTGTTTGTTGGAATCGTGTGGGTGTCATCGGGAACATATCCTCCACTTGATTGAGTAGCAGTCATCTTCAATCATATCTAAGTTGGTCTTATCTGAGTATACATGTATAGAAAAACTAGCATAAAGTACCGACAAGCGGTAAAAATTGAACCGTATATCTATATATACGGTCTGATATGTCTCTTTTGGTAAACGTGCATTCTTCTGTGGGAATTGAAATGGAAAGTGCAGCATACCCCAAAAACTCTCTGTACGCTTTCATTAGACACGTTGAGCATCGGGAAGGCTGGGTATTTTCGGCAACGGGTCAAGAGATCAATTGCGACTACCCTGGAGCTGGGTTTAGAATCAAGTGTTTAATTATTATTTAGCTTTAGATTAGTATCGAACAGTGAATATAGGCAAAAAAGTTTGTATCGTTTAGAAATGCTCGACACTAAACTTACCTCTTAATTTGAATCGGCACCTCATCTGAAAGGCTAAGTTATCAAACTAGCAAAAGAGTTATTTGTTTAACTTGCTGCCCCTATTGTTTTATCGGTATTCGTTAGATAACCATTTTAGATTTCAGATATATAATTCCGACCATATGGCCTTTTATTATGATAAAGTATGCACATTGATCGTCCACCGTCTATATGTGCGTAACACTTGTGCTATTGCACATTTGTTTCCGTTGTAATTATATATATATATATATATATATATATATATATTCATCTTGCGGTTATAACCACTTGGTTAAATTGCGGTCATTTTCCCAACGTCATAATGAACAGTTTTCGCTTTATCATAAGAAAGCTAAAGTGGAGACAGGCCGCGCCTACGCCGGCGGCAGGCTGTTGGAAAGACCGGGATCGGTAAACGGAAGCGTCGACCTTGCACGTACCTATTATGGCTTTCGTACGTTCTTTATTTGGTTTTTTCGTTTGTTCTTTTTAACTCTTTCATGTAATATGGATTGGGCGGTTGTGCTTGTTGTTCTCGAGTCAGGGGAAACGTATCCACTGGATCAGTGGAAGATTTGTTTGTTGAAAGACGACATTTCCGTTTATATGAACAGTTGTTATGTAAGTATAATAGGGTCGTTAAAGATGGCGCGGCTCTAATATAGCCACTTACTAATCAAGCGGGTCCGATACGGTGAACTGTCAAAAAGGAAAATAAATGAAAAAAACTTAATAACTGAGCTCGTCCATTGCTCATATACAGGTAGTTTCTTTATATGGAATGAGCGAGGCTTATGGCAACGGTTTGCCCACTTATGTTGTTTAAATTAAGCAAATTTTAAGGCTATATGAATTATAAGAGAAGTGGTGTATAATTTTCTATCGGTATAAGGACAAATTGTGAGGCAGTTTTACTAACAAGTGCACTGATTAACTTTTAGTTTTTCGCGCCTACTATCTCCGACAAAGAAGCATGTCCAGTCAGCAAATTCACAAAGACCTGATCGCGTTTGGGTCACTAAAACAGTCTGCCATTTATCTCATGATAGGGTATCGATTTTTTTCTCAATCCTTAAATTTTGTTTTCTTTAAAGCATCACACAAATGGTAGTGTTGCATTTTCCGGAAAATCGGGGGTCTTTCTAGCTAAATCTGTTGTATCTCTTGTTCTTTCAATACGCTACCGATTCATATAGTGGTAGGCAATTACAATTCTCTGCTTACTTTTTTTTTGTTTTTTTTTTTTGCTTAATTTACCTGTTTGTCAATTATAACTGCATAGGTTACTAATTTCAATTCATGTACGAGTCACTGTAGTGAGCTACGTCAACAGACCCTTGAAGATCCATTTTGGTTACCCGAAGATCCGTACTTGACGAATTCCGCGCGAAAAATCGAATCAATAGACAGCGATGCCACGAACAATCTGTATTAAATGTATTGCTTTCCTTTATATATTTATACGTTATATACAATGTTGGAGCGCATTTCTCCCGTAACTTTAGAGTCGGAAGTTGTTCAAGGGTCAGCTAACAAATACGTTTTATATACTATCCTATGCGATTTCTCTATTCAGTTAGTAAATTGTGCTACATATGTTATTTCTCTTTTCCAACAACAGCAGACAAGGCTTGTCTAGAAAATTACGGTTGCGGAATAACTTAATAATAAGTACTTGCACATTATCCTTGTTGCGCCTTTCGTTTTACCAGGCCTATTCTACACCTGGTAAACTCCTCGCTGAATAAGTGTGTGCATGTCGTTCCCTGTCTGGCTAGCCAACGAAGCAATAGGACAACATATCTGCTTTTAGTCAGAGGGGAATAATGGCACAGTGAATGTAGCGATACATAGTCAAGCAAAAATGGCTGTTCTGTATATTACAGGGTACTGAAGGTACGGTTATTTACGTTGTCCTTGCACGGCACGTAATTCAATGTAAACTAGACAGGCATAATTAAGTATTAATAGAGAGTGTCCAAGTAATTATTCACAGTTATCTTCCTGAACTTATCCTGGCACCCCTATTTAATAATTTTATATAGCAATTATGCAAATCGTAGGTTAGTTTTGCAGAACGATTTGATTGATTTGCCCGCGGTACGACGTGGTTGGGTAAGAGTAGTTTTGTTAACTCTGGGTCAACGTAAAATGTATTCGTCGAGCTAAAGCTAGAAAGTATTTGCACTATTCATTCCTACTGTAAGACCCATTTGGGAATGTTTATCTGTCTGTCCAGGGGCCGAAACCTTTTTTTGGCGCTAATGCCCCAGCGAAACGACGTTCTGCGTCCTTGTTTCCATTCTAATTATTGTCATTGTATTATGTTAACGGCAGTCATCTTGGCGGCTAAGTTTACTCATATATAGCTGATATTAGCTGTGCATATTGAGGAAGGCTGATTTTTTCAGACGCCTGCCTTTCACATAGACATTCTAAAAGAAAGCTGAATAAGGGAAAGGAAAGGAAAATTTCTTCGTACACAAATTTATTAGGCACATAATTGTTGTAGATTGGCAGTCGGTGTTCCCACACATTGGTATACATTAGATTATGATGGGTCTAAACACCTGCCCCTTCCTTTCGGGCACTCTGTCTTAGAAAATCAGTTTCCCTTAGAGTTTCATTTGCAGATAAGACTGTACTTGAGATCTGCTTATACGCATTTATATCTTCCACATTGACCGAGTAATCGATCAATGATTTGAAAACTCGAATGGAATTATGAAGAATTTTATTTATTCACAGAAATTGCGTAATAGGCAGACCCAATGTATCTGGTGATCAGGCACGTTTCTAAAGAGTAGTAATTTTCCTTCCTTTTAAGATATTTAATTAAGATATTTTAAGACCATGTTCATTAATATGTCTTCTTGAAAAACCTGCACACGCCCGGCTCCTACCGGATTAAAAGCTCGACAACTTTTAAAGGGCTTTTGGCACCCTCTTCAATTGTGTCAACCATAAGAGTGGTTTAAGACGTCTGGTTACTATCTAAAGTTCCCAATCCGATTAATCTCTTGTCTTGTTTGTCTTCACGCCGGCATAATCCTAACACAACTATTTGTATATATAAATATATATGTTAATAACGAAAAAGAAAACTGTTGCCCTCCCCGGCATATATATTTGAGCCATATGATAATTAGAATGGCCTGAAAGTTTTGTGATTTTATGTCCTTGATCATCATTATACGATCTGTTTTTCC